ACCCAGAATAATTGAAGCAATCAGGCGAGTTTTTAAAGAAAATCTACCAGAGAAGAAGGAAATCCGGTGTTGGAGATGTGGAAAGCTAGGACATATACGAAGTCGTTGCAGAGAAAGCCAGGTGGCGCCGACTTCGTCTCAGTCGGAAAACTAGATAGGGTCGAGGAAAAGGGGCCACCGTCGACCTGTAACCAGCATGCCCCAGAAGATATCGAACGTGTTGCATCTCTTCTACACCAGTCCAGCAGTGTTTTTGTGGATGGTTTAATTAATGGAAAATTACATGTGCTGCTGCTGGATACAGGTGCGACGAAGACAATTATTAGGCCAGATATTGTCGAAATGTCCAAGATCAAATCTACCAATAGGCGACTACGTACTGCAACAGGAGATACTGCTACTGTTCATGGAGAAGTGGACATCACGATGGTCATAGGAAACACGAAATTTAAACATCGAGCATTAGTAGCAGATATTGAAGATGAAGTTATTGTAGGCATGGACATTATGAACTCTATAGGATTTGAATTAAACTTTCAACAAGGAATATTGAGAGTAAATGGAGAGGAAGTCGTGTTGCATCGATCTAAAGAGAAGAATATTCGTGTGATGCTAACAGAAGATGCTTTGATACCGGAACACAGCGAGATGATATTGAAGGCTTTCTTGGATTGTAAATCAGAAGATGGAAGTATAATGCTTCTGGAGCCGAGAATTGATGACAAAGAGGTCGGTCGAGGAGTTGTAGTAGGGAAGACTTTAATACGTGTCGGAAAAGAAGTGCCTGTAAGAGTATTGAATGTTAATGGTTACTCTGTGAACTTGAAAAAAGGAATCGTTTTGGGGAACTGTTCCTCAGTTTCCTCAATTATTAGAAGCATTCGTGAGTCTGGAGTTCCGGCCAAGAAAATTAGCAATGAATTGACGACTCTGCTTTCGACTTCTTCAAAGGACTTAAAACCAAATGAGAGAATAAAGCTGAGAGAGCTGATACACAACTATCAGGACGTCTTTGATGATGGACAAGAAAAGAAGGGTAGGACAAGAATTGTCCAGCATAAAATTAACACCGGTGATGCACAGCCCATTCGACAGTCGGCAAGAAGGCTACCACTTGCCAAGCGAGAGGAAGCTGATAAAATTGTGCAAGAAATGGAGAAGGAAGGGGTGATCGAACCATCCAACAGCCCATGGTCTTCCCCAGTGGTGTTAGTTAAGAAAAAGGATGGATCAACTCGATTTTGCGTCGATTTTCGTCAGCTGAACAACGTGACGAAGAAGGACAGCTACCCTCTACCTAGGATCGATGACACCCTGGATACATTGGCTGGATCCCAAATATTTTCGACTCTGGATTTGAAAAGCGGTTACTGGCAGGTTGAAATGGCACCAGAAGATAGAGAAAAGACGGCGTTTACCGTGGGTGCTGGACTGTGGCAGTTTACTGTCATGCCGTTTGGACTATGTAATGCCCCTGCAACTTTTGAAAGGCTCATGGAAATGGTTTTAAAGAGACTATCCTGGAAGACATGCTTGGTGTACCTTGACGACATCATTGTGGTTGGGAAATCATTTGAGGACCATATGAAGAACCTGAAGGAAGTCTTTCAGCGCTTAAGAAGTTCCGGCCTGAAGCTAAGCCCGAAGAAATGTCACTTGTTCCAGAGGGAAGTGCAGTATTTGGGCCATGTTGTTTCGAGTCAAGGAGTGGCAGTGGACAAACAGAAGGTGAAGACGGTGCGGGAATGGCCAGTACCGAAAAACAAACATGACTTAAGAAGCTTTCTTGGATTATGCACCTACTACCGGCGGTACGTACCTGGATTCGCAAAGGTTGCTAAGCCTTTGACACGTTTAACAGAGGGAGAACGACGATTCCAATGGGACGACGAATGTCAAGAAGCCTTCAAGAACCTGAAAAACGCGTTGACCAGCTCACCAGTCCTGAGTTATCCTCTTCCGGATGGTGAATTTATTTTGGACACGGACGCCAGCAATGTAGGCCTGGGAGCTGTTTTGTCGCAGATTCAAGAAGGAAAAGAGAAAGTTATTGGATACTTCAGTAAAACTCTATCGAAGCCAGAGCGAAATTACTGTGTTACTCGACGCGAGCTGTTGGCAGTGGTAAAGGCAGTCGAACACTTTTACAAGTACCTGTATGGAAGAAAATTCTTGCTAAGAACGGATCATGCTGCCCTAAAATGGCTTTTGCAATTCAAGAATCCTGAAGGACAGGTAGCAAGATGGATTGAGAGACTACAGGAGTTCGACTTTGACACAGAACATCGGGCTGGGACCATCCATAGAAATGCTGACGCCTTGTCAAGAAGACCGTGCCCGGAAGACTGTAAACATTGTCTCAGGGCCGAAGAAAAGGATGTGTTTGTTCGCAGAACTACAATCGTGGATGATCATTGGCAATCCGCTGAGGTTCAACAAGACCAGGAAAGAGATCCGGATTTGAAGCTTATCATCGATTGGAAGAAGAACAACCGTAAACCAACGTGGCAGGAAGTCGCCCAATATTCGCCGAATGTGAAATCGTACTGGGCCCAATGGAATTCCATCATCTTAAGTGACGGGCTTCTAAAGCGCGTTCTGGAGTTGCCAGAAGGGGGGGAAGACCGGAAGCAGATAATAATCCCCAGAAATAGGATACCAGAAGTGCTGCAGGAAATCCATGATGGAACTACTGGAGGACATCTTGGGGTGACCAGGACGCTCGGAAGACTTAGGGAACGGTTTTATTGGGTCAACAGCCAACGAGATGTGAAGGAATGGTGCAAGAAGTGCGCCGTTTGCGCGGCAAGCAATGGACCCCAGAAGCGCCCAAAAGCCCCAATGCGACAGTACAATGTGGGCAGCCCATTTGAGAGAATTGCAATCGATGTGGCGGGTCCATTTCCGAAAACAGAATCTGGAAATAAATACATCATCGTTGTAATGGACTACTTCAGCAAGTGGGCGGAAGCGTACGCCTTGCCAAACCAGGAAGCTGCCACAGTGGCCGATGCCCTTATTAAGGAGTGGATTTGTCGTTTTGGTGTGCCAATGGAGATGCATTCAGACCAAGGCAGGAACTTTGAATCTATACTGTTCCAGAATGTCTGTAAAATTCTTAACATTCGGAAGACAAGGACGACTGCATTACATCCGCAGTCTGATGGAATGGTAGAACGAATGAATCGAACGATAAACCGGTACCTGTCCAAGGTAGTCTCTGATCACCAAAGAGACTGGGACCGCTTCCTTCATCTGTTCCTGTTGGCGTACCGTTCTTCTATCCACGATACAACCGGCCAGACACCCGCTAGCATTGTTATGGGGCGTGAACTTCGTCTACCTTGTGACCTGAGGTTTGGTTGCCTACCAGGGGATGATATTGCTGGAGAAGATTACGTCAACAATTTACGTAGGAAAATGAGCGACATTTACAGCCGAGTTCGTTTAAACATCCAGAGCGCCAGTGATAGAATGAAAGAGGCATACGACATCAAGGCGGAAAATGGAGGATTTCAACCTGGAGACCTAGTTTGGTTATACAACCCTCAGCGCCGTCGTGGTTATTCACCGAAGCTGCAGACTTCTTGGGAAGGACCATACGAAGTCATGGATCGCATAAATGACATCATCTACAGGATCAGGAAACAACCAAGAGGAAAGCCGAAAGTGATCCATTTCAACCGATTGGCCCCTTACGCTGGAAACAATGCTCAAATAGACGATGCTAGAGTAAGGAGAGTTAATCCGCCGGAAGACGACTTGCCTTTTGAAGACTTCATGTATTTATATTCGAGCGGTAAAAAAGCTCGGTATGGTGTCACTCGAGAAGAGCAAAAAGATCTGTTCACGGTTTCGGCCGATTACTCCCTGGCTCACTGTGTTGCGGAAGACCTTAGGATGTCCAGGGGAATAGCGGTTGTCTTTAAAAACAAGTTTGGACGGGTCGACGAGCTACGAAGGCAGAGTCCCAAAGTTGGAGAGGTGCTTGAAATGGTGGATAATGAGCAGATAGGTAACCGAAGTATCTTCTATCTGGTAACGAAGCAACTCTCCAATCAGAAGCCAAATTACCGTGACGTATGGAATGCCTTAAATAAATTGAGGGATATCCTTTTGTCCAAGGACATCATGAACCTGGCGATACCAAAGATTGCTTGTGGACTTGACGGTTTGGACTGGAGAATAATTAGAAGTATGGTGGAAGTTATCTTCAGATTTAGTGGCATACACATTCTTGTCTGTTGCCACAACCCTAAAAGAACAACCGGAAGGAAGACCGTAGACTGCTACTTCTATAGGACGTCACAATGCAAGTTTGGATCTCTATGCAAATATCGCCATGGAGCTGAGGACCATTTTCGGGACGAAAATGTTTTAAGACGGGGGCAATGTAGCGAGTACCGCTCTGGATATCGGAGTGATGACTCATCGCCGGTTAGTCATCGCCGATGAGTCATCGCCGGTGACTCAGCGCTCGAACAATCGAGAGTGTGGAGCTCGCTGGAATGTTCCAGAAGACCTTGGCGCTGAATATATAAGAAACGGAGCAGCACACGGCAGTCAGTTGAGATTTGATACGCGCGAAGAAATAAATAAATATAAGTGCAAATAAATAAACTTGAACAGTAGTGATATATAAATAATTAGTAGTTAAGTGTTAAGTTTTATAGTTTTATAGTGTTTTAAGTGTAGTTAAGTTATTAAATAAATAGTTTAGTTCGTTAATTAACCAGTGCGTGTTTTTATTCACACTACGAACAGTTAAAAACGTTACAGAATTAATTGGGTTATAACTGTTTTGTTTCCAGGTGGTTCAAAGGAAACTGCACAAAATTTGTTTAAGGTTTGGAGTTAAAAAGAAATATAACACATAAATAAACATTTGTGATAATACATATTATGTACGGACATCTATGTAAATGCTAGGAGCAACCAATTTCTACCAAAGCATAACTTGTGAAGAATAAACTATTTTGTATAATATTTTTTATTATTTTCTAAACAATTTTAACACCTTTTGGCGTTACAAATTTCCTATTATTATACCACAAGAAAAACTTTTTGCAGGCAATCACAATAACTTTTCTTAAATATCTCAATAACATTTTCAAAGGTCTGTACATAAAAACAAGTAAAACTATGGTAATGGCTAAAAATAGCATTAAAACATCCAATAAATAATATTGATATAAGGGTAAATCAGTGGCGTTACTTCTTAAATGGTGGGCACCCTTATACCGTATGACGTATTCAACCCAATAAACTGCTTTATCCAGATCTGAGATTGGCTGGTCCAGCAGTATTTTGCCCAACTCATCAGCTCGTTCGCGATATCTAAATTAAAAAAATATTTGTTAAAATTGGTGGTATTTTTGGATTCTGACTACATCTTCTAGTAATTCTAAAAACGTTTCTTCTGTCAGGTTGCCATCAAGAAAAACGGGTCCAACCAGACGATCTCCGAGATTAAGTTTTTAAGTCTGTGTACTTACTTTGGATTTTTTATCAAAGTGGTTACTTTTTCCTTTACATTTTCGGTGGTAATGAGGTTTTTGTCCAATTTCAAGCCATACCCCATTTTGATGGCTTTCTGTGTATTCGTTAATTGGTCCCCAAAAAATGGAATTATTAATACAGGTACACCTGACGACAAAGATTCTGTCAACGAATTTATACCGCCTTGTGTGATAAACAGCTTCACATTTTTATGTCCTGAAAACATAAATATTGTAAGGTAAATAGTATTTATTATATATAGTTCTCGTATAGGTACTTAATATATCGTGTTGAGGCAGCCATTTTTCCATCCTAACATTTTTGGGAATTCGAATATTAACCCAGTGGGCTTTCATTAAAACATTATAGGGTAATTCTGCAAATGCTTCTAGTATGGCATTTTTTTTCTCCGAATTAAAAACGTTGTCTTTAACATTGGTTCCCAAGCTGAAATATATCACGCCATTTTGGGATTCCTCCAAATATTGTTGGATACTCTAAAACATCATTAATTGTTAACCTATATTTTTATTAAAACCCGCAAAAGAGCTTAGGGTATAACCTACCGTTGGCAATGGTTTTTTCGGTTTTAAATATATGGTACTAAGCGTAATGGTATGAGGGTTAATGGGCCTGACATCATGGAGAACCGGGTGCGTTCCAATAAACAACATGCTGACATTTTTCGTCATCTCCCATAACGAAGGCATTGTACTCCCGAAAAACCCCCTCAACACATCCTCCTGTATGGGGTAATAATAGTTGTACATATAGTAATTCAAGAGTACACTGTACACGGTACTTTTAACCCTTTCGAAGTAACTCATGTGGCTGGTATTCTTCACGTACAAATTGAAGTCGGGATTCACCACGGGGTGAACCAAATTCCCCAGGTTGTAGTGATACTCCATGGCGGCGTCGAAAGAAGTGACCCCTATGGAGGGGCACTTGAACCTCCACGAGTAAACTATGGGGGCGGCGAAAATCTGGGTCTCGAACATCACCAAGTCGAATTCCGCATCACTATTAATCAGTTTTCTAACCTCCGGTACATTAAAGTGCGTCTTGGTGAGGTCTTGGAGTAAACCTCCAAGCAAACTGACAGCTGCGCCGAGGCTAGCTTCCGCAGCTGCGTCCAGTATGTTGTGCCTGGCTAACGCCTCGTATGTTACGTGGGTGTTTATTTCCGTCAGGTTGGTTAAGCTGGTGTCGTTCATCGGGTCTGTTGTTATTATTGTTACTTGGTGTCCCCTTAAAGATAACTCCCTCCAAAGGGGTCTGTAGAACATTTGGTGACTGTAGGAGGGAAATGAGATCACCCCTAAGATTTTGGCACTGTAACATAACTTTAAAATGATTAGCACTACGAGGAAAGGTTTCATGAACATTGTGTTAATCTAAAAATAAGCAAGTAATTATTTTGTTAATTGTTTATAATTTTATTGTTTACCTTTTTTAATTAGGTAGATATAATTTATATTATTGATACAAAAACTAACTGCAACTAAAGGAAATACTGCAAAATATTTTGCTTAAAACATTATAACTTGGGGCCTTTGATAAACAGTGATAAACGCGAATAAATTTTAACAACTATCAGTCTGCTTTTACGGTGTAAAAATAAATACTTAATTTTTAAGTTAACCTACCTTTGGTTTTAGTTTTAACTTAAAAGTTATGGTAATTGTAATATTATGAGAATTGAGGATTGCATTTTCAATAACCCCTGTGTAGGTTTAAAATAACAAAAAATAATAATTTATTATAAGCATTCGCACGCTAAAATCACTTTTATCTTTTTCAAAGTATTTCATATCGCCTGCATTTTTCGCGTTAAACCTAGTTCAACATAAAAATACCGTTTAGGTATTTACAATTCAGTGTTTTATGATAATTAAAAATCTTACGTCAACTTTTAAGTTTAAAAAATATGTATTATACGACACTCACATGTGAGTGCAGGCAAAATAATCGATCCACACAAATTTTCGATGAATTTCAATCGCAAATAACTTTTTTATTTGATGTCGGATTTAAGCGAATATTAAAGAATATTGTAGATAAATTAATGGACAATCGCTCACAATTTAAAAAAATTACTAAAAAACAGACGTACGTTTATAATATACAGGTTTAAACAAAAATATGTTTTTTACCATAAGTTTAAGACACTCTGTAGAGTGGCAAAACCGTATATTTTTCTAAATTAAGTTTTAATTACCAAGTCACATCTATTTTTAACAGTTTTGTTTTTGGTTCACCTCGATTTATTTATTTTTGTGGAAAATATGGATTTTTTAAAAAAACAATGCAATTTCCAATATTTTTCTGTATGAAGAACTAAGGTTGCTATGGTCCCGCGGTGCGGGGGGGCCCCCGACCTTAGGGGGGCCCCGTAGAGAACCACATTGGGTGGTATAAGTGACAAAGGGGCCCCAGCTTAAAATTTGCGGGGGGGGGCCGATCACCTTTGCACGCTACTGTATGGTCCATCCATAGGCTATGGAGAATGACAGTGACAGTTTTGTTGAATCATCCCATACTTTGACATGTCATACACGGCTTTCAAAAGCTATCAAATTGTTTTTGCAAATTAATGTTTAAATTTTGAGGTGTCTTCTTACTTTAAAAAATGCATATGTCTCCGACTGATGTTGCCAGAGCCATTAATTTAATCCAGAATGAACGGTCACAGTATTACGTGGCAAGTGTTTTAAACGTCACAAGAAGTAAAGTACAAAGGGCAACATCAGTCGTAGACATTTTTAAAAGTATGAAGACACCTCAAAATTAACACATTAATTTACAAAAAACAATTTGATAGCTTTTGAAAGCTGTATATGACATGCCCAAGTATGGGATGATTCAACAAAACTGTCACTGTCATTGACAGTTTTGTTGAATCATCCCATACTTTGACATGTCATACACGGCTTTTAAAAGCTATCAAATTGTATTTTGCAAATTAATGTTTAAATTTTTTGGTGTCTTCTTACTTTAAAAAATGGATATGTCTCCGACTGATGTTGCCAGAGCCATTAATTTAATCCAGGATGGATGGTCACAGTATTACGTGGCAAGTGTTTTAAACGTTACAAGAAGTAAAGTACAAAGGGCAACATCAGCCGGGGACATTTTTAAAAGTATGAAGACACCTCAAAATTAACACATTAATTTACAAAAAACAATTTGATAGCTTTTGAAAGCTGTATATGATATGCCCAAGTATAGATGATTCAACAAAACTGTCACTGTCATCCTCCATAGGCTATGGATGGACCACAGCAACCTTAGTTCTTCATACAGAAAAATATTGGAAATTGCAATGTTTTTTTAAAAATCCATATTTTTCACAAAAATAAATATATCAAGGTGAACCAAAAACAAAACTGTTAAAAATAGATGTGACTTGATAATTAAAACTTAATTTAGAACAATATACGGTTTTGCCACTCTACAGAGTGTCTTAAACTTATGGTAAAAAACATATTTTTGTTTAAACCTGTATATTATAAACGTACGTATATTTTTTAGTAATTTTTAAAATGTGACCGATTCTCCATTAATGTATCTACAATATTCTTTAATATTTGTTTAAATCCGAAAACAAATAAAAAAGTTATTTGCGATTGAAATTCATCGAAAATTTGCCTGTGATTGTAGTTTAAATTTAATCATTTTTTTACATGTTGTCTGCAAAGAAAGTTTAATGGCTAAAATCTTAACAAGGGGGAAGGGGGTCCAAATTATCAGAAAAATGCCTCACGTAATTAATGGAGGTCCCTTTATTCTCTCAATAATTAAAACTCCTTTTTTAAGTAAGCTCAGCTACTTAAAGAAGCATTTATCAGTCTGATTTATTCTTTAAATTACGTTTTTTAATAAAATACATTTTACATAAACATTTTATAAACAAGCAAATTAAGAAAAAAGTAATAAGAAAAATGCTTAAAATAACCCCTAGGACATCTAATAAATAGTATTGATAAAAAGGCATATCAACTACATGATTCCTTAAATTCTTAGCTCCCTTATGTCTTAAAACATACTCGATCCACCATATTGTTTTGTCAAAGCCCGTCATTGGCTGATCTTTGGATAAACTTGATATTTCCACAACCCTTTGTTTGTACCTTAAAAAATAAAATTATTATTACAATCAAGTTTTGTTTTGTCATCTTACTTTGGGTTTTCTATGAGCTCCATAATATTTTCCTCAAAAATTTCGACTGTTATTGTTTTTACGTCTATTTTTTTGCCCAATCCACGATTCACAAATTTTCTAACGTTCTGTTCTTGATCTGCAACAAAAGGTAGTCCTAGTATGGGAACCTCAAAATAAAGGGCTTCTTCCATTGAGTGCACACCGCCTTGGGTTATAAATAGCTTAATGTTTGGATGTCCTAAAACAACCTATACTTACAAATATAATTCCTAACTTAAGTGTTAATATTTTTACTTAATACATCTTGTTGGGGACACCAAGAAACTACCATTACATTTTTTGGTAGACCAATGATATCCCCATCAAATTTCCACAAAATTTTAAGGCTCTTTATCTTCCTGAATGTATTAATGAACACATCTTGAAGCTTCCTATCTATATTAGCACTTTTAATATTTGTACCCAAACTAAAGTATATAGCCCCGTCTGTGGCGTCATCGAGAAACCTTTGAATATTCTAAAACAAGCATAATATAACAACAATACTCCCAAAACATTCTTGAACCTTGCCTGTGGTAGTGGTGTAGCCTTTTCGGGCTTCGCTAGCCCACCTATGGGTATAAAATTTGGACCTACAGGTCTCAAGTAGAACGCTGGGTTGACATTGGTCAAAATAACACTAACATTGGCTGTAATTTCGTTTGCGCTTGGCATGTTGTTCCCGAAATGTTTTTTGATCAATTGGTCTTCAATGTGTTTGTCACTGAAGAAGTCCTCCATTAACAACATAGAAGACATAATGCAGCTTACAAAGCGTTCTTTAAAGCTCATTTTACCATCGAAAGGTATGAAGAAGTCCGGGTACAAAACGGGGTGGATGGGATGTCCGAAAAACCGCTGGTAGAGTATATTTAAATCCGTCACGGATACTCCGAGATAGGGGCAGTTGAATTTACTGGCGAAAGCTGAGAGGACGGGGCTTATAAACTCAACTATCACCAAGTCGAATCCTCCATAACTTCCTTGTATCAATTTTTGCACCTCTGGGTGTTCCAGTTGTTTATCAACGACTTTATAAAAACCCTTTCTCGACTCTTGTACGATTTTGTACAGGTTTTTGCCATATTTGTCGATTAGTTTGGTGGTATGGTATTCATCCTGCCAAAGTTTGTATATGAAGTCAGTGTTTATTTCTGTTAAGTTTATGGCAGTGTTGTTCATAGGGCTTGCTGTTATGACAGTTAACTCGTGACCAAGTTGGATCAGTCCCTTCCATATTGGATGGAAAAAGGTTTGATGGCTTGGGGTGGGTCCTGAAACCACGCCCAAAATTCTTGCACCTTCACTTGAGGAAAATAGTAACGAAAAAAATATTATCGGGAACATGCTTTGATCTACACTAAGCACTTTTAAGTTTTTTTGTTTGTTATCTTGTTTTCGTAGGTTTTAAGTATTTGCATATATTTGATATAAAGTAATCACAAATTTATTCATTTTTTATTTTCCTTAATTTAACAAACAACCTTATAAACAGCATAATAACAAATTTAAGGATTTTGTATAAAGTATATGAAGTTAAAATAAATATTAAACCGACATCCAGAAAAAAATATTGATACCAAGGAATTTGGAAAAATGATGATTTCAAGTACTTCGTCCCTCTATGTCGTATAACGTATTCTATCCACCAGACTGCCGTGTCCAAACCTGACATAGGTTGGTCATTGAAAACGTTTGATAACTCCTCAACAGTCTTCTTGTATCTGCATCAAAATATTTTATTATTATTCCACATAAACATTTTTTTACCATAACACTTACTTCGGCGTGTTGATGACCGTTAAAATTGCTTCCTTCAGCGATTCTATTGTCACTTTATATTTATCCAAGCTCACCCCAATGCCTAAAGTTGAGATCTTCTTGGCCTGAAACTTTTGGTCACTCACGAAAGGTACTACTAATAATGGTACGTGGTTGGCTATGGATTCATCCACTGATTGGACTCCTCCTTGCGTGATGAAGAGTTTGATGTTTTTATGTCCTAAAATTCTAAATGATTCATATTTTTTGTTTAAGCCATATGAAAGACTTACTGAGAACATCCTGTTGTGGCAACCATTTAGCAAATTTAACGTTGCCATTGTCCGTATTTAATTCAGTTTCGAATTTCCACAGCACTTTATAGGGAAGCTCCTTAAAAGTTTGAAGCAGTATTTTTTGCAATTCTGGTGTTACGTGGTCACTCTTAACATTGGTGCCAAAACTGAGATATATGACACCATCTTTGCCCGAATCTAGAAAATCTTGTACATCCTACAATAAAAACATTAAAAAATGCTTTAATACAGGGTGTCCCGAAATTAGGGGGCCAAACTTAAACAGTGCATTATTTATAGAAAAATAACACTTTTTTGTTTAATAAACATATATCAAAAATGCCCCCTAACGGAGCTACGCCCCCCTAAATAGGAGCTTAAGAGCATCATTTTTTTTAAACTATTCCTAGAGGGTTGAACATCAAGACCTGAATTTTTGGGACTTTGGTAATTTTGACATTCTGAATCTGGATCTATAATCAAAACTGTTAAAATTTAATCATAGGCGTAACATTTGAGGGGGCAAATTTACAAAAACAGCCCCAACTTTTTGCAGAGTGAGTATTTTAATGTTTTGTTATAAAATTATGAAAATGTATAGTTTTTCACGAAAAATAAGTACTCTTGCTTTGAATCGCTCAGATGCACCATTTTCGAGAAAATTGCAATTTAAATTACTATGCTTAGCATAATTTCTAATATTTTCATTAAAAAGCTTTGGGACAAAAGTGACGTTTGGGTTATTTGCTGACTTTACATTTATTTTTATAGTTTAGTTAATATTTTTTGTTTTTTATTATGGAGCGATTTTCCAAATTTTAACACAAAATTTTAACGAAAATATGAGATGTGTATGCTATGCAGAGTAATTTATAAATGCATTTTTCTCGAAAATTGTGCATCTGAGCGATTCAAATTAAGACTAACTATTTTTCGTAAAAAACTATGAGTTTTCATAATTTCATAAAAAAAAATTAAAATATTATCTCGGAAAAAAGTTGGGGCTATTTTTATAACTTTTCCCCCCCAAATGTTACGCCTATGATTAATTTTTAACAGTTTTGATCTTAGATATTGATTCAGCATCTAAAAATTACCAAAGCGCCAAAATTTCATTTCTTCATGTTTAACGCTCTAGGAATAGTTAAAAAAAAACTATTCTCTTAGGCCACTATTCAGGGGGCCGTAGCTCCGTTAGGGGGCATTTTTTGTTACATGTTTATTTAACAAAAAAGTGTTACTTTTCTATGAAGAATGCACTGTTTAAGTTTGGCCCCCTAATTTCGGGACACCCCTTATATTAGAGTTATACCTTCGGTAATGGTTTTGGTGAATCCAAATGGAGTTGCCCCCCAATCCTCACCAGCCACGGCGATAAAGGGCGGCTGTTATAAACGGGATGGGAGTTGATGAGCACCAAACTAACATTCCTTACGATATCTTCCCTGCTGGGCATATTAGGCCCGAAATATTTCTCAACCTGATCAACACCTTCACTCCTCTTAATCAAACTTAATAAAGGAAATGTCTTTTTAAATAAGTAAAACCCTACTGACACCATTCGCTCTAATATGGATTGTGGTCCATAAAATGGTAAAATCACGTCTGAGTATTGTATTGGGTGTGATGGAATTCCGAGCGTTTCGTAGTGACCGTTCATGATTTCGGCGGAGGATACTCCAATCAATGGACAATTAAACCTAACAGCAAAAGCGTTGAAAACCTCCAAATGGATTTCATTGATTACCACATCGAAATGTTCGGTTTTGTCGTTTAATAACTCCTTAACGTCTGGATGGGACAACTCGAAGTCATTTGTGTCTTCAATCCATTTCATAATAGACTTCATCTTTTGATAGTAACTTGCGTCGTTGAGGTAAATGTTGCTTACATTGTGGACGTGGTGTCTTATATGATACGCTCCACTCCAATCGATTTGTCTCACGTTTTTCGGAGCATTTTCCATCACGTCAGTTGTCATGACCACGAGATCGTGGCCCTTCCTGGCCAGTTCAAGCCATATCTTCCTGAAGAAAATTTGGTGGCTATACGACGCAGCTGGACAAGTAAACAAAATTCTGGCCCCGCATGACGAATGTATAAGGAAAATAACCACACTTAACACTCGTATTAGTTTCATGACCGACAATCACTTTATTTAATATAATAGTCTTTTATCTAAATGCACCTATAAATAGGTTTATCATTAAATAAGTACTCTAAACAATACGATAATAACTACTTGGGTTTATTTTTCTTAATTATATAAGTGAATATGATGATAAAAATAAGTTTAAATTAAAATTTTATTTAAACATATATCAAGGATATGTTTCTATTAAATTTATTTAACAAATAATGAAGTCCTTTAAAAACCACTTTGGTGATATTGCAAATTAAATAATAAGCAACAAGTAATAATACCAAAACACCTCCTATAATATCCAACATCAAAAATTCATATATAGGCATATTGCTCGCTTTACCTTTGAACAGTGGAGCCCCCTTGTGCCTAAGTACGTACTCAATCCACCAGATCCTCCACTTTTTTTTTATATCTGTAAAATAAAGTATTACATGCTATACATGCTATATTTAAAACAAGTTAAGCATTTGTCTTACTTTGGATTATTTAATACTTCGGTTATAGCATTCTTGACTGCTTCTTTGGTGATTTTCAGCCTGGAAATTTTGACAGCAAATCCCCTTTTAACGATTTTCTGGACGTTTTGGTATTGGCTACCAAAAAAAGGTATCCCCACTAGAGGTATACCATTTGATACAGCTTCCTGCAACGATTGAAGACCTCCTTGGGTAATAAAAAGCTTTATACTTGGGTGTCCTATAAGTAAATGTTTACTAACAGTATTGTACAAGAATGTATTGATTATATTTTACTTAGTATATCCTGTTGTGGTAACCATTTGGCCACTTTAACATTTTTTGGTACCTTTATATTCTCCCAATCTGCTTTGACGATAAATTTGTAAGGTAGCTCAGAAAATGCTTTATAAATAGCTACTTTGTCTGTTTGGTTTAGTAAATTTGCATTAACGATTGTTCCTAGACTAAAGTACACTACAGGTTCCTTGGCTACATCCAAATATTCCTGAAGATCCTACAAAAATAACATCTAAATTGTTTGCAATAAGTATTACATTTACGCCGACTTACCTTTGGTAAGGCTTTTGTGGGCTTAATATGTAACCCGCTTCCTATAGATATGGTGTGTGGATAAACTGGTTTGGTTTCTTGGAATATAGGATTGTCAACCACAAAAAACATATCGATATTCTTTATAAGTTCACCTGTCTTCGGTACACCATCACCAAAATGCTTTCTATGAATCTCATCATACAAAGAAAAAATGTCATAACATAAAACATGACATACTATATAACTGATTATGCTTGTAATTTTTTCCATGTAAGTCATATTGCCTATATCGTCTATTTCCAGTAGAAAATCTGGGTTCATAAGAGGGTGGTTAGGATTGCCCATGGCGTAGTTGTAAGGCATTGGAGCCTGCATTGAAATAACACCAATAGAAGGACATTTGAATCTCCAAGCATACACCAGAGGGTAAGTGGCAGCTTCAAAAATCACCAGGTCAAATTTGGCATTTGGATCGTTCATCAGTGATTTGACTCTTGGATCGCCAAAGTTCACATCGTACAGATCTTTGATGAAATATTCAATTTCTTTCATAATTTCAAAAAAACCCTGCTCTAAGACTAGATGCTTGTCTAGGAAATTGTGACGGTGCAATGAATCATATGATTCTCCAATGACGATCTCTGTTAGGTTCGTCAAAGTTTCATCGCTGATTCCATCCGTTACGATTGTTGTCACGTTATGACCTCTTAAGGAGAGTTCTTTCCATATGGGTTGAAATGTCGTTTGGTGGCTATAAAATGGTTGAGGCATCACGCACAAAATTCTAGCCCCATTAGTATTTGAGGAAACAAGAATCAATACGAACAATTTAAGCAACATGTTGATGAATAAAGAAAATAACAATATACTTGACTCTTTTTTAATTTATTTTTGTCAAAGAAATAACAAGATACATTAATGTACCTACGTAGATAATTACAAATTTAAATTTTTATATTGTTTATTTAAATTTAATATTCATTATCGTCGTCAGTTAATGTGTTGAGTTTAATTTTTCTTTATTTTCACCACTTTTTTCCCAAATAACATAAATTTAACCATCCTGAATACAAGTTGAATTAACATCCAAATACAAAAAGAACAAATTATTGAAAATAGTAAAACAGCTGCAATTACATCCAACATCAAATATTCGTACATTGGCATTTTGGTCGCTTTACTTTTGAACAGTGGAGCCCCCTTGTGCCTAAGTACGTACTCAATCCACCAGATCGCTTTGTCCAAGCTTGTCATTGGCTCGTCGTACATCAAATCACGCATCTCCTCTACTTTTTCTTTATATCTATAAAATAAAGTTTTAAATTATGATATTAATCACCAATAAAGTGTTTGTCCTACTTTGGATTATTTAATACTTCGGTTATAGCATTCTTGACTGCTTCTTTGGTGATTTGGTGCCTGGAAATTTTGACGGCAAAGCCCCTTTTAACGATTTTCTGGACGTTTTGGTATTGGTCACAAAAAAATGGTATTCCCACTAGAGGTATGCCATTTGATACAGCTTCCTGCAACGATTGAAGACCTCCTTGCGTGATAAAAAGTTTTATACTAGGGTGTCCTATAAGTAAATGTTCATTAACAGTATTGTACAAGAATGTTTTGATTATATTTTACTTAGTATGTCCTGTTGCGGTAACCATTTGGCAACTTTAACATTTTCTGGTACCGTCACACACTCCCAATCTGCTTTGACGAGAAATTTGTAAGGTAGCTCAGAAAATGCTTCATAAATAGCTACTTTATCTGTTTGGTTTAGTAAATTTGCATTAACGATTGTTCCTAGACTAAAGTACACTACAGGTTCCTTGGCTACATCTAAATATTCTTGAAGATCCTACAAAAATGTCATCTAAATTGTTTATAATATAACATTTACGCCGACTTACCTCTGGTAAGGCTTTTGTGGGCTTAATATGTAACCCGCTTCCTATAGATATGGTGTGTGGGTAAACTGGCTTGGTTTCTTGAAATATAGGATTGTCAACCTCAAAAAACATATCGATATTCTTTATAAGTTCACCTGTCTTCGGTATACCATCACCAAAATGCTTTCTATGAATCTCATCATACAAAGAAAAAATGTTATAACATAAAACATGACATACTATATAACTGATTATGCTTGTAATTTTTTCCATGTACGTCATATTGCCTATATCGTCTATTTCCAGTAGGAAATCTGGGTTCATGAGAGGGTGGTTAGGATTGCCCATGGCGTAGTTGTAAGGCATTGGAGCCTGCATTGAAATAACACCAATAGAAGGACAGTTGAATCTCCAAGCATACACCAGAGGATAAGTGGCAGCTTCAAAAATCACCAGGTCAAATTTGGCATTTGGATCGTTCATCAGTGATTTGACTCTTGGATCGCCAAAGTTCACATCGTACAGATCTTTAATGAAATATTCAATTTCTTTCATAATTTCAAAAAAACCCTGCTCTAAGACTAGATGCTTGTCTAGGAAATTGTGACGTTGCAATGAATCATATGATTCTCCAATGACGATCTCTGTTAGGTTCGTCAAAGTTTCATCGCTGATTCCATCCGTTACGATTGTTGTCACGTTATGACCTCTTAAGGAGAGTTCTTTCCATATAGGTTGAAATGTCGTTTGGTGGCTATAAAATGGTTGAGGCATCACGCACAAAATTCTAGCCCCATTAGTATTTGAAGAAACAAGAATCAATACGAACAATTTAAGCAACATGTTGATGAATAAAGAAAATAACAATATACTTGACTCTTTTTTAATTTATTTTTGTCAAAGAAATAACAAGATACATTAATGTACGTAGATAATTACAAATTTAAATTTTTATATTGTTTATTTAAATTTAATATTCATTATCGTCGTCAGTAAATGTGCTGAGTTTAATTTTTCTTTAATTTCACCACTTTTTCCCCAAATAACATAAATTTAACCATCCTGAATACAAGTTGAATTAACATCCAAATACAAAAAGAACAAATTATTGAAAATAGTAAAACAGCTGCAATTACATCCAACATCAAATATTCGTACATTGGCATTTTGGTCGCTTTACTTTTGAACAGTGGAGCCCCCTTGTGCCTAAGTACGTACACAATCCACCAGATCGCTTTGTCCAAGCTTGTCATTGGCTCGTCGTACATCAAATCACGCATCTCCTCTACTTTTTTTTTATATCTATAAAATAAAGTTTTAAATTATGATATTAATCACCAATAAAGCGTTTGTCCTACTTTGGATTATTTAATACTTCGGTTATAGCATTCTTGACTGCTTCTTTGGTGATTTGCAGCCTGAAAATTTTGACAGCAAATCCCCTTTTAACGATTTTCTGGACGTTTTGGTATTGGTCACCAAAAAAAGGTATCCCCACTAGAGGTATACCATTTGATACAGCTTCCTGCAACGATTGAAGACGTCCTTGGGTAATAAAAAATTTTATACTTGGGTGAAATATAAGTAAATGTTCAATAACAGTATTGTACAAGAATGTATTGATTTTATTTTACTTAGTATATCCTGTTGCGGTAACCATTTGGCAACTTTAACATTTTCTGGTACCGTCACATTCTCCCAATCTGCTTTGACGAGAAATTTGTAAGGTAGCTCAGAAAATGCTTCATAAATAGCTACTTTGTCTGTTTGGTTTAGTAAATTTGCATTAACGATTGTTCCTAGACTAAAGTACACTACAGGTTCCTTGGCTACATCTAAATATTCTTGAAGATCCTACAAAAATGTTTGTTTGGTTTTGTTTCTTGAAATATAGGATTGTCAACCACAAAAAACATATCGATATTCTTTATAAGTTCACCTATCTCCAGTATACCATCACCAAAATGCTTTCTATGAATCTCATCATACCAAGATGACTTATTATATAACTGATTATGCTTGTAATTTTTTCCATGTAAGTCATATTGCCTATATCGTCTATTTCCAGTAGGAAATCTGGGTTCATGAGAGGGTGGTTAGGATTGCCCATGGCGTAGTTGTAAGGCATTGGAGCCTGCATTCAAATAACACCAATAGAAGGACAGTTAAATCTCCAAGCATACACCAGAGGATAAGTGGCAGCTTCAAAAATCACCAGGTCAAACTTTTCATTTGGATCGTTCATCAGTGATTTGACTCTTGGATCGCCAAAGTTCACATCGTACCTACAGATCTTTAAGGAAATATTCAATTTGTTTCATAATTTCAAAAAAACCCTGCTCTAAGAGTAGGTGCTTGTATTGGAAATTGTGACGTTGCAATGAGTCATACGATTCTTCAATGACGATTTCTGTTAGGTTCGTCAAAGTTTCATCGTTGATTCCATCCGTTACGATCGTTGTCACGTTATGACCTTTTAAGGAAAGTTCTTTCCATATGGGTTGAAATGTCGTTTGGTGACTATAAAATGGTTGAGGCATCACACACAAAATTGTAGCCCCATTAGTATTTGAAGAAACTAGAACCAATATTAAAAAATTAAGCAACATGTTGATAACTAAGAAAAATAACAATTTACTTGGCTTTTTTTATTTATTTTTATCAAAGTTATAACAAGTTACATTAATGTACGTAGATAAGTACAAATTTAAATTTTAATATTGTTTATTTACATTTAATATTCATTATCGTCGTCAGTTAATGTGTTGAGTTTAATTTTTCTTTAATTTCACCACTTTTTCCCCAAATAACATAAATTTAACCATCCTGAATACAAGTTGAATTAACATCCAAATGCAAAAAGAACAAATTATTGAAAATAGTAAAACAGCTGCAATTACATCCAACATCAAATATTCGTACATTGGCATTTTGGTCGCTTTACTTTTGAACAGTGGAGCCCCCTTGTGCCTAAGTACGTACTCAATCCACCAGATCGCTTTGTCCAAGCTTGTCATTGGCTCGTCGTACATAAAATCACGCATCTCCTTTACTTTTTCTTTATATCTATAAAATAAAGTTTTAAATTATGATATTAATCACCAATAAAGCGGTTGTCCTACTTTGGATTATTTAATACTTCGGTTATAGCATTCTTGACTGCTTCTTTGGTGATTTGGTACCTGGAAATTTTGACAGCAAAGCCTCTTTTAACGATTTTCTGGACGTTTTGGTATTGGTCACAAAAAAATGGTATTCCCACTAGAGGTATACCATTTGTTACAGCTTCCTGCAACGATTGAAGACCTCCTTGCGTGATAAAAAGTTTTATATTTGGGTGTCCTATAAGTAAATGTTCATTAACAGTATTGTACAAGAATGTTTTAAATATATTTTACTTAGTATATCCTGTTGTGGTAACCATTTGGCAACTTTAACATTTTCTGGTACGGTCACATTCTCCCAATCTGCTTTGACGAGAAATTTGTAAGGCAGTTCAGAAAATGCTTCATAAATAGCTAGTTTGGAGGTTTGGTTTAGTAAATTTGCTTTCACGATTGTTCCCAGACTGAAGTACACAACTGGTTTTTTAGTATGATCCAAATAATTTTTAAGATCCTAAAAATGGATTTTAGTAGTTCAAAATCAAATGATTTTTAATTGAGTTACCTTGGATAATGCTTTCTTGGGTTTAATATGTAAACCACTTCCTAAAGATATGGTATGCGGGTAAACTGGTCTTAGGTTATTAATTATAGGACTATCAACCACAAACAACATGTCCATATCCTTTATAAGTTTTTCAGTCCTTGGTATACCATCGCCAAAGTATTTTTGATTAATCTCATCGTACATTTGGAAACATTGGTGACGCATAATGTGACCAATTATGTAAGTTAAAATACTTACAACTTTTTCCATTAAAGTCATGTTGTCTACATCGTCTATTTCAAGTAAAAATTCTGGGCTTACAAGTGGGTGGGTTGGGTTGCCCATGGCATCGTTGTAATAAATTGGAGCTTGCATTGAAAGAACTCCAATGGACGGACATTTAAATTTCCACGCGTATATCATGGGATAAGTTGCAGCTTCAAAAATCACCAAGTCGAATTTAGCATTTGGATCGTTCATCAGTGATTTGACTCTTTGATCGCCGAATTGCACATTGTACAGATCTTCCACGAAATATTCAAGCTCTTGAACGAATCCAAAGAAACCGGATTCTGCATGCTTGTGCAGGAAATTGTGACGTTTCAACGATTCATGAGATTCTTTGACGACGATTTCTGTTAGGTTGGTTAAAGTTTCATCGTTGATTCCATCCGTTACGATCGTAGTCACGTTATGGCCTCTTAGGGAGAGTTCTTTCCATATGGGTTGAAATGTTGTTTGATGACTATAAAATGGTAGCGGCATAACACACAAAATTCTAGCACTATTAATTTTTGAAGCGGTAAGTGCAAATATTAATAATTTAAACAACATGTTTGGACGCAATGAGAACTAACATAATAATGAGTTTTTTATATCTATAGCATATTTTAAAAACGAAGTTATTATAATATAGGTATTTAAAATATTTTTTTAACGATTTTACGATTTGCGACTTACGAAATTTCAAGCCATGTCACCAGTGTTGCCACTTGTGTACCTAGATTTGGTATTTATTTAGATGTAAAAATAAAACACCAATGGTTAATTCTTTATAACCTAATTTTAATTATACAAACTTAATCTTTCTTGGCTTTCGGCTTGCCAAATAATAATTTTGATATAACACACTTTAATATTTTATAGCTCAGAAATAAAACAATAAATAGGGCTCCAAGTACGCTTCCAATCACGTCCAACATGTAATATTTCCATGCAGGCATGTCGACAGCCGGACTCCTCAAATGCTTGGCGCCTTTGTGTCGTATTACGTACTCGATCCACCATACGGCCTTTTCCAGGCTTGTCATTGGCTCGTCATGAAGAAGCTCGCCCATTTCCTTCGCCTTTTCGCGATACCTATACAAAAGTTATTCGAAAATTGGATTAAAATTAAAAATCTTAATTTATTACCTTGGATTATTCAAAACTTCCAGTATAGCTTGTTTGAAGTTCTCCTTGGTTATTTCATTTTTGTCCACCCTCACTCCATATCCCTTTTTAACCATCCTGTATACGTTTGAAATTTGATCCCCGAAAAATGGAATGCCCACCAGTGGAATACCATTGGTGATTGATTCTTGTAGCGACTGCAGTCCTCCTTGGGATATAAACAGCTTTATGTTAGGATGTCCTGAAAGATAAATGTTGAAAAATCTATTTAATTATTATTAATATTATTACTTAAAACATCTTGCTGTGGTAGCCACTTTTGTATTTTCACATTCTTCGGTACGTCTTTTAAGTCTGTATCCATTTTCATGAGGACATTGTAAGGGAGTTCTGAAAATGCCTGGAGTATGTTTCTTTTTATAGTATCATTCAAAAGGTGTCCTTTAACGTTTGATCCCAAACTGAAATAGATTACTCCATTTTTGGAACTATCCAGGTACTCCTGTAAATCCTGGAACAAAAACAGTGATTATTAATTAGCGTGATAAGTGTTTTTCGCTTTATACTCTTGCTAAAGGTTTTGCGGGTGACAAATGTAAATTTCCGCCTATATTAACTATATTGCTACTTTCAATTAAAGCGTTCTGAAAAATAGCGTTTGTGCAGGTTAAAATTAAACTCATATTTTGAATGGATCTGGTCGAATCAAGATCATCATTTTTAATATATTTCTGCATGGTTGTTTCGTACATAGGAAGAACAATGTAATCAGTTAAGAAAGTGAACACTAATTCGTAAACCAAGCTATTTATTCTTTCGAAGAACGTCAAAAATTTGTGATCCACCACACCAACATTCAGCTGAAAATTCACCACGGAATGAACAGGATTCCTCAGTTTAAAGTGGTACAACACGGGCAGCTCAAAGGAGTTTACTCCAATGGTGGGACAGTTGAAAATCTTGGAAAAATAGATAGGAAAAGGATCCATGGCTTCGAAAATCACCAAGTCGTAGCTCCCTTTGGAAGTAAGCTCTTGAATCTCACCCATACTGAAAATTGTTTCGACAATATTTTTAATCAGAGTAATAAATTGCTTTGCCGCTTCCAACAAGCCGATATCTGAAGCAACCTCCACAAGCCTCTCCATTTTATCCCCGTAGATGTGTTTTATGTTAATTTCCGTCAAATTAACCAATGATTTGTCTCCTATTGGATGGGTTGTTACCAAGGTGACGTGATGACCTTTAAGTGATAACTCTTTCCAAAGGGGTTGGAACGTAATTTGGTGCGCGTAGAAAGGTAAAGGCATAATGCAAAATATTCGCGCACATAATGTGTTACTTGCAAGGCAAAGTAAAAACAGTATCACCAACATGTTGAATGTGGAACGACTGATTTTACGAAGTTATCTTAATTTATTTATATATGCGAAATAATTTATTTATATATACGAAAGTATTTATAATGAAATTTAAGATGTTCAATACAATTTTTAAAGTAGAAGAGCAGTTTTAGGCTTACCTCTTGCAATGTACCATTTCTATTTAAATGTAGACCACCACCAATTTCAATAGAATTTGGGGTTATTGGAGCTAAATTGTAAAACAACGAATTGGTACCACTAATATCCTTGGCCAAAATTCGTAAATCAGGCACATCTTCGCCAAAAAACCTATCAACAACCCTTTGCTCCATTGGAATAAAATTAAAATTCATCAAGTAATACTGATAACACTGATGAAACAAGGTAGCAAGTCTCTCGACGAAATTTAACTGCTCAAAATCAATTACAGGTATATTTACATCAGCCTTTACAAAAGGGTGTACATGATTATCTAAATATTGATGAATGTGCAATATGGGGTCCATAGATGCGATACCGACCGATGGGCAGTTAAACCTCCACGGTAAAACCAGTGGTGACAACATTAACGCCTCAAATATCACCAGGTCAAAGGATTCTTCTTCGAGGATCTTTTGGACCGCTTGGTTTCCAAAATCATTGGTCAAAACCTGCTCAATCAGATCGATTACTATTTGGCCGGATTCGTAGCTTTGGGCACAGCCAGCTTCAACATATTTGTCTAATAGATTCCCGTATTCGTTGAAGAGAATTATTTCGGTTAAATTAGTGAGGGATGTGGAGTTTATAGGATACTTTGTGAGAACTGTCACTTGATGTCCTCTCAAAGAAAGATCCTTCCATAAATTTTGCAAGGTCGCATGATGAGTTTGGTATGGTGATGGTATGTAGCTAAGGATTTTAGAGGAATCAGATAATTTGAATATTATTACACTATACAAGACTATTTTAAACATGTCTGACCCCAAAATTATTAATAAATGAGTTGTAAAGTTATTGATAATAATATAAACCATGCACTGCATTTTTTGATACACTTATCAAAGGAACCTGAATCTACATGCAAATGTTGAACACCACCAGGTCAAAATTAATACTTTTATCGTGTATCAAATTATGGACTTTCATTGACAAAATTATGGTTTCAGTTAACACTTGAAGTAATTAAAATTAATTATAGCTAATTGTTATATTTACCTTCGGTAATTTTTTTGGTTTGGCAATATGCATACCATGCCCGATCAGAATTGAATTTGGATTCATTGGTCTTGTGTTTTGAAACACTGGATTGGCATAACTCAATAATAGACTTATATTGTTTTGAACTTCAAGTAAATCGGGGGCATCTTCACCAAAATATTTTTTAAACCTTGCATTTTCAGTTTGCAAGATATCACCATACACTTTATATTTTAATAAAATTGTATAAAGGAAGCTGATAATTCTTTCCCAAAAATTTAGTTTCATTTGATCCATTATATGTAAATTGGAATCGGGATTTAATATGGGATGTACTTCATTACCAATGGCATATTGGATCCATATTGGGGCTTCCATGGACGTAACACTGACCATAGGGCACCTGAACCTCCATGCGAATGCTGAATAAAAAGGTAGTTTGGCTTCAATTATCGCCAGATCAAAATGAACATTTTTATCGTGTATCAAATTCTGAACTTCCATCGACGTCATTTGGGCTTCAATTAAATCATGTCCCGCTTTTAGTAGAAGCCTTCCAATTTCACTCAAACTTTTGGTTTCATCACTTAGAATAGAGAAAGAGTTATGTCGATCATATATTTCGTAACCGTAAGACATATCGATTTCGGTGAGGTTGGTGAGACTTGAATCTTTTAATGGATCGGTGGTCATTAAGGTAACTTGGTGCCCTCTTAAGGATAACTCGCGCCATAACGGTATAAACGGTAGTTGATGGCTTATGGACGGCGTTGGTATAACCGCGAGAATTTTAGCACAATTTACGTAACTTATAATAGGAAAGATTAGGGATAAAACTTTCATTGTAAGCTGCTTTAATGTATTAAGTAAAACTAAAAAATATTTTAGGAGTACTTTATCTTCAAACACTTGAACTGATTAGTGAAAGTTCAATAAATATTATAATGTATTACTATACAGCGTGCTTACCGTTGGAAGGGGTTTTTGTGGTCCTATATGTAAACCATTCCCAATAAATATAGTGTTGGGATTTGCAGCTCTTGTAAAGTGAAATATGGGGTGTGCTTACCATTACAAAACTAATATTATTTTGCACTTTCAATAGAGTGGGCACTTCATCCCCGAAAAATTTCTTAAACCGTCCATCTTCAAACGGATAATATTTGGTGTACGACAAGTACTTATAAATATAAATGTAAAGGAAGCTGGCGAGTCGTTCTTAGAAAGTCATATTGTCGGGGTCCTCTATGGGGAAATTAGGATCCGTATTTAGCACTGGGTGGGTTGTATTTTCAATGGAGTCGTGGATATTTAGGTTGGCATTCAGCGAAGCTATACCAACTGAGGGGAAATCAAATCTCCAAGCGAAGCCTATATAAATGGGGATTTGAGCTTCAACGACAAGTAGATCAAACTCGATACTTTCATCCCCGATGAGTTATTTTACTTTTTGAAAATTATTAATAAATGAGTTGTAAAATTATTGATAATAATACGATATACCATACACTGCATTTTTTGATACCCTTATCAAAGGAACCTGAATCTACATGCATATGTTGAACACCACCAGGTCAAAATTAATACTTTTATCGTGTATGAAATTATGGACTTCCATTGACAAGTTCAGTTAACACTTGAAGTAATTAAAATTAATTATAGCTAATTGTTATATTTACCTTCGGTAATTTTTTTGGTTTGCCAATATGCATACCATGCCCGATCAGAATTGAATTTGGATTCATTGGTCTTGTGTTTTGAAATATTGGATTGGCATAACTCAATAATAGACTTATATTGTTTTGAACTTCAAGTAAATCGGGGGCATCTTCACCAAAATATTTTTTAAACCTTGCATTTTCAGTTGGTAAGATATCACCATACACTGTATATTTTATAAAAATTGTTAAAAGAAAGCTGAAAATTCTTTCCCGAAAATTTAGTTTCATTTGATCAACTACATGTAAATTGGAATCGGGATTTAATATGGGATGTATTCCATTACCAATGGAATATTGGATCCATACTGGGGCTTCCATAGACGTAATACTGACCATAGGGCACCTGAACCTCCATGCAAATGCTGAATAAAAAACACGTTGGGCTTCAATTATCGCAACATCAAAATGAACATTCTTATCGTGTATCAAATTCTGAACTTCTGTTGACGACATTTGGGCTTCAATTAATTCGTGTGCGGCATTTAGTAAAAGCCTTCCTTTTTCATTTAAACCCTTGGTTTCATCACTTAGAATAGAAAAAGACTCATGTCGTTCTAATATTTCGTAACTGTAAGACATATCGATTTCGGTGAGGTTGGTGAGACTTGAATCTTTTAATGGATCGGTGGTCATTAAGGTAACTTGGTGCCCTCTTAAGGATAACTCGCGCCATAACGGTATAAACGGTAGTTGATGGCTTATGGACGGCGTTGGTATAACCGCGAGAATTTTAGCACAATTTACGTAACTTATAATAGGCAAGATTAGCGATAAAACTTTCATTGTAAGCTGCTTTAATGCACTAAATAAAACTAAAAAATATTTTAGGAGTAGGTACTTTATCTTCATACACTTGAACTGATTAGTGAAAGTGCAATAAACATTATAATGTATTACTATACAGCGTTCTTACAGTTGGAAGGGGTTTTCGTGGTCCTATATGTAAACCATTCCCAATAAATATACCCAGATAGCAAACGTGAATACGAAATCACGCGTGAGTGAATAATGTGTGCTATATGATTTCACACGTGAAGTCTTGAACTCGTAATTCACACGTGAGTAGATTATGAATTCATATTATAGTCTCGTGTGATTTAATCGATTTTATTTTAAAATACATGGATTGCATGATTAAAAACTGCACGTTTAAATATAAATAGAATATTAATATTATAATATCAAAAATATTATATTAATATATTTTCATTTAATATTGTATGTCATTATAATAAATTATAATTATCTCTGGTAACACCCTCCCTTTCCCCATGTCATAAGACATTTTCAGTCACAATCTTTATTTTAAATGTTTTAAAATACACAAATTAATTATTATATGTATTAATTATATAATATATTAAGTTATAAGTAGGTATATTATATAATTATATATTATAATATATATCAGTGGCGGATTGGGGATTTTGGGTATACCAATATCTCAGTTATTAGACATGGGACCCACACCAAATTTATAATAGTTTATTATGACATTAAATAGACAAGTTCGGCGCAAACAGAATTTAAATTGAAGTTTGCGAAAAAAAGTTAGTTTTTTGTGTCGCCTCACCTGGCTTCTGGCCCCCCCATTTGAGATAATTCAAATTAAAGTTGTGCAATTTATACTTCACTATAATTTATCGGTAAATTTAAAATTTTATTTGAAAAATCCAAATATTACAGATTTTATACCATATTAAATATTTTTTTATTATAATAAAATAAATAATAAAAATTTAAAATTTTATAAAATCTGTAATATTTATATTTTTTAAATAAAATTTTAAATTTGTCGATAAATTATAGTGGACCACTTGTTGCACCACTTTAATTTGAATTATCCCAAATGGGGGGGCCAGAAGCCAGGTAAGGCGACACAAAAAACTAACTTTTTTTCGCAAACTTTAATTTAAATTCTGTTTGCGCAGAACTTGTCTATTTAATGTCATTATAAACTATTATAAATTTGGAGTGGGTCCCACGTCTAATAAGTGAGATATTGGTATACCCAAAATCCCCAATCCGCCACTGATATATATTATTATAATTATATATATTATAGTAATATATATAATTACATAATATATATTGGTTTAAAAGGTCACAATTATATGTTATAGGTACATTAATAATTAATATATGTATATTATATATTAATTAATTAATTAATTAGTTAACCTTAAGGTTATAATTGTAATGTATAACCTATAAATGAGGAGCAATCAACCAAAACCAGATAAATCCATTTTGACTTCTTGAATGATTCATATTTCTTTTAGTCGGATAAATCAATTGGAAAAGTGAATTTCAAGATAAACTTATTATAATAATATATATATTATATACTAATATTAATATTATGATCATATCATATTATGATAACAAGTTTAGCTTGAAATGGATATTTCCAATGGATTTATCTGAACAAAAGAAATAGGAACCATTCAAAAAGTCGAAATGGATTTATCTGGTTTAGTCTGATTGCTTCTCAATTATGGCATTTTAAACCAAGTTTTTGTGTATTTTTTTTAAGGTGTTAAAATAAATATTTCGACAGATTAAATTATTTTGAAAAATGAAATCCATATTCTAAAAGCGCATGCGCAAAAAATAAAAAGTTCACGCGTGATGGCAAATTGAGCATCAATTGAGGACTCATCTGTCGCGTTATATGAATTCACGCGTGAATTTAATTTTCACGCGTGAATTCGTAGTGAATTCATAGTGAATTCATTTTGCTATCTGGGTAGTGTTGGGATTTGCAGCTCTTGTACAGTGAAAAATAGGGTGTGTGCTCACCATTACAAAACTAATATTATTTTGCACTTTCATTAGAGTGGGCGTTTCATCCCCAAAAAATTTCTTAAACCGTCCATCTTCCAACGGATAATATTTGGTGTAAGTCAAGTACTTATAAATATAAATGTAAAGGAAGCTGGCGAGTCGTTATTTGAAAGTTATATTGTCGGGGTCCTCTATGTTGAAATTAGGATCCGGATTTAGCACTGGGTGGGTTGGATTTTCAATGGAGTAGTGGAAATTTAGGTTGGCATCCAGCGAAGCTATACCAACTGAGGGGAAATTAAATCTCCAAACGAACTCGATACTTTCATCCCCGATGAGTTATTTTACTTGCGATGATGACAGTTGGCCCGCACCAAGTTCGGTTATCATTTGGGCGAACAATTTACCGATTTGTCTGAAGCTGAGAGAATCGTCGCGTCGGCTGCGAAGTCTGGAAAGCCGTGTTTTTTAACACCTCGTAGGAGAATCCCAAATCTATCTCAAAGAAAGATCCTTCCATAAATTTTGCATGATATGGTGATGGTATGTAGCAAAGGATTTTAGAGGAATAACATAATTTGAATTTTAATACACTATACAAGACTATTTTAAACATGTCTGACCCCAAAATTATTAATAAATGAGTTGATAACAATATATACCATACACTGCATTTTTTGATACACTTATCAAAGTGAACCTAAATCTACATGCAAATGTTGAACACCACCGGGTAAAAATTAATACTTTTATAGTGTATCAAATTATGCACTTTCATTGACGAAGTTATGGTTTCAGTTAATACTTGAAATAATTAAAATTAATTATAGCTAATTGTTATATTTACCTTCGGTAATTTTTTTGGTTTGTTAATATGCATACCATGCCCGATCAGAATTGAATTTGGATTCATTGGTCTTGTGTTTTGAAACACTGGATTGGCATAACTCAATAATAGACTTATATTGTTTTGAACTTCAAGTAAATCGGGGGCATCTTCACCAAAATATTTTTTAAACCTTGCATTTTCAGTTTGTAAGATATCACCATACACTTTATATTTTAAAAAAATTGTTAAAAGGAAGCTGAAAATTCTTTCCCGAAAATTTAGTTTCATTTGATCCACTACATGTAAATTGGAATCGGGATTTAATATGGGATGTATTTCATTACCAATGGCATATTGGATCCATACTGGGGCTTCCATAGACGTAACACCGATCATAGGGCACCCGAACCTCCATGCGAATGCTGAATGAAAAGGTAGTTGGGCTTCAATTATCGCAACATCAAAATGAACATTTTTATCGTGTATCAAATTCTGAACTTCTATTGATGTCATTTGGGCTTCAATTAAATCGTGTAAGGCATTTTGTAGAAGCCTTCTAATTTCACTCAAACTCTTGGTTTCATCACTTAGAATAGAGAAAGAGTCATGTCGTTCTACTATTTCGTAACCGTAAGACATATCGATTTCGGTGAGGTTGGTGAGACTTGAGTCTTTTAATGGATCGGTGGTCAGTAAGGTAACTTGGTGCCCTCTTAAGGATAACTCGCGCCATAACGGTATAAACGGTAGTTGATGGCTTATGGACGGCGTTGGTATAACCGCGAGAATTTTAGCACTATTAACGTAACTTAAAATGGGCAAGATTAGCGATAAAATTTTCATTTTGCTTTGCTTTAATATACTAGTAAAACTAAATAATATTTTAAGAGTACTTTATCATCAAACACTTGAACTGATTAGTGAAAGTGTAAACATTATAATGGATTATTATGCTGCGTGCTTACCGTTGGAAGGGGTTTTGGTGGTCCTATATGTAAACCATTCCCAATGAATATAGTGTTGGGATTGGCAGCTCTTGTACTGTGAAAGATGGGGTTTGTGCTCACCATTACAAAACTGATATTATTTTGCACTTCCAATAGAGTGGGCGCGTCATCCCCGAAAAATTTCTTAAACCGTCCATCTTCCAACGGATAATATTTGTTGTACGTCAAGTACTTATAAATATAAATGTAGAGGAAGCTGGCGAGTCGTTCTTTGAAAGTCATATTGTCGGGGTCCACTATGGGTAAATTAGGATCCGGATTTAACACCGGGTGGGTTGGATTTCCAATGGAGTCGTGGAAATTTAGGTTGGCGTCTAGAGAAGCTATACCAACTGAGGGGCAATTAAATCTCCAAGCGAAGCCCATATAAATGGGGATTTGAGCTTCAACGACGAGAAGATCAAATTCGATACTTTCATCCCCGATGAGTTGTTTTACTTGCGGCGATGACAGTTGGCCCGCACTAAGTTCGTTTATCATTAGGGCGAATTTTTTCCCGATTTGTCTGAAGCTGAGAGAATCGTCGGCCGCGAAGTCTGGAAAGCCGTGTTTTTTCAACACCTCGTAGGAGAATCCCAAATCGATCTCCGTCAGGTTTGTCAGCTGCGGATCTCGCATCGGGTCAGTTGTCAAGACGGTGACTTGATGACCTCTTAGGGACAATTCGCGCCAAATCGGCCTAAACGGTATCTGGTGGCTGAAAGAGGGCATCGGGATGATCCCAAGGATTCTGGCACCATCGCACCACGAGATAAACGCACAGATAAGCACGAAGACCTTCATCGCGAAAGCGGCAAATGAACTGAATTTTGAATTAAATTGTCGATCACACTTAACGATATCTTATCTCGATTACGCAAAGTAAAATAAAACACGAAGTTGAGTATTAGAAACAATTTATTTTAAACAATACTTTTAGTTAGTTTTCTTCTTAACATCAGCCTTTTTGCGCCCAAAAACTAACCAAACAAAAAAATTTAAAATTCTCCAATTTACGTAGAAGACTATAAACAAAACCAATAACACAAAACAAACAACATCCAACATAAAGTAGGTGTAGAAGGGGTCTGTGGTACCATAACTTTTGAAATGTTTGGCGCCCTTATGCCTTATGACATATTCGGTCCACCAGACAGCTTTTTCCAGACCCGTCATTTCCACATCCGTCATCAATTTCGCAATCATCTTCATATTGTTTTTGAACCTGAAAATAAAATTAAAAAATATATCAAATAAAATTAGTAAAAAATATTTTACTTTGGATCTTCGATGACTTTAATTATTTTTTCCTTAAATTCTTCCTTCTTCACATTAGTTCTGTCCACCACGAGACCAATTTCTTTTTCCAAAACTATCTGGGCGTTTTTGTGCTGGTCTCCAAAAAATGGCATACCAACAATCGGTACGTTCATCAAAATGGCTTCTTCAACCGATTGCAAACCACATTGCGTTATGAAGAGCTTAACTTGTGGATGTCCTAGAACCACAAAATAAACATTATGTAACTTAAACTTTAATATTCTCACTGAAAAGATCTTGCTGAGGTATCCACTTGGATACCTTAATATTCTTGGGTAAACCTGTTATGTCTTCGTCATATTTCCAGAGAATATCATAAGGCAATTCACCCAGAGTTTTAATAATTGTTTCTTTCAAATCGTCGGTCAGCAAATTGGATTTTACATTGGTTCCCAAACTAAAGTATACTACCCCATTTTTGCTACCATTTAAGTACTCCTCCAATTCCTATAAACATACAAAAATAAAATATTTGAAAAATAAAGAAACTGAATGTATGCAATATAGATAGCCTATAAACAATGGCATTAGGAATGAAAAACACTAAATCTTTCAATATACAGAATTTGACAAATTAAATGTATTCAATGTAGATGGAATAGAAAAAACATCAGGGATGGGATAGATAAAGACAATCTTTCTTCCAAAGATCGTAACCCAAAGAAAATATAATTTTTATTTTTAAACCCTTAAACCTCTATACTATAGTATAGAATTTGGAAAACTGCATGCATGCAATATAGATAGCAGATGAACAGTGGTATTGGGAAATAACAATGGCATTGTTTCTTCCTAAGAAGACCAACCAAAGAACATTTAATTTTCAATGAAAAACACTAAATCTTTCAATATCTAAAATTTGACAAATCAAATGAATTCAAAGTAGATGGCATAGGAAAAACAACATCAGGGATGGATAAAGACATTCTTTCTTCCAAAGTTCGTAACCAAAAGAAAATATAATTTTTAGTTTTAAACCAGAAAACTTCTATAGTTTAGAATTTTGAAAACTGAATGCATGCAATATAGATAGCATAGGAACAATGACATTAGGAAATGATGGAGGCATTGTTTCTTCATAAGAAGAACAACCAAAGAATATCTAATTTTCAATGCAACACACTAAATCCTTCAATATATTGATATATCTAGAATTTGACAAATTAAATGAATTCAAAGTAGATAGCAAAGGAAAAACAACATCAGGGATGGATGAAAACATTGTTTCTTTCAAAGATCGTAACCCAAACAAAATATAATTTTTATTTTTAAACCCTAAAACTTCTATAGTTTAGAATTTGGAAAACTGCATGCATGCAATATAGATAGCATAGGAACAATGGCATTAGGAAATGATAGAGGCATTGTTTCTTCCTAAGAAGACCAACCAAAGAATATCTAATTTTCAATGGAACACACTAAATCTTTCAATATCTAGAATTTGACAAACCAAATAAATTCAAAGTAAATGGCATAGGAAAAACAACATCATGGATGGAAGAAGACATTGTTTCTTCAAAAGATCGAAACCCAAACAAAATATAATTTTTATTTTTAAACCCTAAAACTTCTATAGTTTAGAATTTGGAAAACTGCATGCATGCAATATAGATAGCATAGGAACAATGTCATTAGGAAATGATAGAGGCGTTGTTTCTTCCTAAGAAGACCAACCAAAGAATATCTAATTTTCAATGCAACACACTAAATCTGTCAATATCTAGAATTTGACAAATTAAATAAATTCAAAGTAGATAGCATAGGAAAAACAACATCATGGATGGAAGAAGACATTGTTTCTTCAAAAGATCGTAACCCAAAGAAAATATAATTTTTATTTTTAAACCCTAAAACTTCTATAGTTTAGAATTTGGAAAACTGCATGCATGCAATATAGATAGCATATGAATAATGGCATTAGGAAATGATAGAGGCATTGTTTCTTCATAAGAAGACCAACCAAAGAATATCTAATTTTCAATGCAACACACTAAATCTTTCAATATCTAGAATTTTACAAATTAAATGAATTCAAAGTAGATAGCATAGGAAAAACAACATCAGGGATGGATGAAAACATTGTTTCTTCCAAAGATCGTAACCCAAAGAAAATATAGTTTTTAATTTTAAACCCTAAAACTTCTATAGTTTAGAACTTGGAAAACTGCATGCATGCAATATAGATAGCATAGGAACAATGGTATTAGGAAATGATAGAGGCATTGTTTCTTCCAACCAAAGAATATCTAATTTTCAATGGGACACAGTAAATCTTTCAATATCCAGAATTTGACAAATAAAATGTATTTAAAGTAGATGGCATAGGAAAAACAACTTTAGGGATGATGGAAAAAGACCTTGTTTCTTCAAAAGATCGTAACCCAAAGAAAATATAATTTTTATTTTAAACCCTAAAACTTCTATAGTATGGAATTTGGAAAACTGCATGCATGCAATATAGATAGCACAGGAACAATGGCATTAGGAAATGACAGAGGCATTGTTTCTTTCTAAGAAGACCAACCAAAGAATATCTAATTTTCAATGGAACACACTAAATATTTCAATATCTAGAATTTGACAAATTAAATGAATTCAAAGTAGATGGCATAGGAAAAATAACATCAGGGATAGATGAAGAGATGGTTTCTTCCAAAGATCGTAACCCAAAGAAAATATAATTTTTATTTTTAAACCCTAAAACTTCTATAGTTTGGAAAGCACTACTAGAATTTTTACTCAAGTAAATACAACCTTAATTTAATTGTAGAACTTACTTTTGGTAATGGTTTGGCTTCTTTCAAATGAGTGCCGCCGCCTATTTGAATTGTGTTAGGCCCCAGAGGTCTCAACTTATGAAAAACTGGATTTACATTGATAAACAACATATCCATATCGTGCTGGATGTCATTCAAAGGCCTTATAGTATAACCTTCAAAGTGCTTGGCCACATTTGCATCCTCATTAGGGTAGAAGAAGTAGGTGGAGAAAACGTAGAAGCCTATGTTGGCCAAAAAGCTGACTACGCGCTGTTTGAACGTCAGGTTGCTCGTGAATGGCATCACTGTATCAGGATATAGAATCGGATTGGTTGGGTTACCCACTGCTCTGTGGATCACCGGTGGTGCGTCAAGGCTGACTAGACCTATGAAAGGGGCCTTGAACCGGTCCACGAAGGCCATGTGACCTGGGTAAATTACTTCCAGCATGAGCAAGTCGAACTTTTCTTTTTCGTTATTGATGAGGAATTCCACTTCGGGCGTGCCAAACTGATAGTCCGACACTTTGTGAAGCCCGTTTATGTAGGTGTTGAAGCTGCTAGTTTTTGAAGAGTTTTGCTGAGAAACGATGCTACCTAACCCTATGTAATTGATGGTAAAAAATGTACCTACGTAAATCAACTACTTCTAACTTACCGAGTTCCTCCATGATTTTGTAGGAATAGCTGGTATCAATTTGCTTGTAGGGAGCATTTTCTTCGGGATCTGTGGTAATTAGAGTTATATCATGGCCTCTACTGGCCAATTCATGCCAAATGGGCCTGAAGGCTAACTGATGGCTTAAAGAAGGGGAGTAAACACTGGCCAAGATTTTCGCCGTTTGTCCATTTTGAATGAATATGGCAAAAATTAGCAACAATAAAATATGAGTTTTCATGTTGGTGTAGTTAAGAACAAACTAAATATTTTTGAACAAGGTTAATTTATCTTTTGAGTAGGCTGAAATTAAGATAGTTTTCAAGTGGCGGTTTTTATATTGCTTATCTATTACATTATATATATTTTTACATTGAGAAATTTTTTAAAACTTCTTGTGTTCTAGTTTTATTGCCACATCCTATGAGAATTAAAATTTCAATTCTGTTTTCGTTAAATTTAAAATACTTCGAAATATTTGGAGAACGCTTAAGAGACATATACTGAACGGTCAACTAAAAGTTTTTACATTTAGTAGTGAATATTTGTTTTAAATTATATATGCTAACAAGGAAATATAAAATAAAAAACTGAAAAAGTTTCACCTTGTAATGAAATATTTTGAGAAAGTTTATAAACATTTCTTCTGTACACGTTTTTAATTTTATCAAAACCCCATTTAAAAGTCTTTTAATAAAAGAACATAAAACATTATTAAAAACTATAAATTTTTCACTTTTAATAGTTATCTCGGAATCTCCAAGAAAAAGATTACGTCAGAGATTCTACAAAAATGGCGAAAAATATGAAAATTGTATGTCAAAATGTGCGTAATTGAAAAACAAAATCGGGTTGTTCAAGGATTTTTTTGATAAAAAACCCGAATTTTTCAATGAAATTTTTCCATACTTTTGCCGAAAAATACGATAAATAATAAATAATGCAATTTTACGGTTAGTAGAATCGTTTATTTTTATAAAAATTATTTATGAGAAATATATTGTATTTTAGCACTTAACCTGTTTGTTATGTGAGCTGGATAATACAGATTTAAAACTAGTTTCGCTTCTTTAATCATACACTCTACGTTTTGAAGAAAGTCCCTGAAAAAATAAATAAAATATTTCCATTAATGATTTCTTTTCCACTTGTAAATTATCTTACTTCAAATTGCAATGTTTTGGATGGCCATTTTGTAAGCAGTGTAAAATGGCCAGGGCTGCTTCATAGAGCTTGGTGCCAATTCCTCTGGAATTGTCGCCTCTTCTGGCCTTTTCATTGGTAAGCCACAAATGAAAGTATTTGAACATATTCTCGGCATCGCAGTTTTCAACGTAGTAACTGTAAAGCCTGTAATAAACCTCCTCAAAGTCTTTATGGTGCTTATAGAGAATCTGCTCCCTTATTTTAAGACACTGTACAAGCAATTCCAGCTGATTGACATCATCATCTACAAGGAAAATTTGTGGAACGTGCATTATTTAAAAATAAACCGACTCACTTTCAAGATATTTTTGAGCTTGATCATTGATAATCCTGAATATTTTGAGCATATATTTTTCTCCGCAATTGACGCAGTAGCTAACCGAGGACTTCTGCACTTCCGGTATCAAGCCTTTGCATTCAGGACACAAATAACTATCCAACATGTCCTTTAAAGGCAACAAAAATGACAACAATCGCGAGCAAAACAATTTTACTCACCACTTCTTTAGCTGGATCAGAACATATGACGCATTTACATTCGAAATGGTAAATGTTTCTACAAGCTATTTGTCGATATTCCCGGTTCATACCACGGTAATCTATACCGTAACAATTGAAGATTTCCTCCTCTTCTTCTATATCTTCCAAAGCCTTAACAACTATTGTATCACAGATAAAACTGAGAAAAAAAACAAATCTTCAAAATGTAAACTCTTGTACTTATGGAAGGATGAGCATTCATTTTGCCTGTGCTATCTATTTTTGGAAAAATCAGGAGTAGCTTTTTCCAAATATAATAAGTAGATAGCATAGAAAAAATGTATGGTCTATTGGAAGGGTTTTACCTTTCCAAAGAGGAAGACAATCAATAAAATAGTAGACAGTCTTTAAAAATCATTTTTGGAGTTACTGTACTTATTTTGTTGTTAAAAATTTGAAAAAATTTAAATTACTTTGATGAAATAACATTTAATTTATGATTGTCTTGGGTTTTAAGGTAAAATCATCAAGGTTAAGTATAAATTTTGTCTATGCTATCTATTATTCAAAAATCTGGAGTAGCTTTTTCCAAATATTAAAAGTAGATAGCATAGAAAAAATGTATGGTCTAATAGAAGGGTTTCACCTTTCCAAACAGGAAGACAATCAATAAAATCGTAGATAGTATTTAAAAAACATTTTTGGAGTTACTATACCTATTTTGTTGTTAAAAATTTGAAATTCAAAGTTACTTTGATAGATTATATTTTATTTATGATTGTCTTTGTTTTTAAGGCAAAATCATCAAGGTTAAGTAAAAATTTTGTTCAAGCTATCTAATATTCAAAAATCTGGAGTAGCTTTTTCCAAATATAAAAAGTAGATAGCATAGAAAAAATGTATGGTCTATTAGAAGGGTTTTACCTTTCCAAAGAAGAAGACGACCAATAAAATAGTAGATAGTATTTAAAAATCATTTTTGGAGTTACTGTACTTATTTTGTTGTTAAAAAATTAAATTACTTTGACAAATTATATTTTAGTTATGTTTGTCTTTGTTTTTAAGGTAAAATCATCAAGTTAAGTATAAATTTTGTCTATGCTATCTATTATTCAAAAATCTGGAGTAGCTTTTTCCAAATATAAAAAGTAGATAGCATGGAAAAAATGTATGGTCTATAAGAATGGTTTTACCTTTCCAAAGAGGAAGACAATCAATAAAATAGTAGATAGTACTTAAAAATCATTTTTGAATTTACTGTAAATAATTATTTTGTAGTTAAAAATTTAAAATAATTTAAATTACCTTGATAAATTATATTTTATTTATGATTGTCTTTGTTTTTAAGGTAAAATCATCAAGGTTAAGCATAAATTTTGTCTATGCTTTCTATTATTCAAAAATCTGGAGTAGCTTTTTCCAAATATAAAAAGTAGATAGCATGGAAAAAATGTATGGTCTATAAGAATGGTTTTACCTTTCCAAAGAGGAAGACAATCAATAAAATAGTAGATAGTACTTAAAAATCATTTTTGAATTTACTGTAAATAATTATTTTGTAGTTAAAAATTTAAAAAAATTTAAATTACCTTGATAAATTATATTTTATTTATGATTGTCTTTGTTTTTAAGGTAAAATCATCAAGGTTAAGCATAAATTTTGTCTATGCTTTCTATTATTCAAAAATCTGGAGTAGCTTTTTCCAAATATAAAAAGTAGATAGCATAGAAAAAATGTATGGTCTATTAGAAGGGTTTTACCTTTCCAAAGAGGAAGACAATCAATAAAATAGTAGATAGTACTTAAAAATCATTTTTGAATTTACTGTAAATAATTATTTTATAGTTAAAAATTTGAAAAAATTTAAATTACCTTGATAAATTATATTTTATTTATGATTGTCTTTGTTTTCAAGGTAAAATCATCAAGGTTAAGTATAAATTTTGTCTATGCTATCTTTTATTAAAAAATCTGGAGTAGCTTTTTCCAAATATAAAAAGTAGATAGCATAGAAAAAATGTATGGTCTATTAGAAGGGTTTTACCTTTTCAAAGAGTAAGACAATCAATAAAATAGTAGATAGTACTTAAAAATCATTTTTAAATTTACTGTAAATAATTATTTTGTAGTTAAAAATTTGAAAAAATTTAAATTACCTTGATAAATTATATTTTATTTATTATTGTCTTTGTTTTTAAGGTAAAATCATCAAGGTTAAGTATAAATTTTGTCTATGCTATCTATTATTCAAAAATCTGGAGTAGCTTTTTCCAAATATAAAAAGTAGATAGCATAGAAAAAATGTATGGTCTATTAGAAGGGTTTTACCTTTCCAAAGAGGAAGACGATCAATAAAATAGTAGATAGTACTTAAAAATCCTTTTTGAATTTACTGTAAATAATTATTTCGTAGTTAAAAATTTGAAAAAATTAAATTACCTTGATAAATTATATTTTATTTATGATTGTCTTTGTTTTTAAGGTAAAATCATCAAGGTTAAGTATAAGTTTTGTCTATGCTATCTATTATTCAAAAATCTGGAGTAGCTTTTTCCAAATATAAAAAGTAGATAGCATAGAAAAAATGTATGGTCTATTAGAAGGGTTTTACCTTTCCAAAGAGTAAGACAATCAATAAAACAGTAGATAGGACTTAAAAATCATTTTTGAATTTACTGTAAATAATTATTTTGTAGTTAAAAATTTGAAAAAATTTAAATTACTTTGATAAATTATATTTTATTTATGATTGTCTTTGTTTTTAAGGTAAAATCATCAAGGTTAAGTATAAATTTTGTCTATGCTATCTATTATTCAAAAATCTGGAGTAGCTTTTTCCAAATATAAAAAGTAGATAGCATAGAAAAAATGTATGGTCTATTAGAAGGGTTTTACCTTTCCAAAGAGGAAGACGATCAATAAAATAGTAGATAGTACTTAAAAATCCTTTTTGAATTTACTGTAAATAATTATTTCGTAGTTAAAAATTTGAAAAAATTAAATTACCTTGATAAATTATATTTTATTTATGATTGTCTTTGTTTTTAAGGTAAAATCATCAAGGTTAAGTATAAGTTTTGTCTATGCTATCTATTATTCAAAAATCTGGAGTAGCTTTTTCCAAATATAAAAAGTAGATAGCATAGAAAAAATGTATGGTCTATTAGAAGGGTTTTACCTTTCCAAAGAGGAAGACAATCAATAAAACAGTAGATAGGACTTAAAAATCATTTTTGAATTTACTGTAAATAATTATTTTGTAGTTAAAAATTTGAAAAAATTTAAATTACCTTGATAAATTATATTTTATTTATTTTTTTATTGTCTTTGTTTTTAAGGTAAAATCATCAAGGTTAAGTATAAATTTTGTCTATGCTATCTATTATTCAAAAATCTGGAGTAGCTTTTTCCAAATATAAAAAGTAGATAGCATAGAAAAAATGTATGGTCTATTAGAAGGGTTTTACCTTTCCAAAGAGGAAGACGATCAATAAAATAGTAGATAGTACTTAAAAATCCTTTTTGAATTTACTGTAAATAATTATTTCGTAGTTAAAAATTTGAAAAAATTAAATTACCTTGATAAATTATATTTTATTTATGATTGTCTTTGTTTTTAAGGTAAAATCATCAAGGTTAAGTATAAGTTTTGTCTATGCTATCTATTATTCAAAAATCTGGAGTAGCTTTTTCCAAATATAAAAAGTAGATAGCATAGAAAAAATGTATGGTCTATTAGAAGGGTTTTACCTTTCCAAAGAGGAAGACAATCAATAAAACAGTAGATAGGACTTAAAAATCATTTTTGAATTTACTGTAAATAATTATTTTGTAGTTAAAAATTTGAAAAAATTTAAATTACCTTGATAAATTATATTTTATTTATGATTGTCTTTGTTTTTAAGGTAAAATCATCAAGGTTAAGTATAAATTTTGTCTATGCTATCTATTATTCAAAAATCTGGAGTAGCTTTTTCCAAATATAAAAAGTAGATAGCATAGAAAAAATGTATGGTCTATTAGAAGGGTTTTACCTTTCCAAAGAGGAAGACAATCAATAAAATAGTAGATAATATTTAATAATCATTTTTGGAGTTACTGTACTTATTTTGTTGTTAAAAATTTGAGAAAATTTAAGTTACTTTGATAAATTATATTTTATTTATTATTGTCTTTGTTTTTAAGGTAAAATCATCAAGGTTAAGTATACATTTTGTCCATGCTATCTATTATTCAAAAATCTGGAGTAGCTTTTTCCAAATATAAAAAGTAGATAGCATAGAAAAAATGTATGGTCTGTTAGAAGGGGTTCGCCTTTTCACAGAGGAAGACGGTCAACAAAAACGTCCCACTTACAAATTGGTTACGTTGGGTCTGCACGAGTGATTCATAATACTAACGGATGGGAAGATGCCGCACGCGACAGTGATGAGGATGTCGGGGAAGAGCATGTCCGACGTGGAGTAGGTCCAATGTTCCACGATGGAGGAGTTGCAGCTGAGCTGCGCGGTGTGCTTCGTTATCAGCCCCCCCACATACCGCACCAGATCGTCGGAGTCGCGTTTTGGACATTTCGGCTCTTTCAGCAGCTCCACGAAGAAGTCCGTGTACTTCTTCAGGTAGACAACCACCACCGCAGACATCTGACAATTTGTGTACATTAATCATTTTAAAAATATATTTTTTTGCTTGTTAATAACATTTTAAGGTTTTATTTACACTAGGATTTGTTTAAAAAAAGAACATAAATTTTTATTATTTATAAAAAAAGTAAAAGCAAAAACTATGTTCTTTTTCTTAACTTTCTTACATACAAACTCAAAATTTTACAATTTTGCTAATATATAGATGCTAAAAACACTTAAACCAATTTATTTTGCTTAGTGAAGTTCCAAATGACGTTAAACTAAATTTTTTACAAAATATTAAAGTTGAAGGACAATGTACAAGTTATTTAAAAATAACCCTTATATTTTTCTACATAATTGATGGCTTAAGATACCTTTTAACGCAACAGGAAAAAGCTAAAATTTACTTACCACAATATATGGTACGACATTTTTGCTCCGGTAAATGTTGGACACAAGGCGATTAAAGTATGGATAATTATCGTCGGTGCTTCCAAAACACCTCAAATCCTCCTCATGGTTGCCCTTGATGTTTCGAAAGCCCGATTTGACGCCTTTCAGCATCGCTTTAAAGGCGGGAAAACCGATGCCCAAATCGTGCCAAATGTTCGTTTGCATGCCTTGGCACTCCCACTTGTGGCACTCGTTCCACGAACACACCCGACACGATTCGTTACAGTAAAAACACAGTGTGCATGATTGACAACTAAAATACATACATTTAATAAAACATTTTTGGCACATTTGGTATGTATTTTTTTACTTACGGTATACAGCTAAGTGTATCCTTGAGGCAGTTGTAACATTTGAAAGGGTACAGTTCTTTATTCTCTTTAAACACTGGAGCAAAAATAAATGCTTTCTCAACAAATAACACGTCGCCTTTTTTAATATTTTTGCTTGCTGTCACGTGTCGGCCTTTTGATTGTTCGTAACTAAATAACATACAACTAATTAGTGAATTGTGTTTAAATACTGCACGTTTTATTTTACCTTATTTTAATTTTTGATGATGCAGAGGCGAAATTTGGATTTTCGCCATCAGCCAACTTTGGAACTTCGTGTGATGTTTCCGAATTAAAATTTGTTGTTGGAAGATTTTTTGATTTTTTAAATTGCTCGATTTTGGATAAATATTTGTCTAAAATAATTATTATTATAATTATGGTGTCTGCATATAAGAAAATCAAATAAATTCAATGAAAAAATTATGAATTAATTGAATAGATAGATTTTAATCAAAGGCTTGTTTTAACTTGAACCAATTTTTATTTTATTTTTGAAAATTATGGATTTTGATCAATGTTCAAAATGCTTGCTTTTTAAACGAAACAAAGTCTTTTTTAGGAAATTATGAATCATAATTGAGGAGCGTTTATTCAAAAAGGGACATGTCCATTTTAGCGATTTGCAGAAACAAGTCAAAAATAACAGAATTCTTTTGCTTTTGACTTGTTTCTGCAAATCGCTAAAATGGACATGTCCCTTTTTGAATAAACGCTCCTCAATTATGGATTTTTATCATGTGCTCAAAATGCTTGTTTTTGAATGAAACGAACTTTGCAATGATTTTTTGTACATTATGTATTTTAGTCGGCATGGATTTTCATCATATCCTCATACTGCTTTTTTTAAATGAAACAAATTTTGCGATTTTTTTTTTGAAATTTATGGATTTTAATTAAATACTTGTGCTTGTTTTTGCATAAAGAAACTGCGATGATTTTTGTAAAATTATGGATTTTGATCAATGTTCAAAATGCTTGTTATTAAATACAACAAATTTTTCGATGTTTATGGATTTTAATGGCGATTAAGGATTTTAGTTGAGATTATGGATTTTAATCATATGCTCAAAATGTTCGTTTTTGAATATTACGAATTATGGATTTTAATCAAATGCTCAAAATGACTATTTTTGCACGAAAACTGCGATAATTATTGTAATATTCCATAATCCTAATTATGGATTTTAATCACATGCTCAAACTGCTCGTTTTTGAATAAAACAAACTTTGTGATGATTATTTATTTTATTTTATTAATGGGCTTAAAACACTTTCCGATAATTTTTATGAAAATTATGACTATTTTTGCACGAAACAAACTCGAGATTAAGGATTTTAATCGAGATTATGGATTTTAATAATATCAAATCAAAAATCAAAATGCTTGATTATGAATGTTTCGAACTTTGCGAAGATTTTTGAAAAATTATGGATTTTAATCATAAGCTCAAATTTCTGTTTTGAATAAAACTGCGATGATTTTAAGAAAAAATGGATTTTATGATTGTCATATGCTTAAAGGGAATTATGAAGTTTAATCGAAATTATGGATTTTGATCAATGTTTAAAATGCTTGTTTTTAAATTAAACAAACTTTGCGATGTCATTTTAAAAAATTATGGATTTTTATCGAAATTATGGATTATAATCAAAATTTCAAAATGATTATTTTTGCACAAAACAAACTTTGCGATAATTTTTGTAATTTTGGAATTCCATAATCTAAATATTTTAATTAATATTATGGATTTTAATCACATATTCAAAATGCTCGTTTATAAATAAAACAAACTTTACGTTGATTATTTAAAAAATTATGCATTCTAATCAAAACTAATGGGCTTAAAATGTTGATAAAACACTGTGCAATGATTTTGATGAAAATTATGGATTTTAATCGATATTATGGATTTTGATCATGTGCTCAAAATGCCTATTTTTGCACGAAACAAACTTTACGATCTTTGAAAAATTATGGATTTTAATCATAAGCTCAAAATGTTTGTTTTTGAATAAAACAAACTGCGATGATTTTTTAGAAAAAATGGATGTCAATCAAAATTATGAATTTTAATCATATGCTCAAAATTGTTATTGTTTTTAAAAAATTATGGATTCTAATCAAAATTACAAATTTACAATAAAACAAACTTTGCGATCATTTTTTAAGAAACTTATTGACTTAATTGAAATTATGGATTTTGATCACATGCTTCTTTAGAAATTTAAAAGAATTTTTATCAAAATTATGGATTTAAATCAGTTGTTTTTTAAATTAAACAAACATTGGGATGGTTTTTAGGAAGGACATTATGGATTCTGTCATGCTGGTTTTTGATAATAAAAAAATAAATAAAATAATCATATCAATTAGAATATTAAAAATAATTCATTTTAAGTTTTATGTATTAACTCAATACATTTTAAAATATTTATTTTCCTGTTTAACTTATCAAAAAGGTTTTACATTTAAAAAAATAGGTAAATATTATTGTATGATTAAAAAAAATGACTAACCTTTCCCAGAAATGTTTTCTTTCACCACAAAATCCTGCATTGCATTAATACATTCCTTTAAATTTTCCTTCTGTCCCAAAAAAATATAACACTCAGCCTTTCTAATGTAAATCTTGGGTTTCAAGTCTTTAGGGTAGTTGGTTTCAAAACACAAATCAATGTCCCTAACACAGTTCTGAAAATATTATATTAAATCTAGTCATTCGACAAAAAATTATTAACAATTACCTCATATTCTCCCATTTCAAAAGAAACAGCGGATCTATTGGCCAACGCCAGCCCATACTCCTTTCCATTTGTCGTGGCTGAACACAAGCTCTTCGTATAAAACTCCAAACTCTTCAACCGATCCTTACGAGCATAGCACTTGTTACCTTCTTGCCTGTACACTGTTGATAACTTGTCGTTTTTCAACGTTTTAGTTTTAAACTGCACCTCGAGCCAATTTTCGATCTCCGATCTAAAAATAAATTCAACACTACTTGCAAGTAAACAACTGCCACTTACAAGTCCAAACTGTAAAACTGGGAGAATACTTCGAATATGTTTCCGTCTATTTTCGTAAACTTTTCCGTGTAATGCGCCAGTAACTGCTCCATTTCTCGCTGCGTTTTCTAAAATAACATTTAAAATCGTGTTTAAAAGTTCAGGTGGATTTTAGGTTATGTCAATAGAAATCGGGAATGAGCGTTTATGCTTCTTACCTTTTTGTTTCGTGATGGAAAAGTATTTTGAGCATAGGAAAAGTGTAGTCAAAACTATAAAATTAGGTTAAAATGGGCTGAACATGACAGATACCCGAAAACTCCTAAAAAATGTAGGTTAAATTTACGTCACTGGGACTACGCGTAGTTGCAATTCGCCGAAAAGGCGGAAATAAAGAATTACGAGGGAGAATAAAAATATTTACAGAGTAATTGTAATTATAAACATAGTAATTTGACGCTTAAAGTTTTATGTATTCCCCCAAGAACAATTTGTCGCCTATTTTCTCATAGGATTTGTAGAATTTTCATAAAATATCGACGTTTTTGTCTATAATGACAATGTCTACGGTTGACACATTAAAATTTTTTGGATTATATTTGTTATGTTGGCAATAAATAAGTTTTAAAACGTTTTTGTCCTTTGTCTATTTGTCCTTTTTCTATGGTTTTTGCTGTTTAAAGATGTGGGTGTTTTAATTAAAATTAGGTGTATTGGCAATATCTGTTCAGATCGGATCATGTTGATGGCATGGAAATTGATTATTAGGTACAGTATATATTTGATGGAATTCTCAAACACATTTTTTAGCTCTTCGAATTGTCATTTCAAATTTTGTGTTGCCAACTTAAGAAACACAAAAATATTACAGTTTTAGGGTATGTTCCGTTACCTGGTTACCGGTCTGGTTACTGAAATAAATTCCTGGTTTTCTCGGTTAGTTCATATTTATGATTTATTATCTATGATATTTACGGGACACCTTTATTTGAAAAAACATAACCCAACTTACTTACTTACTTTTATTTGTGTCAAAAACTACAACTTGCATATATTTTTAATAATATTTCTATAGTTACATAAACAAACCTAAAACACCCTATATACTGAATTCAATTATTTTTGGACAAAACGTATTTTGTATGCGAAGTCTGCTCCTGTGTTAAATTTTTAGGTTAGATAACCAACAAAAAACAGTAATTTTGTTTAGGGCAACACTGTTTCCATTTGGTTTGCAGCACTGGTAACCGATTTAACCGATCATACAGCGTCGGTCGTTTCGGTAACGATTGGTTAACCTATTTTTCAGGAACCGCGTTTCTTAACTACATAATTTTCAGGAATTTTTCATTTACGGGATACCTTAACCGAAACCAAACCAACTAAGTTGACTTACGGAACATACCCTTAAACATTAATTTTGCCAGTATAACAAATTAACAATTTATAGTTACTTATTTACTTTTTATTTTGTTTTTAATGATACTTTAAAGTGGTAATTTGTTAATTATAATACGTTTTATTTTTACTACATTGGCTGCCAATGATTGGCACAGCTGAATTAGCTGTCACGGCATACTGTTATTTATTAATCACTTTTCAAATAACGATACTTACTACATTAATGTGTTTTTTAAACTGGTCTTTTTATCTAGATTAATTTACTAAAACATTTAAAGAACAAAAATAAAATTCTTGTAACTGGCAAACGTATTTTTTATTTAATTTTATATTCGGAATAAATAAAACGACGATTTTCATTATTTGCTTTAATTATTCAACGATATAAAAGTACAAAAATAAATTAACAAACATTCTGAAACAAACAAAAACAAACTCTTAAAAAAAAATATTAATCACATTTCCCAGAGGTCAATCTAGTGCTTTTTCTTTTTTCCTTTGGTGGACTTTCCCTTTTCTTTGGCAATTTTCTTTGGGGGTTCTATGTAGCGCACTTGTTCAGTGGCTCTAATGGTTTTTTGCAGCAATTCGTAAATTTTTCCGTTCCATTTGGGCACGTATATGGTTACCAAGGTTACAACTAATTTAACTTGAAGCATCCAATCCAGCAAAAGTTTGCTGAAAATAATTTTTATCAAAGTAGGTTAAAAAAAAAGGTCAAAAAGTAAACAAACTCAGTTGGTGGTTTTCCTGTAATTTACCTATCAAAAAACTATTAAATTACAATTTAATCAAAGTAAAACTTAAAATACTTGATAAATTTTATAAAAATTTGTTAACCATGTCGTATTTAAAAGATCCATTAAGAATAAATTACATTACATTGAGCCTGACAAACGACTAGTAAAATGCTTAAGATTTTCTTTAGTTTGTTTTTGATTATTTTTATTGTAAACAGTGAATGTTACGAAATTATTTGGGATAATACGGTGGAATATGATTTTAATAATTTTGGGGAGTATGGGAGGTTAGAGGAAGTGCGCATGCCGAACTGGTTTTTTATTTTTCCTGGTAAGAAAATATTTTGTATTAAATTTTGAAGAACAATGAATAAGTGTCACTAAATTTGTAACGTTTCAAAAAATACATTTAAAATTTGAAACTGATGACATACAGTTCATTTTTTTATCTCCATGGACTCGTGTTTTTTTGTTAGGTTGGTGGCTTATGCCAGTTTGACTTAATATTTCTAGTATTTAAAAATTGTACTTCTGCTAAAGAATTTAATTAAATACTTTGATACTGTCAAATTGATAATATTTATTATTGATAATTTACTTGTCAATTGTAAATAAAAAGATAATTATGCCAAAAATAATAGCAACGAATTCGAATGTAAAAGCCCTTTTGAAGGCAAAACTTCATTTTGATAAAATTATGCCAAATGCCACAATGGAAGAAAAAGTACATCGCCTTATGGACATTTTTGGAGTAAAAAAGTGACGAATTTGGTTTTATAAATATTACATCACACATTATTTTCACATTATTCACCATTGGACAACATTTACGTTCATAAAAAATTTAATTTCTTTTATATAAATTCTTTTTAAAGCGAAGATTATTATCCGCTAGGAATACCTTCTCTTTTTGGTCGTAAAGCAACCTATATTTAACTACTTTTTTATATGATTTTACTCATCCAAGCACCACCAAAGCCAAATTAATTGCATTTTTAACTACGAATTTCGAAAACTTAACTTGACAACTGCACAATGTAACCTACAATAATTTATACATAACCACAATTAGATTTATAACTAGCTTAGTTTGTTTTAATCAATGCGACCAACTTGACAACTGTATTTACCAACCAAAACCCTAAATTTGCAACGTTGCCGCAGTCCAGATAAAAAAAATGAACTTTACTTGCAAATATCAGCCATGTTTGTAGGCACTAAATGGTGTGGAGTTGGCAACATTGCAGAAGGTGATGATGACTATGGAGTACACAGACAGACAGATAAATGTTGCCGAAATCACGATTTGTGCCCTGATATAATTGAGGCTTACCAATCCAAATACAATCTGACCAACCCATATTTTTACTCCAAGTAAGACAATTATTAAAATATAATTGGAACAAAGCACGATACACAAAAAATGGTATGCTTATGCGCATGTTATAGCTACCGTGTAACGTCATGTGCGAAACAAAAGCTGGCGGTTAACTGCAGTTAATTATAGAAAAACTCAAAAGAAATCGTAGTAAAACTGTTTGTAACGTTTGAATCTGGACGTCACATGCATAACGGTTTTTGTGTATCGTGGAACAAAGCATTCCTAAATTCTAATTATTTTAGATTGAATTGTGCGTGCGACAAGGAGTTTTATAAATGTTTAAAATCAATCAACACGAATTCAGCCACCCAAGTAGGGCATCTTTATTTTACCGTTCTCGGGACTCAATGTTACGCGAATACTTATCCCGTGAAGGAGTGCCGAAAATACACATATTTTCCGTGAGTAAACAAAACAAATATTTCACTTAAAGGTGATTATTTCTTTTTGCAGAAAGAAGAAATGCATTGAATACCTTCTGGACGACACCCAGGACCAAGGTTACCAATGGTTTGATCTACCAAACTTTTAAAACTGTAAAAATATCTTAATAAACATACTCACTCTGTCATAGGGTTGCGTACGCAAGAATATAGTGGTTTTTGAACAATCCTGTCAAAATAAACAATCTTGGTGATTAAGTATTTTTTGTGAGCTGCCGGAACGATGGTGTCCAATATGTTGAAGAGTGCTATGCCGCATTCCAGTTGCAGGAAACTGTTTGGAAAACCTTGTATTTCTTCCTTTGCATTGGCATCTTTTGTGGAGGTTTTGTTTTGGTTTTCGTCCGTGTTCCCGTTGCCATTGAAAAGTAGTTTCGTTGCACCATAATTTATCCCCAAATTCTCTTTATTGTTTTCAGAAAAATCTGTGTCGGATAGCGCAAAAAAAGTATCGCAAATTTGGGCGTAGTACTTGATTAGTTCGGGTGCGTCATTATGATAAATCCTTGTCGCTAAATCCAGTATCAGTTTTAAATTATTTATCGCGTTGCTCTTATCCACTAAAAAAAATATTCATGAGAATACACATCTGTGTGAACTTTCAACAATACATTTAAATCCCATCTTTTAGTTTTTTCACACAAGAGAGGAAAGCAGAAGTCTATTTTGCGTTGCAAGTAAAAACTAAAAAACTTCGGTTTAGAACTCGATTTCTATTGATTATTCTTTATATCATTGATTAAGAGACTCAACGCTTATATGCTTATTAGTTAAGTTATTGTGTGGATTTTATGCAAGTGATCATGGTGAATTATTTGTTTTTTGAAATAAAATTCAAGAACTAAATCGTTATATTTTAAGTTTTGCCAAACTAATTGTAACTTAACAATACAATTTATATTTAAGTTTGGACATTTTTAAGAAATCTAATAATAATCTAATAATCTAATATTATATATATATATATATATATATATATATATATATATATATATACCATATGGTATACCAAAAAAACAGTAGACTGTAATTAAGGAAAACAATACTAGAACAGAGTGCTCGAAAATAATAGTTAATAATCAAGAGATTTCTGATGAAGCAAACAAATACTTTATATACGTTATGGAAAAATTATTAAACCTGCAAAAAAATATAAAATGCACACTTAAATATAACTCCGACCAGTGAATTTATCTGCAAGACAACAGAGACAGAAATAACATCAATAGTAAAAAACCTAAAGACGAATTCTAGTCCAGGGCATGATGGAATGAAAACTATTGAAGACACGAAAAGTGACTTGGAGTCCCGCAAGGGTCAGTACTGGGACCATTACTTTCTCTAGTATATATAAACGATCTGACTGAATGTACATGAATGTACGTGATACAAAAGGAAATATGGTATAAAAAACACAGCACTCTGAAAGGTTTCTCTTCATGTGTTAAACAGTATTAATATAATATTATTAATATAAGAACATGATCATATTCTATTTTTTTATATCTATTTTTGTATTTTTTATTTGGACTTGATTTAGTATTTTTAGTATTCAAAAAATGGTACTTCTTCTGAAAACCTTAATTAAATACTCTGACACTGTCAAATTGACCTAAAATTGCAACGTTGCCGCAGTCCAGATAAAAAACTTTAAATAAGCGATGCTTCTTTAGAGTGTATTATAAGAAATGCTGTCAAATGGACGTCAGACATGCGCAATATGAAAATTTGATTGCGCATGTCCTCGACGCCCATCTGACAAAAAGACCAGTATTTACTTGTTTGCCAGGCTCTGCTCATCATTTCCAACATTTTTCTGTGCTTGTTAAATAAACTATTATCGGAGCATATAATGCAGGTGGCATATTCACAATCGTCTTCTTCGTGATAATTTGTTAAACCGCCTTTTTCGCAAGTGTAGCATTTATAAGGAGCGTATTTCTAAAACAATCAGAAATAGTACGACCTTCGAAATAAATTAGTGAAACTCACAAAATAATCCTCTTTCATGCATCTCAAGCAATCGCAGGAGAAAAAATGCAAAGCCGACGTGACGTCATGCCGTTCTGTCACGGTAAAAAACGGACTCACTTCGCTATAGCACAAGGTCAACTCTTCCCCGGCTTGGATGTCTCTTATGGGCCGCACGAGAATAGCATCGTAATAAACACTGGAAAAAGCGAAATATAAAATCGGAAAACACCGCAACACTATTTGTGTTACAGGATGGTGCAGTTGGGCAGGCAAGAGTGGTTCATCGTGGCAATGGAGGGGCAAATAGCCTTGCCAGTGTTGCCGATTACTTCCATGCCATAGCCGTCCGCCTGGTTCGGGTATTCCAGGTAGATGGCGTTGGTTTGCGCTTGGCAGTAAGTGCGCAGCATCATACCTCCCACCTCCATGTAGCTTTGATACATGTTCTCGGGGTGTAGGTGGAAAAAACGAGTGTACTCGATCAAGTAGACTATGTTTCGGGTTATTTTCTAAAATGGGGTTGTACAATATACGGAATATTCAGGGTGGTCCAGTTTATATCACCAGCAGTACTACTTACTTTGATTTAGAAAACATCCGATTTTATAATTATTTTTTATACAAAAGGCAATATATACACAAGAAAGTGAATCAAACAACGTAAAAAATAGGACAACATTGCTAATTGTTGATAGTTGGTTTCTATGGTAACACTTTTGACACTTGCAGTGGAATTTCTTTATGCGGTGTTATTTAAAATGTTAAAATGAGTTGTGAAAACATTATTAGGTTCTATGAAACGAATAAAACGAATAAAAACAAAGATAAGAAAACCACAAAAGGTTGCCTAATTATTTAAAAAAAAGATATGGGTCATTCTATGACAAACGATACCAAGGGTGAAAAAATAAATATGTTTTCGCATTAAATCTGATAAATTTTAAAAGAAAATATTCCAAATTATAATGTGCGACAAAAAAACTAGAAGAAACGCGTAATTTTCAAGTTAGTCTTCAAAACCTATACTTAAGTGAACTGGCTGAATGACCATTGTGCCTCTTACTATTGGAAATACGAAAAAAAAAGTATCAATCTGTCAACCGTTTTGCCACGTTGTGATTTGAGATTATTTATCGTCACAGTCCCGAAAAAAATGATAATTATCACGTTATAAGTGTGTTTTCTATTTGCTTTGCCACTGTAACACCCGAAACGAAAAATCAAGTAATTGTTTTATTATTATACCTTACAGATTGATTAGTGTAATAATATTTAGTAAAAGTAATGCTAAACTGTACTAATTTTACAATTTAGATAAAACTCGAAAAGTAGAGAATAAGGCACTTTAATTGCAAATTTTTTATTTGAAAATACATAAAAATATAGACTTTGTTTGAACAAATGAACACCCGAAACGATGGAATTACCCATATGCATTAATTAAATACATGGGTTGTATATGAAATGTATTTAATAATAAATAAATTGTTGTCAACACAACACAGTTTAGCAATAAAAAACGATAACACAACTTTAATAATTTTTTACTCCAAAACCAGACGATCAATCTTTTTAAAACTTTGTAAATGTGCCCAAACCTCCTTAACTTAAATACCAACGCTTTTATAAAATGATTTTTTTCTAATATCTTTAACGATCAGAGTACTTCAAAAAAAGTATGATCAAATAATATATAATTCGAAAGATATTAGAGAAAAACACAAAAAATTATAACACCATGTATATCAAAGAGAAAGCAAAATTCGACATGAACTATTGACTGGTGAAATCCTGATGATTTAAACTGGGCCAACGTGCTTAAGCCTAATTTATAGATTGCCTTCCTTCCTTCCTTCCTCCAGTAAAAGATAAACAGTAAAACAACCGTAGTGCTGTTTATAGATCCCCCTACGGGAATTTATAAACACCACGAGGAAGAAAGGAAGGAAGGCCATCTATAAATCACGCTTTATTTTTCGCATTGGAAATAAGGCCACAATCTACATTTGTACTAACGTAAAGTATTCTGTTGAGGTTTGAAACGGAAAACTTTGAAAAATTCGATTCCAAAGTGTTGATTTCCGGAAAAATGTGCTGGCCTTTTGGTTTTTTTGCAATACCCATACTTTTTAACATCATTCTAAATGATAAATAACTATGGTCCGTATTTTCCATCGACCAAAAATGCCTTTGAAAACCATAACACTCGTATTTATGATACTCATTGTTAGCGGTAACTAAGCAACTTTTGGAACAGTAAATTACGACTGTACAGTGATGACACCTACATAAACAAAAAAAATTTGACGAAATTATTATTATCACATTACAAATTCTTTTCTACTTACTGAACGTACTCCAAACAAGCCTGTCCGCAATGATGGCAACGGTACAGGGAGTACTCGTTCGTGTAACACTGGCAACATGGCACAACTTGCAACACAACAGGTGGTTCCGAAATGATGGGCTCGTAAACCCGAATATTCTGAACGGCCGTCAGCTGAACGCTTGGCGTGTTAAATTCTTTTTCGACATATCTAAGAAATAAAAAAATGTTTTTTCGCGTCGTAATAAATAATTTGATAATCTAACCTCAATGCCACCTTATTCGTAGCGTGATGAATGCCGTCGTTTAGATTTTCTATTGTTTCAGCTTTTGTGTTCAGATAATTATCAGAGTTTCCCAAAGTCACATTTTCGTCTAAATTGCACGGTTCATTTAAGTTAGTGCATTCGTTTATTACTCTTAGCAAAAACCCATTATTTCTTAAAAAAATGTATTAACCTATGATACACACAGAAATACAACATTTTTTTCAAGCATATAATACAATAATGAAAATAAATTAAAATTACATGTGCTTCCCTCTATTGTATTTAACTTAAACCGTAAAATTACAGGTAACTGTAGAATAAATTCGTGTACATAACCTATAATGTCAACCTATGACAGTTCAAAATGTCGTATAGAATTACATGTATTAAACACTTGAAAAAATGTATAGTACTATACTTACAAGATAACTTCGTAATATCGCTTAAAAACATCAAACTCATTTCCACTGATATCCTTAACAAAAATAGGAGGATCTCTTTTGGTATAATCATCTGGAATTAGTAAAAAATACAGGAAATGTGCTAGGTTATCAAAAATCCAAATAACTCACCCTTGTTTGTCTGCTTAAATTTTGATTCCATACCAAACTATTCTAAAAATGTAAATTTAACTTAAACTAAACCATTTTGGAGAAATAAAGAAATTGGGTATCTACAAGTTGTTATTGATCGCCCCGGTATATTATTATTTTTATTTTTGATTATTAAATACAAATATTATACAATTCATATCGCCTCCTTGATGTTTGGCGTTTGCAATTGATACAGAAAACCCGACCAAACAAAGTTATTAAATATCAACACAGAATCGTGCCCAGATATACAAACACACAACGGTTAAAACTGCCGATTCAGCCTTTGTTATTTACCGTGGTTGTGTAATCTAAATGAATTTACTTACCTTATAAGTGAGTGCAAACACATGTAAAACTCGTCGATTTCTACGCAGCCTATCTCTCCTCTAAACTTGTGTATACTTGCGCAGAATTACTTGGTTTACTTGATTTCCGCGAAACAAACGACGGCGCTGTCAAACGCGGAAATAAGTTTTGAGGGTTTTTGTTGTTTTGGTATCCAGTATTGACAACTTTCGTTCTTGAATCATTATTTTGGTAATTTAATAATTGTAATATTAATTGTAATCACTTCCTCTGTGATTGTAACGATTTTATGCATTTATGGCTAACATTATACTTATTTACAATTAGAATAAATAACAAACAAAAACGCGGGAAAAAATAAAATTATTATTAAATATTTCCTTTTATTTTATTAAAAGAAAAAATTAAAATTATTATTTTCTATAAAAAGCATATTAAATTTTGAGGTTATGTTTCTTAAAAATTGATCAAATAATTGTGGGGTTAAAGTTTTAAATTAGGGCGCAGAATAAAATTAAAAGCAAAATACATAAAGATATATTAAAATAAATGTAAAATAGTTAAGATGTCGAGTAGTCGGGTGACACTTCTGAAACTAAATAAAAAAATACCTGAGCAACTAATTTCTAGTATAATTGATAGTTTTAATAATTGTTATTGTATTTTTAAGAATATTCTTGATTTTCAATATTAATCTTGTTTATCAGTTAATCGATTATCTGGGAAATTCAACTTGATTATCTGGGAAATTCAACTAGCAGCCAAAAAGATACTCAAGACAGGTATATATATTTATGTATTTATGTATACATATATGTATATATATATATAATGACAAACTCGCTAATGTAGAGTATAATTATTTGTGCACACGAGTACGATCGTTTTCCCTTCGAAGGGAAAACGCGCGACGTACCCACTCTAGACAATAGCACTAACTATAGTGAAAGTGCAGGGGGGATGACGAGGTACAAACCTAAAAGGTTTAAACACTGAAAAGACAGTGCCGTTTATCCATAAATGCCTTAAGTCTATAAATGACCTTTTAAATGCTAGCTAATGAATGATTTATAGTTTATTATTCATTTAGTTTTTATTTAATACTGTTAAATAATTTAATAGGTTTAGTCTGTATAAACCCTTAATAAATAATAGATAAATAAATAGAAACAATAGGTAAATGAATAATTTTAAAATGGTAATATTAAAAATAAAATTAGTACGCTCTGTGAGAAAACTCACCAAAATATTCAAACACTCGCGTCTATAGACAGGAATATCACTTTGGCTTCCTGGCTTCCGCATGCGCACAACAATAATATAATAATAAATTGTACCTGTATACATGTTAAGGGCACGTTAGTTACGTCATAAAACCAAACCAACCCAAACTCAACAACACAACCCAACCGACCCCGCCCCATTGCCCCCCCCCGCCCCATTGAGCAAAAAACCCAACTAAAATGGGCAAATTTATGTTACGATAAAAATAAAACACTTTTTAACAAAGGAACAACAAATTTATGAAATAAAAATGTAAAAAGAGTTCGACAACTTCTAGTAGATTCTATGTTACGATATAAACAAAACAAACCAACAAACCCAACCCAACCGAACACTTTTTAACATAAAAGCAACAAATTTATGAAATAAAAAAATTTCGACAACTTCTGAGGATCGAACCCGGGACCTCTCGCATGCCAAGCAACCGCCCTACCATCTAAGCTATCTAGCTTGACAACAAATATTATAAGTTCGGGGAACAAAACCGGATTTTTATTATTATTATAATTGCGCATGCGGAAGCCAGGAAGCCAAGTGACAGGAATTTCCTGTCCATAGACGCGAGTTATTCAAACTTCTTAAATCACCCAAAACAAAGCACATAAAACAACACAAGTTACTTAAACAGATCACTGCGACTGATCTTATAGAAAATGCGCTTAATATTTGGGGTCGATTTGTTCATGAAAAGTATGAACGGTCTCTTCAAAGTATCAAGTTTCCTAATCGAGCCGCCTTCGACGGCTTGCCGATAACGTAAACATTCGAATTCCTAAACCTCTAAATCAGTGTTCTTTGCCTGCGTATAATTTTAAAATTAATATAGTAATTTTATATACCTACCTTAGGTACCTTAGAGCTGCAACAAGTCAGTTTTAAAAAGACTTAAATCTTAAGTCTTAAGTCAATTCTAAAATTAAAATGATTTAAATCTTAAGTCAATTCTAAGATAAAGTTCAAATGATTTAAGTATTAAGTCTTTGAATTAAATCATTTTCTTTCAAGTCAAGTCATTTTTGCAAATTCTTAAATCAATATAAAGTGATTTAAGTCATCTTATGACTTAATTCCTTTGGTAAGTCGTTTTTATGACTTAAGTCAATAAAATGACTTGAATAAAAAATTTTGATTTAAATCATAATAATTACGATTTTTCAGAACACTTACAAATAAAATAAAAACTTAAAACACATTTTTTGAGTATATACCTAGTAGACAATAAAAATAAAAAATTAAACCACCTTTTTTAGTAGAGTAGACATACAGGGAGGCTACTTTTTTATATACATAAATGGGTAACTTCTAAACGGTATACCGTTTATAATACATTCAAACTCTGTTAAAATAGATAAAAGTTGAAGCATTTTTCTTAAAATCGCTGTATTTCAAAAACTGATAACTTTTTGTTTTGTTAACTTTTGTTAGCTGGTTCAACATCCATCTAGAAAATAGTATATTACACTACAAGGGCAGAAAGTGTGAGATTCCTGCACTGCGCGCCATGATGCCCGAGGCGAAGCCGAGGGCATCATGGCGCGCAGTTCACGGCTCTCACACTTTCTGCCCGTGTAGTGTATACTATTTTTCTTGCTACCCGGCAGAAAATACGGGAAAAAATTAAATGTGTATAAAAAATCTTGTGTTTAAATTAAAATCTGACGTTTAATTTAATTCTGACGTTTTCATGAATGCATTCAAAATCAATTAAACTGTAGCGTTGTCATGGTAGCGGGAGGAAATGAAACTTTTCTTACTACCTCGGCCGAAAATACGTATAGCTTGACCAATGCATAAAACGTAAACTTTCTGCCGTGGAATCGGGGACGAAACAACGTATTTTCTGCCGGGTAGCAAAAAAATATTCCTCCCTTAAGGGAGTAATGATGGGAAGTTCCAAACTCTCGATTCACGACCGCTCAAGATGTACGACTGCTCACGACCGCTCACGACCGATTGTTTCCACTTTGCACTAATAATCACAAATTAGACCTAACTACGCACGAACACGACGAATGTTGGCAAACAAAATTATAAATCCCCCCTTTTTTTAATTCATTTTAGACAGGACATTTTTTAATGTAGCCGTCAAACGGTTCCGAAAAGCTAACTTTACCGCGGCGGTTTTTTTATCCACTAGCGGTAGCAATTGTAGGTAGGAAATTAAAGAAGTTTTTGATCTGATGCCGCGTGAACCCCTGGCAGTTCAAAAGAAAATGCCGCTGTTAAAGATTTATAAAAAAATATATGAAAAATCTGACTTAAATATTTTCTAAAAAGACTTAAATCTTTTTCAAAAAGACTTAAATCTTTTTTTGACTTAAATCGTTTCTATCTGACTTAAATCGTATGTACTGATTTAAGCCTTTTATTAATGACTTAAGTTTTTTCTATTTTGAAAAAAATATTTAAGTCACAAATCATTTTGAAAATTACTTAAATTTTAAGTCTTAAGTCAGTTTTAGAGAAATGACTTATTACCAAATGACTTAAGTCATTAAAACGATTTAAATCAAAAAAACGATTTAAGTTTTCTGAGAGCTTGCAGCTCTGCCTACCTATTAAATTTATAGCAAATTTTTTTTTAGACAATTTTGTAGGGAATTAAATAAACTAAAATTTTCTTTTTGACCTATTATAAATAGTTTAGTTTATAGATAAAAAACACATATTTTAATAATTAAAAAGTATTTTACACGAAATATTGAATGAAAAGATTTTTTGTAGAGAACTACCGGACCAATTTAAATCAAATAAAAAGGTTAAGTTAAAAAATAAAACAAGTAGATATTTAAAAATTATTTATTTATTTATTATAGCGGTATATTCTTAAAGCATTGGCAATATATATTTTCAAATTCAACAACCCAATCAACAAACTTAAAATTAAATCATTTACCTAATAATGGAAAATTTGTTCATTAAAATTATAATAGCCCTTACTTATTAAAAAGTTTTGCGCTTTTTATTTATTTATTTTGAACTTAGTAGAGTACAAATATAACCTATCATGATTTATAGGTTAAGTATCGAAAATGTGTGATGTTTACGTCAATTTTTAAACAAAAGATAGTCGCTAAAAATGGCGGTAATCAGTCTTTCAGTCCTAAACAGTTTTTCCTGTGTTTTGCGATACCCAACCTACTTAAAAACAAATTTAAGTAAAATATAAGATAAAAATATTCGACAAAAATATATACCTAACTGATATATGACCAATTTAATATAAAAATATAATTTAATCTATAAAACAAAATATAAAAATATATAAAATAATTTTATTGCATAACATGATGATTGGTAAAATGTTACCAGCTAAATATGTATAAAAAATATATTCATCGATATTTCAACAAATAAGAACAATTAAAACCTTCAGTCGTCAATATCTCACTGGAGCCCATAGACCTAATAAATATTAATAGTAAAAAAATAAATATATTCGGACAATTTTTTTTCTTACCTGTGTGCTCGTCTCTACGGAAATAATGGGGCCGGTTGTCTCGAAAAACAGTGACGGCCGGAAAAGGGTTGTCCTGGATGTACTTCAGGGTCGTGCGTATTTGCATGACGAAATGCGGGGGCTCTACTTCCGGCGAAGTGGAAAGATGCTGCAAAATGAACTCGTCCGACTGTTCCAGCCACAAATCCACGCCCCTGAGGGGCTCGTAATTGAACGGCCCGATCCGCAACATGCCCAAGTGACAGTCATAAACGTCCAACACCCGCGGATCGCCTAAACCCATACCAAAAGTTAGGTTATGGGCGACAATAGCCTTGGCAACTCAGGTTTAGTTTTCAAATTATTAACGCGATTTAAGTAGGTTTGCCGCTACAGGAAAATATTGAAAAAATTCTAGGTTACAGTAGAGTCCACCAATAAGACATTTACAAAGTTTCAGCAAGATCGCCTCGCTAGTTTTTGAGTTAAAAAATAGGGGACAGGAACTGCCGTATTCAACGTGGTATGGCCGTTGCCAAAAAATACATGGGACGTGTTTTAATATTTTTTGGTATGAGTCAATCCGAATGAAAACACCAAAAATGAATTTAAAAGTGCGCTGCATGATTTTTTATTTTAATGAAAAAATTTTTAATCGGCACCCTTTAGAAACCTGAAATCGTGTCATTTTCTTACTCTCTCATTAGAGGCTAAAACTTTTTTTCTGTGGCAATTATTGAAATGATTGTTATTTTATTTTACTGCCTAGTAAGTATGTTTTAAATATTAATTATTATTATCTAATTAGTTCATCTCCTAAAAGAATGGTACACCACTAAAGATTTGTAATAATTTGCCAATTTTTGTGATTTTTGCTGGCTCCTGTGCCTATTCTGCTAAATCTAGAAAGTTGCTTTTTTTCAGGTATCAAGTACTTATACAATATAAAACGTAACTATTATTTTAAGTTTCTAGACTATCATTTTCTTTATTAAAAAAATTATTGAAACTTGATAATTTTGACCTCAGAAATCATTATGTAGGGGAAAAAATAAAAATCTGAAACTTTCAGGAAATGTAGTCCCCACATTCATCTTTTCAGTCTAGTTAGTCTTGTTTTGTTATTTTTATCCATGTAAAAGATATAATAATTTTTTAATACAGTTAAAAAGCGATATTGTTAGTTTTATTTATAATTTAAAATTTAGATGGCTTTGACTTAGTCAATTCATGTTTGGTAGAGAAATGTCAAAACTGTCAAAAATATTTCATAATTATTATTTGTGGTATTCCTTTGGTGATTTTAAAAAGTTTTCTATATAACATAATATGACATATTATGTTATATACAAAATTTACCAAAGAAATACGCAAAAATAATATTTATGAAATATTTTTGACAGTTCTGACACTTCTCCACCAAACATGAAAGCCATCTAAGTTTTAAATTATAAATAAAACTAACAATATCGCTACTAAACGGGCATTAAAAAAATTAATATATCTTTTAAAGAAATAAAAATAACAAAACAAGACTAACTGGACTGAAAAGATGAAGGTGGGGACTACATTTCCTGAAAGTTTCAGATTTTTATTTTTTCCTTAACATAATGATTTCTGAGGGCAAAATTGACTAATTTTAAGAATGATCAAGTTTCAATAATTTTTTTAATAAAGAAAATGATAGTCTAGAAACTTAAAATAATAGTTACGTTTCTATTGTATAAATACTTGATACCTGAAAAAAATACCTTTCTAGATTTAGTAGAATAGGCACAGGAGCCAGACAAAAATCACAAAAATTGGCAAATTATCATGAATCTTTAGTGGTTTACCATTCTTTTATGAGATTAACTAATTGGATAATAATAATTTATATCGAAAACACACTTACTGAACAGTAAAACAATATTAAAATCATTTCAATATTTGTCACAGAAAAAAAGTTCTAGAGTAAGAATTAAAAGTAAAGAATCCAAAAATTAAAACGGCAACGGATTTTCATATTTGATACCTACGTTGTAAAATAAAAACTATGAAAACAAAAACCTGAAACCACGAAAAAAAAAGAAAACAAAACCTAAAGCACCAGCGCTGAAATCATTTCGGCTATACTCACTACCTGTCAAGTATCTGGCGTTCCTCAGCGACTGATCCGGACCTTTGTCCGGAAAAGTGGCGGGAAATATTTCGCCGGTCTTGATGTTGACCCCGACGCCGTAGATTATCGGCCACGGGATCGAGCCCCTAATGGTGGTGTTCAATTCCCCCACGCACGCCAATGTCAGATCGATTTCCATAGGGTGCTTGTGAAAGGAGTTCATCACGTTTCCGAACAACTCCTCGGAATAGTTGCGCGTATCGCTGAAGCCCCCGATCAGCTGCAGCTCGATGCGACCCTCTGGATAACCTGTCAAGTTAAGGCAGTCTAGTTTCAAAAAAGTTTTACCCCAAGGCTCAAAATTTTCATACAAAAAAGTAAAAAAAATCATTAAAAACTGTTAATTTTTTTGTACATAACCTTAAAACACGTTTTATTTTAAACAATAAATAAAAAATCATAATTATAAGGTAGTCTCAATTTAAAGAGTATCATAAATAAATATCAGTAGGCCGTGACAGCAAATTCGGCGGTGCCAATGTAGTAAAAATAAAACGTTGTATTTAATTTAACAAATTAATACTTTATCACAAATTAAAATATCATTAAAAACTAGAAATAACATAAAAAGTAAATAAGTAGCAATATAAATTGTAAATTTGTTGTTCTAATGGCAAAATTAAGGATTAAAACTGTCATATTTTTGTGTTTCTTAAGTTGGCAGCGCAAAATTTGAAATGAAATTTTAAAAAGTGCTAAAAATTGTTTTTTGAGATTGCCAATGGCAATTTGCCATAAACATGATCCTCTTTGGTTGCTTGAGTTTAAAAAAGAACTTTTGAGAGAATCTATGGAAAATACACCTGTTTAACCATATAAAAACAAATGTAACTTTAAAAATAAAATTTTGGAATCTGTGCTGTAAAAAAGTGGAATTATTTGTGAATGAGTAAGTTATAATAAAATTTTGTTTTCAATTTGGTTTATTGATTACGCGTCACCTATAAAACAAAAATTGAAAAATGTCAAAACAAATTTTAGAATGTCAAAATATGATTTGTGGAGGCTCCATGATGTGGAAAAAAAAATGAAATATTTTAATTTTAAAAAGTGCTAAAATTTGTTTTTTAAGATTTCCATAAAATGTACTGGAATAATCATTTTCTAAGCCATAAAAATGATCCCCTTCGGTTACTTGAGTTTAAAAAGGAATTTTTGATAGAATTTATGGAAAATAACACCTGCATAAAATAACTTTAAAAATTAAATTCTTGGAATCTGTGCTATAAAAAAGTGGAATTAGGTATTTGTGAATGAGTAAGTTATAATAAAACTTTGTTTTTAATTCGTTTCATTGATAATTCGTCACCTATAACAACAAACAAAAATTGTAAAATGTCAAAATATGTTTGGAATAATATGGTTCGTGAAATGTAAAAAAAACTGTCAAAATATGACTTAACAAAACAATGACATGTTTTCTCACCTAAAGCCAGCTCGTGCACCCTTTGCACCATCGTGCAGACAGCCTCATCCGTTCCACAGCCGTCCAGATGGGCTAGAGCGACAGCCCCCGACCCTGAGTGCCTTATGACGACAATAAGGCAGGAGGTGGAGTCGTCGGAGCCCAAAACGTTGATGCTCTTGTCGTGGGGCACGGTGGCTGCAAGTTCTCTTTGTTGCACGTACAGCAACCCAACAGGTCCTATCACTTTGTTGGGTATGCTGAGCAGTTGGGAGGCCGTCTCGCGGTAAACTGGGTGCGTGTTGTACAGGGTGTGCGTGTCTGGGGGGCACTTCTCCTGCAGCACCCCATTGAAGACGAGAACCATCCTGATGAATTTTTCTAACCTCACTTTTTATCAGCTGTGGGTGTTATTCAAAATAACTTTGTCCTTGTCGAGTTTAAACTGTGTAATTTAGTTTAATTAGCTTAATTCAAAGCAAGATACATACTTTGAGCACTTTAATTTGAAAATGAAAATGTTAATGTTAATGCAACGTCACCAATATCATTTTTATTTAAACCCTTTGCACTGATAGTGACCAAACTAATAGTGAAATACAATAAGGTCGAATTTCGCGTTACCAAGACATCCAATATTGACCTTAGCTGACTGTTTCACAGATAAGATAATAAATAATATATGGGGACTAATGCCCTCATTTCATGACTTTGAATTTGATATTATAAAGCAGTAGCGCCCGTTATATTACCGAAGAATACTCTTCTATCTTTAATGAGATGCACAAACAACGGTTCTTAGCGATACTATAAAAAAATTGTTGCTAGTATGCTAGAAATCGACGCTACAAACAAGATCCATTATCGGGAAAAACACTTTTGTTGTGCTAATTTTAAACGAATTGTAAACAATTATTGATAATCGTGTTCATAAATTTTTTCGATTTTTATTTTAAAATAACAGTTTATTCTACTTTTTTGTTAAGTTTTAGCCTGAAGCTTTCAGGTATATAATAATACATGTGCTATGATCATTTCGAAAGAAAGTCTGTTTGGAATACAAGACTTATGGCAACGTCGCAACTAAACATTTGACCTTGTAAAACGCAGTTATTTTGGTTTGTTCCAACAGCAATAATTCCAAAAATAGTTTGTTTAAAAAACTATTGTTTTTAATAAAGTTTTATAGTTTTTTATGAAAGACTTTAATATCGTTTTAATAAAATTAAAAAATGAGAATTGTTTTGTATTATTCTACAAATAGCAAATGTTGATATATAGGTAGTTTATTATTTTATATTTCTTTGTTAGCATATAAAGTATCTGTCTCAGAGACAGTGTCTCTTAAGCTTTCTCCAAATATTTCGAAGTATTTAAATTTGAGCCATTTAACGGAAACAGAATTGAAGTTTTAAGTATCTTGTGGGTCTATATATAGACCGTATATGACGTCACTTCGGTCTCGTGTCGTTTTTTATGTTTATTAATTACTATGATATGATAGATAATCTATCTTAAAAAGTTCTCTTCCACTTCGAATTTTAAACCTCGACTGAAGTAGAGAGCATACATGTATGCAATATTCATTTTTACATAGCCCAAATACCTACACGTAAGGCAGAATGAATAACATTCACCAGCACAAGATTTGAACACTTGACTCAGGTATAGAAATCAGAACATACATCAACTTTGACTGTGAATACTTCATAGAGGTATTTAAGAAGTAGGTATTCTTTTTCTATTCATCACAAAATATTTAACTATAAAAGTCTATAGACTTTTTTGTTATTATTTGTTAAATATATGTTATTATTTATTACTGAACTATAGTCACAGTACATTGAATATTCAATTTACTGTAACTAATTAAGTAACTAAATCTTGTTCTTGTCACTTATAGTATACTGTCATGATTTACAACAAAAGAAAGTTGATTTTACAAGAGTCAGTTTTTTGCGGTGTATTGCAGGTTTTTTAAATGTTTTTAATTGTAAATAACATTCAAGAACTAAATCGTTGCATTTTCATGTTTTGCCAAAGGATCCAGTTGGTGCAGAATTAACTAATGATAACTTTACCTAATATAATTTATATTTAATTTGGACATTTTTAAGAAATCCAACAAAAAATAGTTGTTGTACAAACATAACCTTAAAATCGAATATTTTTATATTTGAGACCTCCAAAACAACGCCGACAACTGCATTTTAAACGACAAAATATACCTACGAATTCATGGCAATATAATATAATACCGGTTCTTGGTATTTTACTGTTGAGTGGAGACTTTCTTAGGCAACGCTTTTAATAATGCTAAATTCTGTGTGTATTTAGACGACTTATTTGTTTCATGATTTTTACTTAATTAAAATAATTAAAATTTTTACGTAAATCATTACTAAAATGTGTATTTATTGTACCTAATAGCTACAATTTATATTTACAGGGACTGTATGCAATTTATTTCTTCATTCGGATTTCCACTGTTTATTGGGAATTCTGGTTCTATGTATACTTGCGTAAAAAAACGGTAGGTAGTTGTAAAAAAATGCTCAGGTTCTATTTTTTTTATTATTTAAAAAATTACAAGTGTAGCAACAGCCTCAGGAATATATTAAAACAATGTATTATAACATAAAAATTTGAACAAAAACTCGCCATGAAATATAATATAAAGAGTTGTCAACAAATTTCCCTGTGTTATAAAAGTAAATGCAAAATAAAATGCCAACAAATTAATACGTTACACGTTATTAACATGCGGTGGCACTGCATTTGGAATGTTATTTTGTTGTTGTTGATTCACTTGCGCAGGTTGTTGTTGCGCTTGTGCGGGATGTTGTTGTTGGTTCTGCGCTTGCCCTTGTTGTTGCTGTTGTTGATTGTTTCCTTGTTGATTTTGGGCAGGTTGTGGGTTATTCCCTAAAATATCGAAATTGTAAATCCAATATTTGATTTACAATTTACTATGAATGAAATCTAACCTTGTTGTTGTTGTTGTTGTTGTGGAGGTTGCTGTTGATATTGTTGGGGTGGTGGAGGTTGATTTTGTTGTTGTTGTTGGGGAGGTTGTTGTTGCTGTGGAGGTTGCTGTTGATATTGTTGGGGCGGTGGAGGTTGATTTTGTTGTTGTTGGGGAGGTTGTTGCTGTTGTTGAAATTGTTGGGGCGGTGGAGGTTGATATTGTTGTTGTGGGTGAGGTGGTTGTTGAAACTGTTGTTGCTGCTGTTGATATTGTTGTGGAGGTTTTTGTTGATATCCAGCATTAGGATGATTTGGCTGTAGAACAGTTTGTTTAGTTTTCTTTTTTATATTGTTTTTATTAATAATAATTAGAGATGGGAAAATTCCCATTTGACGAAAATTCCCGGAAACTTTCCATCGAAAATTCCCGAAATTTTCCGAAAGTTTCAAAAAAATTTTTTTATTGCGAAAATATTTTTTTTTATGCCAGGGATTTGCAAAAATAAATAACACATTAACTTTTTGTCAAATTTTATTAAGAAAAAAAATTTAAAAAAATGTTTATAAGAATGTAACTGCAATACTATTTTTAGTATCTTTTACTTTGGAATATTCCTATTGTATACTGAAACCTACAAAATAAAAATAAAATGTTTACTACTAGAAATTCACTGCTAGTAAATCCTAGATATTACGTAAAAAAATTAAAAGTAACTAATATATAGGAATATTGAAAAGTAAAAAGTAAAGTAAAAAATAATTCCAAACACTAGTTTTTTTTCTTGGCATTGTGCTATGCCTATAAATGTAAGAATGATTTTAACTTTGTTTATTGTTTTTATTTTGTTTACCTTTTTTTAAAAAAGTTTTTTGTGATGATGCTGAATAATCCAGCTTCATTGAGGTTATGTAACATAACTTACATTATTTATACTTCTTATGCTTTAAATTAACACACATTAAATTCTTATTATACATTAAAATAAAAAAAGTGCAGCTGTAAGGGCAAGAAGGGGCCAAATGTGGACGATATTGCCATCATATCGCCATCATATCGCCATCATGAGAAGGCGTTTTCTCACTTGAAATGGCCAATTTGTATTTATTTAAATTTTGCTACCTTTTCCATTGCTTATTATTTTTTTTTTCGATGCAATGTACTCTAACTTACCGGTAGGGCTTGCGGGGGCGGCATATTGGGCGGCATCTGTCCGGGATGGAACTGACCTTGGGGAATCGCGTTGGGGTGGTACGCCTGCTGCGGGTAACCTTGAGGAGGTGGACCCAGATACCCCTGTTGGAAGTTGGGGTTCGGTTGGTAACCCTGCGGCGGATAACCGTGCGGAGGATAACCTTGCTGTTGCATTTGGTGTTGCCTAATGTATTCTTGCAGCTCTTCGTCGGTGTAGGGCCGTTGCTCGTCCAAACCTAACAAGATTATGCGTGAGCGGCGTTGCCAAACCTAGGGAAGTTTTCCCCAGTCTGGGGAATTTTCAACGCCTTCAGGTACTAAAGGGTTTATTTTTGAGTTTTCTTGGCTTCTTGAACGGGTATTTTCGACATTAATTTTATTAAAAACGAAAAAAATAAACAGAAATAATTCAACTCCTTGTGTCTATATGGGTTTGATATTTTTACCAAATATTATAAAGATCCAAGACAATTGCAATGTTAAATATTTTTATTTAATTGAATATCTAAAGTTTTTTAAGGAACTATTTTTGTTATAATAAAACTTAAGTTTTGCATAATTTTCATATTTTCCGCCCTTTTTGTAGAATCTGACGTAATCGGCCATTTTTTTAAATACCTAAATCTTTTTTGGAGATTCCAATAGATTATGAAATTATTATTATTATTATTATGAAAAGTGCAATAATTAATGAAATATGTTAAAATACTGAATATCTTTTTTCTACTCATATTACGAAATTTGACCGTTCTAATATCACTTTTATCTATGGAATGACATATATTCCGTAAAGTGGTACAGAATGAAATATTCTATCATCTGATGACAGAATAAACACTCGTGGCGACATCTCTGTTTTTAATATCTAACAAATTTTAGACCGATCCAACCTCACTTTCTTCCAATTAAATTATTTTTCTATGGTATTTTTTGGAAACGTAGAAAAAGTCTAGTCTTAAACACGTTTGGAATTGCATATTCCGCTCTCGTGAAACCGTCAAACTCGCCTTCGGCTCGTGTGACAAACTCTTCACTCGAGCGGAATATGCTGTATTCCAAACTTGTTACAGAATATAATTTTAACATAATATGTACCTAACGGAAAAACATTTAAAAAACAGTTTCCCAAAGATAAAGAAAAAATATGCATTAGATGTTTTTTAATTTTTTGTTATACACTTGTATTCTGTCACAGAATTTCTGTGAGTACATAGATACCAATCAATAAAGTAGCTGCGCCTTGCCAGTTGTAAAAAATGGTTTCTAAAAATTTTTCTTGCAAATTTAGGAGTGTTTTTGGAGAATTTTAGGAGAAAAAAGTGTGCTAATGAATTTATTTAATTAAATAAAAACAACTCTACACTATAAGTACTTAAAAAATAAGAAAAAAAATAAGTAATTCTTTTTAACAAAAATATAAATAAATATCACTTATTTTGTGCAAATAGGTTATATTGACCAGTTTTTTAGCCAAATCGCTCGACGAGTTTTTTTTTTAATAAAATGAAAAGTGAGGTAAAATCACTACTTTTGTATATATCTACAAGTAGAAATTTCACCACACGTTTAATTTTATTTAAAAAAAAGCGTCGATAGATATGGCTAAAAAAGTAGGCCAAAGTTTAATGATGTTATATTTATATTTTGAAAAAAAAGTAACAGTATAGTTAATAACTAACAATAATTAAAAAAAAAAATCTCATAATAGAAAAAATATAAAGTTCATGATACAGCAAAACATTCTTTGGATTGTTTAGTATTTAAGCTATCACAAGAAAATTAAAAATCCTTTTGTTTGATATATAACACGGTATATTTTTGTCGAAAATTAACGAAATTCGTCTAAAAATGACAATTTTGTAGAAGTCTAGAAGAGCTCTATTACAAGGATTTTGTTTTATGGTATATTTTGTTTTTTAAGAAAAATGTAGGTTGTGATACCTATATCATTTTTAAAAAAAATTAATAAACTAGAACCCAAAAATATTTATTATTTAAATTACTTTTTAAAAAAGAAATATTTTAGCAAAACTACCTTAATTAAATGCAGTCAAGTTGGCCTACTTATATTTAATTTTTAGGCCCTAATAGGATATTGATGGCAATTTTAGGAATTTTATGAATTTTAGGAGGTGTGGGAGCCCTGTCATAGGTACAATTTAAAAAAACAACCGATGACATACCTTTTACAAAAATGGCGGCAAATATGAAAATTTGATATTTGCACATTTTTAATGAAATTGTTCCATACTTTTGCCGGTCACTGTATTATAATAAGTCGCTGTTGTAAAAAAAACAATAACTTTTATTTATTTATTTGGAACTCACCTTGCCAGCCGTGGTCTTGCTGGAAGTCTTGGGTCTTGGTTTGCGCCAAAAATTCGTCGAAATCGATGAACCTGTCCTTGTTCCTGTCGATCTCCCTGAAAACCGACTCCCTCATCCTCTCCATCTCCTCGGCCTTTTCGCGCATGTCGTCCTCCGGAGCGCCCTCCTCGTACATTTTTTGCAACTCCTTGATGAACAGGGCCTTCACTTCTTCCTGGTCCCAGAGACCGTTGCCGTCGAGGTCGTGCAGGTTGAAGAAGGTTTTCGGATCGAAATCCTGCTGCATCTGGTCCTGCTCCTCCCACACCTCCTCCAGCTGGGCCTTGTGCCCCGGCTCGTGCAGCTTTTTGTGCGTCTTGTGTTTTTCCTCTTTTTCCTGCGTTAATGGGGTAGTTAAATTTTTTCTGACCTATACTTTTTATGGTTTTATTCAAGGCGTTTTGTAATTTTAAACATTTCTGTGAAATCGGAATTTCAATTGAGTTTACCGTTTTCGAGATAATTACAAAAAAAAATCTCCTAATTACGTCACTAGGCTATTGACAACGTTGCCAGCTTTTTCTATGGTTGCCAGTGTGTTTAGTTTAAGATTCTTACGATAGATGGCGAAACGTTATAATATTTTAGTTTTAAAACCACTTGATCTATAATTTTAGTTGAGAAGAAGAAGAATTGATTTTTTGACGTTTCTTTTTTTCGGGTCATGTTTTTTTTTTTAATTTAGATTATTGAAAATCAATGTTATTGTTATGTTTTTTGTAATTGATATTAGATAAGTGATTTATTAATAACGGACTCCAAAGCAGAGGAATCTTGTGGAATGGTTGGTTACATTGAACATTGGAGCTTTTAAACAAATAAAGTAAGTACCTATAATTATAATCATATTTTGTCGTAAATGCTTTTCATTAGTATAATGCCTAGTTCTTTATATTCTTTTAGATATATCTTGGACTCCAAAATATCAAACAGTAATATGATACCTCGTAATAAGGAAGATAGGTATTTAATGAATTTGGTGACCATCTTTCACTCAACTGACAGTGATAGTATTTGTACATAACCTCTTCGGGTATTTTCTGACATAACCGAATGAAATCATTAACAAGACAACTTGACAACAGGGTAATTTTCAACCAATAGAAATCTTAGAATGTTGGTCACATGGCGAGGTTTGTGACGTCATAAAAGTTTATATTTTTTGTAAATATCTCGAAAACGGTAAACTCAATTGAAATTCTGATTTCACAGAAATGTTTAATATTACAAAACTCCTTTAATAAAACCATAAAAAGTATAGGTCAGAAAAAATTTAACTACCCCATTATTGTCGTATTTAATCAACTGTTATGACGTCATTCTATAGTACGTTTTTTTTTTGATATGCGCAACAATTCTGTTGGTAAACGGCATAAGGGGATAAGTCAAAAAAAGCAATTTTTCAGTAGAGCCTTAAACGTAATCGCATTAATTTAGGAAACATATTTATCGTTAGCGGGTATACCCTTTTGTTAGCACATGTCATATGCTAACAAAAGCGTATACCCGCTAAACATAAATATATTTCCTGAATTAATGCGAACACATTAAAGGCTCTATTGAAAAATTGCTTTTTTGACTTATCCCCTAATGCCCTTTACCCACAGAATTATACTAATAATTGTCAGAAAAAAATTAACATTTTACTATATATGTAAAAAAAGTATTTTTTAAATTCCAAAGAAATTTATAATCAGGAAAATATATCTTAAAAAGTTTGATAAATACATAACGTTAACGTTGCAGCAAATTCAGCAGTGCCAATGTAGTAAAAAATAAAACGTATTTTAAGTATCTTAATATAAATTGTTATTTTTGTTTTAATGGCAAAATTAAGGTTTAAACTGTCATATTTTTGTGTTTCTTAAGTTGGCAGCACGCAATTTAAAATAAAAAATTTAAAGAGTGCTAAAAAATTGTTACTTGAGATGTCCATATAAAATATACTGTAAATTAATAATAAAAAGAAAAATTTACAACAAAAAACAAAAATAACAAAACTAACCTTGAAAACAAGAAAACTAAAACAAAAATTAAAATAACAAAAAAGTCCAAACAACCAAATAATTCCTGAAATTTTAGAAGTTTTAAAATAAAACTGTAATATTTTTGCATTTCTTAAGTTGGCAGCACGAAATTTAAAATAAAAAAATTAAAGAGTGCTAAAAAATTGTTTTTTGAGATGTCCATTAAAAATATACTGTAAATTAATAATAAAAAAACAAACGCAATTTTCTGCAATAAAATAACCAAACTAACCTTGAAATACAGAATTTGTTTTAAAGAAAACTGAAACAAAGATTAAAAAACAAATAAATCCTGAAAATATCAAAAATGTTTAGAAGTTTTAAATTAAAACTGTCATATATTTGCATTTCTTAAGTTGGCAGCACGAAATTTAAAATAAAAAAATTAAAGATTGCTAAAATAGTGTTTTTTGAGATGTCCATAAATAATATACTGTAAATCAATAATAAAAAGAAAAATTTACAAAAAAACCGAACGCAATTTTCTCCAAAAAAATACCCAAACTAACCTTAAAAAAACAGAAAAATTTTCAAAGAAAACTTAAACAAAAATTATAAAAAAAAACAAAAAAGTCCAAAAAAACCAAATGAATCCTAAAAATATCAAAATTTTTAAATTAAAACTGATATATTTTTTGTGAAAAATTTACAAAAAAAAACAAACGCAATGTTCTGCAAAAAAATAACCAAACTAACCTTAAAAACAGAAAACTAAAACAAAAAAGAAAAAAAAAAGAAAAAACAAATGAATCCTAAAAATACTAAAAATACATATTTAAAAAAACTCCAAAAGTCGCAATTTTCTCCAAAAATAAATAAATAACTAAAAGAAAAAAAGAAAAATTAAAATTAACAAATTAATACTTTATTAGAAATTAAAGTATCTTAATATAAATTATTTTTGTTATAATGACAAAATTAAGGTTTAAAAACTGTCATATGTTTGTGTTGCTTAAGTTGGCAGTACAAAATTTAAAATGAAAATTTTACTGTCAAAAATAATAAAAAGAAACCACAAATAAAAAAACCCAAGAAAAACAATGAATCCTGAAAATATTTATAAATAACAAAGAAAATCTGAAAAATCAAAAAATAAATTCAAAAAAACTAAAAAACGCATTTCTGCAAAAATAAACAAAAAATAAACTAACCTTAAATTCCTTCTCCAACTTCTCCCTCTCTTCCCCATTGGTATGGTTCAACTTATCCTGTTTTTCAAACTCCTTTTGCAACTCATACTCCTTGAACTCATTCCTGCGCAATTTGTCGGCCTCAGCCAAATCAGCAGTGGTTTTGTGAATCAGCTTCTTTAGATCCTCGATTTCGAAAGTATGAGGATTAGAATGATCAATGTGATGATGCATGGGATCTTCCACATCAACTGCATTCGTATCCAATAACTTACGTTTCTGTTCTACGAGGTCTTTGAGTCGTTCGAGTTCTAACCTCTTAATTTCGTCCAACTTTGTTCTTACGTGATGGGACACAAATTCGAGTTCTTCAGCTATTTTGCCGGACTTAATGTCGCTTTCTTCGGCTTTTTCCAGTTTTTTTCTGAAGTCGGGATCTGACTCCAAAGCGTTCACGACTTCCTTTAGGTATCGGTGATACTCCATGTAGTCTTCAAGGTTTGTCTCTTGCGATTCTTTGTTTTCATTATTTTCTTTATTTTGCGATACAGGGGGAGCATAACACCCTTGTAATATTAGCAAAGTAACTAATATTAAAAACGTATTCATGTTTCTGCAATGAAAACAATAGCAATAGCAACAGCTTGTGGTTGTGATAAAACATTTATTAACTATAAACATGACGTGTTTAATATTAAGAAATCCCCTACTACTTACAGTTTTGTTGTTGATTAAGATCCCTTTATTGTTGCATCACCTCTTTAAAATTACGTGTTTATAGTAGTAATAATTGATAGTTTCAGTCCATTAAAGTTGTTTGATTTTTGGAAACTTCCAACACGTTTTTGACAGTTGAACTGTCAGTTGACAAATGCCAAATGTTTCCCTGCTTATGCCACAATGGATTGTGGCTTATGCAATTATTACAAATTCAATCCTTTAATACCGTAATTTAATTAAAAGATTAAACAAGGTAATTTAATTAATTGTGTTTTTTTTATTTAAATTTATTTTGTTTTTTAGTTAAATATACGGAAATAGTAGTAAGTATTCTGGGTTGCCTATGAGCATATTCTAAAAAAATGAATGCGGCAACGTTTTCTTAGGTTGGTATCTTATTTTTAAAATGGTTTAGTTTTTGTTGTTATATTAAATGTTTTGTAAAAGTAATGTTATTTTAAAATGATAGGAGAATTGGAGTAAGAACCTTATATTATTTCATAAAATTAATTGCTTGATTTATTAATTTTAAAACTATGCTTATAGATATATATATTTGATTGTTTTACTCATAAATAATGGAATTGGGGTTAAATCAAAACTAATATTTTTTGTTTCGCCGTGACTAGGTGCACGTTAGAGTGCCCGCAATTTATTTTTTACGGGCACGCTAGTGACGTAATAGATAAAAAACGTCATCACTGCCGTGCCGCTTAATTTAAAATTGGCGGCACAACAATAATATAATAATAAATTGTACCTGTATACATGTTAAGGGCACGTTAGTTACGTAATAAAACCATTTTTTACGGGCACGCTAGTGACGTAATAGATAAAAAAACGTCATCACTGCCGTGCCGCTTAATTTAAAATTGGCGGCACAACAATAATATAATAATAAATTGTACCTGTATACATGTTAAGGGCACGTTAGTTACGTAATAAAACCAAACCAACCCAAACTCAACAACACAACCCAACCGACCCCGCCCCATTGGCCCCCCCCGCCCCATTGAGCAAAAAACCCAACTAAAATGGGCTAATTTATGTTACGATAAAAATAAAACACTTTTTAACAAAGGAACAACAAATTTATGAAATAAAAGAGTAAAAAAAAATTCGACAACTTCTGAGAATCGAACCCGGGACCTCTCGCATGCAGAGCAAACGCCCTACCATCTACGCTATTTAGCTTGACAACAAAAATTATATGTTCGGGTAACAAAACCGGATTATTATTATGACGTCACTAGCGTGCCCGTAAAAAATAAATTGCGGGCACTCTAACGTGCACCTAGTCACTTTGTTTTTGTTTATCCTTTATTTAAAAAAATGTTTCCACATTTAAACTTATAATACCTACATAATATGTAATTTGTACTTTTAGAATCTGATATATTATATCAGATTCTAAAAGTACAAATTACTTTTAATTTGTAATATCACAAACTTTGTGCTCAAATAAAATTTACTTTTTTTCTATTTTATTAATAGCAGGTAGGTATGTCTTCTTATAGATATTTTTGATTGTTTTACTCATAAAGCCTACATGGCTCCATGGTTTTACTCATAAATAATTGAATTGGGGTTAAAAGAAAACTAAAAATTTTCGTTTATCCTTTAATTAAAAAAATGTTTACACATTTAAAGTTATAATACATACATCTGAGTCTAAAAGTACAAATAACTTTTAATTTGTAATATCACAAAATTTGTACTCAAATAAAATTTACTTTTTTCCTATTTTATTAATGGTGTGCCTTCTTGGCGACCACCTGAGAGCCCCACTATCGACACACAACCTAGGCCTTTTGTACTGGTTAGATTTGATATGCTCTTCGACCAACTTTGGGGTAACGCAAATAACGTGCTGACCTTTCCAGTATTTTACCATATTCATGCTTTGCAACGTGGAAATTATGTCTGTCTGAGTAATACTGGTCATTTGGCTCAAATCCTTTATCGACAAGGTCCCTCTAAAGTCCCGCAGGATTTCCAAAAGAACCCAGCTCCAGTAACTTCGGTAACTGAGCTTCCCCAAATCGCTGAGGGGCTGCTCAGGGCTGCCAACCGTACCCTCCATTCTCGATAACTCGTAGCTGAAGGCTATCAGGAGTTTTCCGTAGCCTTGCCGTTGATACGGGGGTAAGGTTAGAATGCAAGCCACGTTGTTACCATCGGGAGATTCTTTTTCCTAAGTAATATAAATTATTGTACGAGGAAAAAAATCAGCAGGTTTTTTATTATTTTTGAAAAACGATAGGTAGGCATTGAAAATGTCTTATGGCGTCCTTAACAACGGTATACAAGTGCCTGGCAAACGTATGGTTGCCATGGTAACGCAAAAATAAATATTCTAGATTTTTGGTAAAAAAAGTAAAAACTCGAAAAAAATTACGAAAACAAATAAAACACGAAAATTTTACCGTAAAAAGCGTTCCGAGCAACGGTATGTTTGCTATGGTAACGCAATAATAAACATTCTAGATTTGTAGTTAAAAATTTAAAAACGCGGAGAAAATATCTAAATCATAAAATAACAAAAAAATCCTACAATAACTAAGAAAAATAGCATACCTAGCAACGGTAAACAAGTGCCTAGCAACCGTATGGCGTCCCTAACAACGGTAAACAAGTGCCTAGCAAACGTATGGTTGCCATGGTAACGCAATAATAAACATTCTAGATTTTTGGTAAAGAAAGTAAAAACTCGAAAAAAATTACGAAAACAAATAAAACACGAAAAATTTACTGTAAAAAGCGTTACGAGCAACGGTATGGTTGCCATGGTAACGCAATAATAAACATTCTAGATTTGTAGTTAAAAATTTAAAAACGCGGAGAAAATATCGAAATCATAAAATAACAAAAAATCCTACAATATTATTGAATAACTAAGAAAAATAGCATACCTAGCAACGGTAAACAAGTGCCTAGCAACCGTATGGTTGCCATGGTAACGCAATAATAATTCCAGATTTATAGTTAAAAATGCAAACAGGATAAAATAAGACAAGACATTTTCAATGTCTTAAAAAAACTTACTTTGGAAAAATATCCCACGATATGCGCTCCTTGTTTATCAACTTCACATAAAATGTAAAATAAGAATGGTTCCACATCAAAATACAATGTTTTGTGGTCCAAAAATAGTTTTGCCAATAAACAGAGATTCTGGCAATAAACCTGAAAAAAAAAATAAAACATATTTTTCATTTTACTTTTTTTTATCAAAAAAGACAATGATTTATGTATAACAACAATCTGTCAAAATGTAGCCAATTGTTTTATAAGTTTTTAAAACAAGTGCTTATGTCAAATGTCAAAACTGACATCTGTCAGTTTTCTAGAAAAATTAATTACCTTGTGATCTTTTCCGTCAACTTCATACACAGATAATGTCCCTTTTCTGTAAATTTCTTTACCAACTGGTTGCCTCCATGTACACTCACTCTAAAATTAAAATTCAATTAAAACAAACCAATATTAACTATTATTTGACATACCATATGATATCGATAACTTTTCTCAAGTTTCATGTATTTCAAACAATATTCACAAATCCACAATTTACTCTGCCTTCCATACTCTTCAGGATATGGACTAAAGTACCAGGTATCAATTTCAAAACGTCCTATTTGTATTTTATCAATATATTTAACTTTGGTTATTTGCTCGTGTTCTTTTTCTAAAGCTGCCGTAGTCGGGTCCATTTCCGCATACGTTTTTTGTACGTGGTTGATTTCATCGTGCCTTCTTTTTTGGTTTCGGGTGATCTTACGATCAGAACTGTCAGCCAACAAATCGTTAACCACGGGTCTGTCCTTCCAAACTTTCAAATCCCCCGGCACTTTCTGCCCGCTTTCGGTCATATTAAACCTCGAAGACATGATTTTACCCCTGGGAACCTACAAAACAACACAGTTAGAGTCCAATTGGATTTTCATTGTTTTTTACTCACCCATTCATCCAAACGCCGGTTGTACCCCTCGTAATGCACGTAATACTCATACTGCCGCTCCGCGTCGTTGTATCTCGACTGAATTATCTCGGCCGGATCTGAAATGACAACATAAACAATAATTTTGAGGTTACGTTCGTTGATTATCGAAATTACGCCAAGAATCGTCGCTACGTCGCACCAAATAGTGTTCGCCGATGTCCAGCGGTTGCTCCTCGACGCTCTCGCTGTCCTCGTCGTTTTCCTTCGACGGTTTCACTTCGCTTTCCGACTTTTTACGCATATTTTCCGTTGGGACTTCCTCAGCCTTTTCAGTGTCGGCCATCTTTGAAGTCTCTGGAAGATATTGGCGCATGCGCGCTGAAGAGACGGCTATTGGTTGAAATTTTCAAAGCACTCTTTCTTTTAATGTTTTGGCGGGTGGTTTAAGAAGTTATAACGTTCTTGTGCTTTCTTGTTTAGGGGTATAAATAATTGGATAAGGACTTAAATAAACACATTTCTATACAGCAATCTTTATTTCTATTATTGTACTATATTTATCAATAATTTAATACGTGCAAATAATCAAAAAATCAATTAAACAGTTTTATTTTATTGTTGCACTTGCGTAATACGATTTCTAGCTCTGGGATAGAGCGTAATATGTGACATTTTGATCAAATCGCCGTCGGGGATTTTATTGATGGGTTTAAAAGTTGAACCAATGGTGATGGTTTGCGGGAATTTTTCCATGTTGGCCTTTTTGACGGTAAAAACTTCACTCGCTTTCAAGGCTTTTTCTTTTTCGATTGTTTTGCGTTTGTTTCGGTAATAAATTACTTCGCCTGCTAATGTTACCATTGCAAGGCCAAGGCCGAAAAGAGTGGCTATAAATACTCCTCCTAAAAACAAGTAAAAATGATTATTTTCACTTTTTTAATTTGTTTTTTTGTTACCTAAACTTTCAAGGGTAATTCCTTCATTATCGTCTGTGGTAGCGCAATCTCCTTTGGAGGAATGGTTCCAATATTTTGCTTGCAATTTTTCGAAAAAACGGTCAGTCTGCAGTGACAGCATCCTTTAAATAAAATATGCATATTATTTATTTCTTTTAATATAGCATTTAAAGATTAGATACAATGAGGTTAAAAACCGCATATACCTACATAACTATATAATATATTGTGTTGTTTTTAAGTTATCGCAAATTGCTTTTAGTAATTTAATACAGTTTTTTATTATAATTTTGCACTACAAGTGCATTCATTGTCACAGACTGAGATTAACATAATTTGTTTAAACAAATTGTTTAAAACAATTGTTACAGGTTCGCGTATTGTATTGTATGTTAAGTATTATTTTTTGTTTTTATGTATTAAGTAGATAATAGACGGAACTTATTCTTCTTATTGGATTTTATTTAAACATATAAATTGTATTTTCATCAAGTTTGACCAAATATATTCGTTTGGGAATGTTGGATCATATTCTAAGAATATTCTAAAAATATTCAGAACTGCTAAAAACATGCTATGCACATTCTTAAGACAATGTTCCAGGAATATGGTATTTGATTATCGCTTGAATTTTCCTGGTATATTCCGAATATGCCAAGAATATTTTCAAGGAAATGTTCCTGGTTAAATATTCTTGAAACATTCACAAAGAAATTTTCTTGGAATATCTGACGAATTCCCATTGGACTTTTCTAAGAATATTCCAAAATTCATGTAGGTATATACACTCACAGGCAAAATAATCGATTCACACAAATTTTCGATGAATTTCAATCGCAAATAACTTTTTTATTTGTTTTCGGATTTAAACAAATATTAAAGAATATTGTACCTAGATACATTAATGGAGAATCGCTCACATTTTAAAAATTACTAAAAAAATACACGTACGTTTATAATATACAAGTTTAAACAAAAAGATGTTTTTTACCATAAGTTTAAGACACTCTGTAGAGTGGCAAAAACCTTATATTGTTCTAAATTAAGTTTTAATTATCAAGTCACATCTATTTTTATCAGTTTTGTTTTTGGTTCACCTTTCACCTTCCTGTATGAAGAACTAAGGTTGCTATGGTCCATCCATAGCCTATGGAGGATGACAGTGACAGTTTTGTTAAATCATCCCATACTTGGACATGTCATATACAGCTTTCAAAAGCTATCAAATTGTTTTTTGTAAATTAATGTGTTAATTTTGAGGTGTCTTCTTACTGTTAAAAATGTCTCCGACTGATGTTGCCCTTTGTACTTTACTTCTTGTGACGTTTAAAGCACTTGCTACTTAATACTGTAACCGTCCATCCTGGATTAAATTAATGTCTCTGGCAACATCAGTCGGAGACATATCCATTTTTTAAAGTAAGAAGACACCTCAAAATTTAAACATTAATTTGCAAAAAACAATTTGATAGCTTTTGAAAGCCGTGTATGACATGTCAAAGTATGGGATGAATCAACAAAACTGTCACTGTCATTCTCCATAGCCTATGGATGGACCATAGCAACCTTAGTTCTTCATACAGAAAAATATTGGAAATTGCAATGTTTTTTTAAAAAATCCATATTTTCGACAAAAATAAATATATCGAGGTGAACCAAAAACAAAACTGTTAAGAATAGATGTGACTTGATAAATAAAACTTAATTTAGAACAATATACGGTTTTGCCACTCTACAAAGTGTCTTAAACTTATGGTAAAAACATATTTTTGTTTAAACCTGTACCTATATTATAAACGTACGTCTATTTTTAAGTAATTTTTTAAAATGTGAGCGATTGTCCATTAATTTATCTACAATATTCTTTAATATTCGTTTAAATCCGACATCAAATAAAAAAGTTATTTGCGATTGAAATTCATCGAAAATTTGTGTGGATCGATTATTTTGCCTGTGAGTGTATTCTAAGAATCCAAAGTTAAAATATATTCTAGAAATATAGAATGTTCTTTGGGTTATTTTTGGTTTTATGTATTAAGTAAATAATTGACTTGGAACTTGGAACCACATTACTTACATTTTGCTGATTTCGTCATTAAGGTGGCTGCCCTGCTGTATAGCGATCGCGTACGGTTTTTCCCCGAAAATTTCCCCCACCTCCGTCAGGTTGCAGTTTCGGGTGATTTCGTATTTGATTTCGCTCGAGTCGTGGATAAAGGCGAAGTCGGCGTTGAGATGTTCGTCGACGATTCGGAAACCTTCGGACGCGTTCGCAACGGGGTTCGAGTCGTTTATAGCCAGCAAAATCTGGCCGTACTGCTCTCTGATTGGGTAGTCCCACACTCTGTAACGCTTGTCGTCTGTAGAGGTGTTTAGGGTTAGCTCTTTCCACATCCTATGCAAAAATAACATGTTTTTTATTTTTCATCGTTTTTCTATGATTTTTTGTACAATGGGTATTGCAAAATTACCAATGAATCAAAAACAACAGAAAGAAGATTGCAGCCAGAATGGAGGTTCTACAAGGTGTTATGTAATTAATGTTATATATTAAAATGGGTTGTTTCTTAGGGTCCATAAAGAAGCACCTGAAACTTTTTTTTTCTAAATTCCAAAGTCTAAAAATAATTTATAATAACCTTTATCCTACCAAAAAGTACGCCACTGATCGACTAGGAACTTTAGGTTAATCTGGTGGATTTATTATGTTATGGTTGGTAACCACATTGTTTCCAAAATCTCTCAAAAAAGTTGACAAACATTGTTTAAATTTAGCTTAATTACAAAAATGACAAAATTAACAATGCAAATTGTCAATTTGGCGTTTTTATTAATTGTTGGTTATTGCATTTTTGTACTGAAGGTAAATTCAAACAAAATCTGCCAACTTTTATGACAGAATCTAGTGCATTTCTTTTAAATTTTAGGTTATGTTTTCAAATTGTAAATATCTTAACTAAGGGAAGTGCTTTTGGATTTATTTACACAAATTAAATGTTTAAATTTTAACCTGTGAACTGGTCCCAATTTCATCTGAGTAAACAGAGAAAAAAACTGATGAAAAAATTAATTTTGTGGTTATGGATTTCAAATTTCAAAGGTACTAAATTTTCTAATCATGCTTAAGCTAATAGCTGGATAAGTAAATAAATACAGAAGGGTATTATAGCTTTAAGGGCATAAAACTTTTGTATTTATTGAGTTTTTATTTATTTTTTGCAAGAACAATTTTTTACATCTGGCAACGCATAGCTACTTTGTTGGTTGGTATCTATGTACTCACAAAATACAGGTGTGCAGAGATAAACAAGTGTGTAACCAGTGGCGTATCACAAAAAATATAAAAAACTTCTAATGCATATTTTTTCTTTATCTTTGGAAAAATGTTTTTTTAAATATTTTTCCTTTATTCCATATGTCAAAAGGTATTCAGTATTTTAATATATAACATTAATTACATAACACCCTATATAATATAACGTTTTTTTAAACTTAAAAAATTAGTCTTAATACAGCCTTATATATAAACATATAGAAGAGTTAACAAAGTTGTAAATCATTATTTATCTACAAATCTTAAAACAGTCCCCTCCCATTTAATTAGGTTTTATCACAGAAAAGATGCGTTTTATTAAAATAAAGCAGGTCTGCAACTTAAATCAGAACGTAAGGAAATTTTTTTAGGTTGGTATTGAAAAATATGAAGTAAGTTTAATTTAACTAATTTTGGTAATTATGAACTATAATGTGTTACATTGACCGAACTTAAACCAAAACTAAAGAGTTAATAATAAAGTAGTTAAATTAAACACATAAACTTGCAGTTAATTTATATTGGTTAAATACCTACCTAACCAATAAGTAAACATGATATTTACCTATATATAGTGTCTTCAGCATGCTTCATATTGATAAAATACTCATGAGTCAAAGAATCCTGTACAACAGTGTAGTTTATTCTCGATTGCCTGGCTAATTGTTCCAACGATTGCACAGGAGCCTGTACGAGAAATAAAACTAGTAAATTTAATCAAAATTCAATTAAAAATTGTTCATTACCTGCATTCGTTCTACAGTCAAAAAGGCAGCTAAATTGGCAGTAAACGTAGCCAACATCAAGACAACAAACAACCAATAAGCCGCCACCAGGGTACGGCCTGATAAGGCTTTGGGGGCTTCCCCGCCACCCTGGGGTGTGAAAGAGGTTAAGGCGAACCAGAAGCTTTCTTTTAGAGTGAATTCTCTGAAATTAGTTCATTTGAATTTTTTTCATATTTGTTGTACTTATACAATTTTACATACACGGAAAAAAATGTTTTCTAAATGTAAGAATACTAGGGTTGTGGAATTGACCGGTCAAATTGCTTTTGGTCAATTGACCGGTTAATTGACCAAAATAAAATTAAATAAAATATCAAAATATCCCACAATTAGTGCGACAAAATAAAGGTGTATTATCTACAGACCCCCAGGAATTCCAGAAAATTGTTTAAAACATTCTTCCTTCATTATTTAAAAAGATACAGGGGAGTCATATTTTCTTTATATGGCAACATTGCCTCAAAAAAAAGGGGATAGTTTAATTCTTATTCATCATGTTAACATTGTTGTTTGTTGTCATGATGATTAAAAATTAAACTATTACTTTGTTATGAGGCAATGTTGCCATACAAAGAAAACATGACTCCCCTGTATCTTTTTAAATATTGAAGGACAAATTTTTTAAACAATTTTCTGGAATTCCTGGGGGTCTGTAGATGATACACCTTCATTTTGTTGCACTAATTGTGGGACACCCTGTATAATAATAATAATAAACGACTTTATTTGATAATATATATACATTCAGATATACATTTCAAAATGGTTTGATTAAACATCACTCTTTCACTTAACCAAAATTTACAAATAAAAAAAAATAACAATTATATAAATTATATGAAGCAAAAAATATAAGAAATAATAATATTACAAAAACACAATGATGTAATTATATCAGATTCACTGTGGTTTATAATTTAGTTTTGAGAGTTGTATAAGATTTGTTTTAATTTCTTACTTAAAAGGGTTAAATCTATAGATTTATGTTAGTCTATAGACTAACAGGAGAATTGTGCAGTTTAGAAGCTATATGTATATGTGAATGATTTTTGAAATATTGCGGTATTATGCCGGGCAACGGACAAAGTTTTAAGATTGCGAATATTTAAAACGTGCAAATCTTCTAAACGTAAGTTTCTCTCTCAAATAAAAAGGCTGTGATAAGTCCATAACTTTGTGTCAATAGTTAACCACCCCAGTTTTTTTAAATTTTAAAGAAATGTGGTCAAACTTTTTTTGGTTAAAAATTAATCTACATCAGGTGTTTTGGACTTTTTGAAGACGATTTTTTGCAATATTGTTCAGAAATGGATGGTAGACCATTTGGCAATAACTGTAGTTTATAAAAATTGAGAGAAATAGTGCTTCACATAGTTGTTTTCTAATTTGTTTATTTAAAAAATCTTTATTTGCTTATAACACCCTTAAGCGTGCATAAGTGCTTTTAATTAATTTCCACTGTGGTGTAAAGGGTAATCTTAAAATGGTGTTAAAATCCAACACCAAGTGGTGTTAATATAACACCATGAATTATGTTTGAAAATGTTATATACAGCAAACACCAAAACGGTGTTTATCTAAAAATATTTGAGAAGTGCACCTACACAGAAAAAAGGAATAGTTCATTTAACTATATTAATTTAGTTGACCCATAAGTATTTATTTCTGTATTATTATTTTTATCAACTGTGGGAAGGTTAATATAAACAAAGATTAGTCTGACGGTACTAAACCAGATAGTTATTTTTTTTTTTAATTGGTTAAATTAACCCAGAAAACTTTAGTGAAACCAACCCGCTGTATGGTTCACTTTACTAAATATGTTGTTTGTAAAATCAGAGTTACTTGAACCTAAAGCACTCTGTTAAAACGATTAAAACAATTTTCCGTGCATTCCCGGTTGCATAGTGTGTACCGATCGCGGCAAAGGCGGTGTGGATCACGTGATGTTCTTAAATCTCGCCTCTGCTGACTTACATGAAGAGTATATAAGCTCAGGTAGTCCTTTGCTTTGGTGTGACACTACAAGTTGTTCGATACTAAAGAGACCTTAAATAGGTGGAAATAGCTGTCAATACTTAAAGTATTTTAAGTTAGTGGAACGCACTAAAAACATTTTCTGGAATAATACCTCTGGTAATATACTAGTAATGCGTCAAGGAACTTCCTGTTTCTTTTTTTTCCTTTTTTCCGTGTATACACTATAGTATGATTTAATTTGACCACAAACACATGATATTTAACACTGAAAAGGAGTTCAATTTACACCAGGTAAAATGAATTTACACCGGACCAACGAACCATATTTAACACCATTTTGGTTTGTATCGATATAGACCATGTATGGTGTTAATTTGGTGTTAAAATGGTCTTGAAATTTTGAACAGTGTAGTTCTTGCATTCAACTCCCCATATCCTTCAAAATAAGAATAAATCAATCCTTAAATAAAAAGTATCTGTACTTGCGGAATGGTGAGATGAACATATACTTGGACTGAGATAATTAATCTTTAATATAAATAGCTTTTCTTGTAAAAAGAAAACTTATTATTGTATAAACTGTACTATTGTACCTGCAAGGGTAGGGGTAGGCTTTTTTGTTATTTCTAGCGCTATAAGGGGAATATTTGTCCAAAAACCAAACCATGAATCCTGTGGATATTAATGCACCAACAATGCTGAGCCATACCTCCAACTTCAACACTGTCATGAATTTGAATAGAGAAGTTTTTCTTACTGGTTTTCTTATCACTGGAAATATTATTTATTTTTATTTAACAATTTTTATTTCAAAACAACAACGAAGTAAACAATTTAATAGTCTAATAATCTAGTATTATCTAATTACCGCCTATTTCCTAATTAACTACATAGGTAAGTGCGTTATTATGAAATTTACTCTTAATAATTTTTTCGATAAAAAATTAATTAAGTAATTTTAAAACGTAAATTTTCTGTTTACTTTCTATAATTTAGTAATAATTAACCACTACGAGTTTTACAACATTTATTTTCAATAAAAAGCAAATACCTACAGGTGTATTTCCTCCTTATTTATTTTAATTCAACAAGTAAATAATTATGCATATAGTTACTTAGTACTTTACTTAAAAATAATCTTAATTATGTATAGATAATTATAAATATTGTTTGTCTATATTACCTATGGAAATTCCAGTTTGTTCGAAATATGGAGCTACAAAATCAACGACTTCTTCCCTGCTTGCCGTCATTATCATTGCGGTAATTGCTAAATCAGTTTCCTTAAAGTATTAAAAACTTATTAATTTGTGGTCACAAATACGTTTATTCTTACTCCCGTAACTAGGTCTCCTATGACCCCGTCCCACAACCCATCAATTTTGCTACCGAAGGTACCATTTTTCGGTTCCACAAAATCATAATCGAAATCCATAAGTTCCGATAATTTTTGAGTGAAATCCGCGCAATATCCAGTCCAGTACATCTGTCCAGTTTTCGGGTCCTTTTCCTTGTAGGACCAGGGAATGGCCTTTAACATTTTATTCATTAATGATGTGAAACTTTGGATCACTTTAAAAATGCATTTATAAATTATCAAAAGATGTGGTTATGGAAGTTTTCTTGCAAAAATGAGTTGGATGGCTATTTTCTAAAGATGTTCTTTGTCCTTGGTCAGCAACCAGTGGCGTAATTTGGGGGTGGCAAGTGCCCCTCAGCATTGTCTAACCCAATATTTTGTCACCCCAGAATTTTGAAGTAAAAATATCAATAATTTACTAAAGTAATTAATGGCGTGTACTAGCATATCACATTTTAATAGCAAATTAACAATACATGGTAAACTGTAGGTACCTAATGAATATTATTTATCAACGCGTAGCTTATGATTATTAAAATGCATAAATTACATTAAAATATTCCCATTTTAAATTACTTCCTACCGTAAATTAACTTAATAATTATAACTTTAATCTTACATGCGTGATTCCAACACGGTAATACCGCTTGACGCTCGTTATCGTTTTCCCCACTATGGTGGTTAACATATTTTCCTTCACGGTGGCAATCGCTTCATAATTTTGTCCTCCATCTGCAATCCCCCTCTCAATATTCCCTATTAACTTGGCCCTCACCGTATCTCCATCTTTGTAGATGCTCCTTTCGTTATCAAGAACGCCATTGAAAACATCGTTGAAGTATTTTAAACCTTTTCCACTCGTGGAGGTAGAGTTGCACTGGTACGTATCAAATGTGTTCCCTTTGGAGGAGTATTGATCGAATACCTTTAAGAGGAAGTCCGCGAAGTTGCCAAAGAATCTTTCGGGGATTTTGATGTCATCAGGGCAGTTGCAGGTGTTTTGGTTCATTAGGGAGCAGCAAAATTGCTCGTCGAAACTTAAGACGTTGATTGGTTGTCCGTTTAGAAGGCTTCTATCAAACTCTTGAGATCTGAAGTCCGTCAAAACCAGGTTCCAACGTTCTGGAAGTTTTATTAGGTCTTCTTTTATTGCCTAAAACATACTATATGATTGTCAGCTTAGTATAAGTCTTAGCTTACTGTTCTAAATATCTCGGTGACGTTTTCAGTGGAACCAATGATGGCAAAACTATTTGGGACTGGACGTATGTCCCTGATTCTTGCAGACGTCTCTGAATCCAGTTTTTCCGATATCACCATTCTCAACCTGGTTGTGTCAATCCAAAAATATAAAGCCTGATCAACACCTAAACAGTATATACGGTTAATTATTGCATTGCAATTAAATTTTGATTGTCTCACTGTCTGGATTGTCGAAAATAATACAGACATCAGTGGAGTTTCTGAAGTCCAAAAATGTATCCAGTAGTATCAAACCTGGACTTATAGAAACGTCTACTTCCACGTACGGTATGTTTGTTTCCTTTGATAATTTTTTGGCTAGATCACTGCCAGACCAGGTTATATCAATTAAAATCGATGCTCCTTCCAATAAAGTATCACAAACTAAAATTTTAAATAACATTGGTTTAAAAATTAATTAAAAAATTACAATTTGGGTCATATCTCTAGTTAAAAGCAGGTCAAAATACATTAGAAAATAATAGTGGCATAAAATGTAAATTTTGGCTGTAAACCAGTGTTCATTAAAGTATGAAAAATAACTTTTTACTTTTTTCCTCATCTTTGTCATTATCCTCCAAGTCCACGAAGACGGTTTCATAGTTGTTGGTGGCATCTATTTTCGCTTGAATGATGTTCACAAATTTTTCCTGACCGGCTTCCTTCAATACAGCTAAAAAAATAGATTAAGTAACTACGAAATTAACAGCAAAACCAATTGTTGTCGATATTGGATCACGCTTTGGTGGTTAACTGTTATTTTATTTGTAATTTTACCATATAAAATCGACTAATAATAAAACAAGTTGTTGTAGAAATTTCTACTTTTTTATGGCAATCTAGGGTGATACCAAATTCATCAAAGAAATTGAAATTGAAATATTCTTACAATTTTCTTTCTTCGACATACTATTAGAGGTTTTATTTATAAAAATGCCTGAATGAATTTAGTTTTTACAAAAATATTAAACAAAAATATTTCAAAATCAATTTTTTATAAGTTGATTCGTTGATTTCGCTCAAAACAATAAAGTAACGCTAATGCTCTTAGGTCATTTTAAAACTATACAATAAAACTTATAATAAAACCAAGGGCCCATCCTAAAAGGGTCTTAAAGACTAAATTTTAAAACTACATTAAAACCATTTAGTTTTAATTTCATTTCCTTAAAGTTAAAGGCTTAAGATAAAATAGTTTTATTAATAGGTTTTAGGGCATCTATTCCATAAAACTACATTAAAACTATTTGTTCCAAAATGGATTGTTCTCAAACCAACTTGCTATTTAATCCTTAAATTAGTTTTTATAGTATATTATGTATCAAGTTTGATACACGCTATTTTATACACGAATTTAATTTAGGCACAAGCGAGCTTGCGAGCGAGTGCTTAAATTAATGAGTGTATAGAAAAGTTTATAAACGAGGTGCATACTATACTTTTTCTACGACAAATACTTATTACCAGTGGCGAATTTAGGATTTAGCTCCGGGGGGGTCCAAAAAAACTAACTAAATATGTATACAAAAAACTAACTAAATATGTATACATATTTAGTTAGTTTTTTTGGACCCCCCCCCGGAGCTAAATCCTAAATACTATACTATGCTATGCTTTAATAACTAAAAAATCAAAAATTAGGAACTCTTCTGATCCCATAAAATAGTAAATAAAAGGAACTTTTTTTGTAATAAAAATAATAAAATATGTGCGCCCGGGGGGGGTCCGGACCCGGCGGACCCCCCCCTAAATACGCCACTGCTTATTACTATCTTAAAATGATTTAAATCAAAAATTTGTATAGAGCGCCATCTATGAAACAACAGGGGAAACTGTCAAATGTCACATTTTTACATTTTATAAACACAATTATAAAGGTTATAAATCGAAATGTATCTTGAAAATTGACAGTTTTTCACAGTGAAAGTAAAGGAAATGTTTTATAAGGAATTGCCGTGCCTGAATTTAAGTTATAGTTTACTGCCGGCGAAATTAAAAGGTCAGTACAATGTTCATATAAACTTTTTAAATATTGGCGTTGAAAAACTATTTAATATTTTTGTATTTTTGTATTGAGATAATAAAATAATTTTCACATTTAGTATTATTTTACAAGAAAGGCAATTTATTTTAACGATTGCATGACATTTGACAACTGTCAACTAACTTCAGCCCGTGACTAAAGCGCCGTAAAGCCACAACTTGTCAATGTGTATTTAAAAGGTCACTTAGTGTCATGGAAACATGTACGATAAAGGGTGTTTTATTTTTATATTAGGAGCATTAGGAGCAAGTAGTTTTTTTATTTTAATTTAAAGAGTTCATTAAATTATTTGCATAAGAAGAAGTGGCCTTTTAGAACTTTTAGTTAACTAACAATAATTGTAAAATACTTTTGATTTATTTATAAATGGTTTAAAGTTAACTAAACAATTATTGTTACTTGGGTAGTATACCAATTATGTTATGATTATAATGTTTATCGGTACTGAAAAACCCAATAGTATGATAGGAGTAGATAAATTAAATTTATTTGTTTTATTCAACAAGTTTAGCATAGCAAATACTATAACAACATAAAACGCGATTAAAACTAGGAATTTTTAGCATAAATAGACACATTAGGTATTCTGAAAAACTGAGGTCAGTAGCTATTATTTTTTTAAATGGTAATATAGTTAAGAAAATTCAATCAACGATAATAACACTGTTTCAGCTTCCTTCAAATGCATGCATACACATAACATTTTTAAGTTTTTTTTATCGACAAAAACAATAATTAAATTTGATGAAGCAATTATTATTATCATAATAGAAGTGGTTCCCTCTCCATTCAAAGGCAATTTGCGCTGCTGGACAAGGCAATAATTAAATCAAAACATTAACTAATCCGCCGTTGGTCACACTGCAGTGGTGTTTGCGGTGTGGTTCGCCTAAGTCCACGATTGTTGTTTTGCGCAATGCAAATGATAACAATAATTACACTAAGCAATAATTAAATTTTCAGAAATAAGTGATAATAATATTAGTTGGGAACGATGTCAGTGCGGTAGTTACTGGCCTTATAGTGGACGGTTTTTATTAAAAAAAAATTAAAAATCGGTGAGTTATTTTTAAGGTGATTTTATAATAATAGTGTTAGATTAGGCGATTCATAGACAGGTATTTAGAGCTAAAGAGATTTTAATAAAATTCGTAGATTTGACATATTTTTTGCTTTACTAAATTTGAAAAAACTATATACTGCCCTACTATGGAAAAAGGCAGTAACTACAAAAAATTTCTTAATGCGTTTTCTTGTGCTATGATAAAGCTATGGACATTTTGTATCCTAATTCAACTATATTATAATTTAAATAAATCAATTAAATATCTACTGCTTTTTATAAAAATTTAGTTCATGCCAATTTTCCACAGATTTCTTGTTTAGCAGTTAATGCCTTTCTCCATAGTTGGGGAGTATACCGGGTGTATCTGAGAATAGGCGCACCCCTATAACTTTTTTATTTATAAAGATAGACACATGAAATTTAGCATGGTTAATTAGGATATAAAATGCCACTTATAAGAGTACAAAATGAATTTTTTGAACTTCCGGTTTCGCCGGAAATGATACCAACTTTCGATTTTTAAATGGAATGCCCTATATATTTTTACATATTTGGAATCCTGAGAATATTCTGAGTCAGACAGCATCCTCAAATTGACCTTTTGACGTTTCGTCATCAGAAAATGCATCATCATAAAGATCAATCTAGAGTGCTTTGAAATCTTATTTTCTTTTAATGGATTCACACAATACCTGAAAAATGGAACTTGTCTTAGAAAGTTGTTATTCAGCTGTTCCCAGCAGTCTAAACTTGTCAAGATTTGTTTTTCTCAAATAGTTCAAAGCACTCTAGATTGATCTTTATGATGATGCATTTTCTGATGACGAAACATCAAAAGGTCAATTTAAGGACTGACTCAGAATTTACTCAGGATTCTAAATATGTAAAAATATATAGGACATTCCATTTAAAAATCGAAAGTTGGTATCATTTCCGGCAAAACCGGAAGTTCGAAAAATTCATTTTGTACTCTTATAAGTGGCATTTTATATCCTAATTAACCATGGTTGCATGCATGCATGCTAAATTTAATGCGTCTATCTTTATAAATAAAAAAGTTAAGGGGTGCGCCTATTCTCAGATACACCCGGTATAATAAAATAATATATGTTAACCTAACATGTTTAATCAGTATAAATAGATAGGTAAGTCAAATTTAGGATATACCTAATATAATATTTAAAAAGAAAAAAAAATTGTGTCTGCAATATTATTTAAATATATGGGTATGAATCTTTAAATATATTAAATTTACATATGACTTTGAACATCTATAAACATATTTGATTTGGAAATATTAAACCTTCGCCTGTTAAAAAGGGATATACAGTGTGCCCATTTTTTTGCGACTCACCCCTGTAAAATCTTTATTTATTGTGCGATTTTAACTGGATTTGTTTTAAAGTGTAGAAATTGATAAACTGTATTTTTGGAGCAAAAAACGCCATATTTGTACAAAATACAAGGCCTACTATGTAAGTTTTTAAGAGTAAATTTTTAAGAATTTATATTAGCGATTTTTTGAAACAAAATCTAAGCACGGCACTAGATTCACCACCCCTCACAACGACCCTATACTAAACTTTATTGAAAAATTTTAAGTAGAAAAATGCACAATAATAACAACAAAAATTTATTCTGTCAAGTTATCCATGAAAAAAACTTTGAAACAAAATTAAACAAGTAATAGTACCTTGTAACTATAGTAATATATTAGTTTAATTTTATTTCAATGATTTTTTCATGGATAACCTGACAAAATAATTTTTTGAATTTAATAAAAAAATTTGTCTCTTACAATTTTTGTCTATTTTGATTAAGAAGCAAAAATGTTGTTTTTTTAATTTATCAATATAAAAATATTTTTTTAATAATTATATCACTCTGAATGAAGCTTTAAAACATTTATATATTGACCAATGACACACATTACCTTTAATTTTTTTTACCTGCTGTATATAAATTTTTTTATCCACACTCACATTAAAAAATATATAAATTTTAATTTATCGTGTCACGGTACCTACTTACAATTAAAATTAACAATGTTTAGTACTTGCAAGCCTAATAAATATTTCAACAAGTTTGTAACGATTTATTTGTTATTTATTAGTAAAGCGTTTTAACAAACATTTTTTAAATAAATTACCTATATCATTTCGTTTTATTGTGTTAAAAATTTGAAATTCCATAATATGTATGTTAATATTCAAGGTAATCGAGTTTTAAAATCATAATTATAAAAAAGATACTCAATAGGTCATTGGTTTTAAAAAATAACGCTTTTTTGAATCTGGCATTTATAATTATTTGATTACAAATAATTAATTTGTATTTAAACAATTTTTCAATTATCCAACCTTGTAACTAAATTATTTTTGGAAAAAAATATGATTTGAATTTTGTTTATGCTTATTGACGACACATTAAAAAATACCTTGTAACTAATACACAGTAAAAAAAATCAACTCTAAGCAACACTAATTAGAGTTCACACAGGTTCACACTAAATAGTGTTGTTTTATAACACTACAATAAGAGTTGATTTGTTGTGTAATTTTCCCCAAGTAAGCAAGTATGAGTTAACACTATAGCACTGAGGATAAAGTAATTTTACACTGTATTAATAAGTGTTAATTTACCTAAAATGTACTTCTACACTTCCTGGGTAAAATCCCACTTTTGTTTAGTGTAAATTAACACTACTTTGGAAAAGTTCTAATTTTAGAAAGGTATACCTTTACTCTTTTAGTGCAAACTTCTAGTGTAAATTAACACTATTATTTGTAAAACCTAATGGTGGTAGTGAATAAAACGAAAAGGTAAATAAAGAGAAACATTTATTTGGAACAAAAATCTATGACAATTATCAAAATCGGTGCCTTTTAAAATATAATTTTATATTTGAGTCGTATGGCTGGCTTAAGCAAAATGGTTCCTTAAAACGTAAAAGTTTTAGATCAATGCAATGTTTTACTGGCTGTCAACTTGTAAGCAATGAATTATCTTGATAATTCATCAGTAATCCATTTTTCTGTTATAAAAAATGGGTGATCCCATTGGTAGAGAGGCGTCAGGCGGCTGTATGTCGGGGATTTACCACAAGTGTACACATTTTCCATAATATTAATAAAAATGTAGGTATAGGTTAATATAACAACCATTACGCTTGAAAATAAAAAGTAAATCAAGTGTGTATGTATTTATATTATTAATTTTACAAGCACCCGACCTACTGCCGTAAATTATTGATAATTATTGATATAATATAGGTAGGACATCCTTTTAACGTATTGGTATTTATTGAGTATTAAGGCTTAAAGAAGAAGGAAGTATAATACTTACCAAAAAATAAGAATGTCCCCTTATGGATTCCGCGTAATTAAAATCTAACTGAACAAAAATGCCACACTTCCACAACGCGGTATCTCCGGATATGCACTGCGTAGGTAGATAGGTACCAACCAAACATTTTAAAACGCATTTCGGTTATTACCAGTTTTTTCAGTCTATTTTGCCACTATTGGTGTAATTTAACTTTAATTGTGATACAAAGTGCACTAGTAGTGTATAAAAAAAGAGTTCTTAGTAACATCAAAACAAACAAAGAAATTGGCATGCGCTGTAGTGTACATTTTGTCACTATTTAACACATTAAGGGGTAATAAACATTCGCATTAAGTTTTTCTACCCTTTTGATTTATTTTAATAATAAATTGTGTGAATGTACCAATGAATAATGTTCATATTCTTTAAATGTTTTTAATAAAGTTAATAAGCACTAAAGGCTACGTAGTGTATTTTGTAGTGTAACTTTTACACTTACAAATCAACTCTAATATTTTTACCCCTACACTAAAAAATTTACACGGGCAAAATTTTTTACTGTGTATGTTTGACTATTTTTATTTATCAACAATTACTTAGAACTACATATAGGTTGCGTCTTGACTCTCGAAGGGTAAGGATGCTTAAAGATAGTTACGCAGCAGCGTATACGATACAAACGTAGTAAAGTATCAAAGTGAATCTAAGTTTGCGGAAATACCGGTAATCGGTAATAAATAAATAAATAAATAATAATCAAACAAGTGCAACAATTGCGAAAAGGACTGTCCTCAAGTGTTTGACCTGAATAAAAGGTGTGAGAGAGACGTTCAGTTCCAATAAAAATTTTCTGGGCTACGACACGTGCGGCATACGATAAGGATCAATTTTAGCACGCTGCCTGGCAATATCCCGAAGTCCAAGTCTGCATAAACTAGATAAGTAGCTACCAAATTGCATGAACATGACCACCCAATAATTAATACTAGTTAATTCGAAATACGCAACCTTTAACTAACAATAATTCTTCAGGTAAAATTAATTAGTCGCAAACAATTTAGAAGATTCTCATGCAAATGAAACATTAAAAAAACGATAAACACAAGGGCACATAAGAAGCCATTAATCACTCAAGTTACGATAAACATTAGGCAAAAGAAACCATCCTAAAGAAACTATTTATTTATGTTTACATCTATAGATTACGAAGTCGTAAGGGGTCATAAATTAAGTAAAAACCGTTAAGTAAGCGTACGCACAGTGGGAAAAAATAAATAATTCGAGGGTAGACAATTCCGCGTCTTCCGTTCATAAATAAAGTAAAGCGTTCTAAGAATCACTGGGATCATGCACAGGGGGGAAAAAAATAATTCGAGGGTCGACAAATCCAGTAGGTTAAACGTATTTCCACATAGTCAGAGGGCAATATTACGGCGGGTTGCGGCCGGCAACACTTCGGAAGATACGACTCAAAACGCACAGGGGGGCAAACAATTCTAAAGCGGCTATCAAGAAGTACACCATCAAGGAAAGGCGCTAGCAGCATACTAATCCACCCACCCCCATTCAGGAATACCAAATGAATGGGGTTATTACTAAAGCCCTGGTTTAGGAGGATTCCGGATTGTACTTAGTTTTGGGTCAGTTCAATGTCCTCCAAAAGCCCTTCCTAAACTGGACGTATGGCCCGACCCGGCTGACAAAAATCCCGGGAGCTGCCTTAACCTTTGACACTGTCATCCACGAACTCCTAGGGTGGATCTACCAGCCGGCGTAAAAACTTCGGATCCAACAAACACAGGTAATGCTGTGATTTGGCGGGATACGCAGGAGAACGGAAAGGGGGTAATATAATCCCGGGAGATCAGTGGATGACAATATATCTGGGGCTTGCCATACGTTCCCATACTCATACTCATACTCATACTCATACTCAACAATTACTTAGAACTACATATAGGAAAAGTTATTTTTTATCATGTTTAATTAACTTAAGTTGTAGACACGTGCTTAAAATGGTATAATTAATTTATAATATATTGATAAAAAATTCACACTAGGCTTCACTAGAGAACACTATACTGCCCTACTATGGAGAAAGGCAGTAACTGCTAAACAAGAAATTTGTGGAAAATTAGCATAAACTACATTTTTATAAAAAGCAGTAGGTATTTAATTGATTTTTTTAACTTATGAGATATTTGACTGCATTTCTGTGTTGAATTCGGCTACAAAATGTCCTTTACCATAGCACAAGAAAACGCATTTTGCATTTTTTTGCAGTTACTGCCTTTCTCCATAGTTATAGCTTGACTTTGAAGTGTTATAATATAAAAATTATTGTACGCTTGAAAAAATATATAATTGAGGTTTGCAATGATTCTGCTCGTATTAATTCTTTATATATTAATTTATTTTTAATTATATGAATGACTTTTAGGTAGCGCTGCTGGGGTGTTTAAATAATGTTTATATAAAACAAATAAAATTTATATTTATATAAAAATACAGTCCATTGTTTTACGTTTTACAAAAAATTAAACTACAATATTTTGCAATTACTTTATATAGGTAAATACGTAAATACAGTCCATTGTAAGTTTTACGCTACAAAATATGAAACTAATGTTTGGCAATTACTTAAAATATAAATACAAAACACCAACTATTTTTTGGCACAAAGTACCAATTGACACTGTTAGATTGGTGTAAATTGTATGGCTTTTTGTAAAGCAAGCTTAAAATCTCGTGGTTTTATACAGGTAACCAATTCTTACCCATTTTGGGACCAAAATTTCTATCGAATCGGAAAATTCTTCTATATAATTATATACCAAATTTTTGCAGTGATAATCTTAAAATAAAACTTTGAAGGTCCTCTTTGCAGTTCAGTACCTACTAAAGTTGTCATCATAAAATGCTGGTTCGCACTGCTAAGGTTTTGGATAAATTTTTAAATTTTTGATTAAACTTGGCATCATGAACATGTTTTACTCTTAGGAAAAACATCTAAAAATTAAAAAAAAATCGATTTGCTTATTATATACATTAAACTGAGCTATAGTAAGAACTGTACTTGAAATTTGTCTGTACAATAAACAAAACGCTTTTTTCTTACTACCTCGACTCAAAATACGTTGTTTCGTCCCCGATTCCACGCACAGAAAGTTTACGTTTTATGCATTGGTCAAGCTATACGCGCACACTCTAATAGCGGGAGTAAAAATTGTTTAGTCGTGTGCTTAACATTCAAGTTTCGTACTGCCAACATGAGAAACACAAAATTATGACAGTTTTAAACCATAATTTTGCAATTATAACAACAAATAAACAATTTATGTTTTTACTTTTGTACTTTTAATGTTGTTTTAAGTGTTTAATGGTACTTTTATTTGTTATAAAGTAGTAATTTGTTAATTAAAATACAACCTTTTATTTTTACTGTATTGGCACCGCTGAATTCACGGCCTACTGTTATTTATTTATCAAGCTCTTCAAATGGAGATAGGTACCTACATAAATACACATTTAATTTTTTCCCGTATTTTCGGCCGGGTTGTATTTTCTGCCGAGGTAGTAAGAAAAATAGTATACACTACACGGGCAGAAAGTGTGAATCTCACAATATACTATTTCACGCGATTTTCGATCTTATGAACCAAAACAAAATGCAATTTTTGACATTATAAACCATGATGAGTAATAATACTTTGAAATTGACTTACCTTTAGTTAATATTTATAAACCACAAGTTGTGGTCCACAACTAAACAGATTGGTGCATTCTTCCAACACAAATTTTGAGAGAACAATGAATGAGTAGTAATAGTGTTAAATGAATATTTAAGTGTAAAGTTAGATTGATGTAGCTTGACAGTTTTACTTCTTATTTTAGGAAACTTAAAACTTCTTCTATTAAAATCGTACCAAGCTAATGTTTGACATTTCTACTTCTTCTTATTTTAGGAAACATGAAATTTCTTTTATTTCCACGCGGTCTATAATTTAAACTTTATTGTTGTCAACATTCGATAAAGAAATACCTTGTTATGGCCTAGGCCGATACAAATTTTTATGAGGCAAGTAATTAGTTCGATTTTTTCTCGCTAGGGGTATTGTTTTGACAAATTAATCCTTTTCTAAGAAATTAACGTACTAAACTGGTTTAATTTATTTATAATAAGCACTAATTTGTTTGTTTCATTGTTAATGTTTAATATTTTTCATTAAATTATTGTAAAATTAAATATAAATAATAAAACATAAAGTGAGGTTAGGCAACCAAGAAAACGCACGATTCTTTTTCTACGATTTAAATTATCTTTAAGTTTTAATTTGCTTTAAGTTTTCAGTGAAATTAAATGTTAAACACAGCTCAAACATTCCAAACTACCTATTTTTTAAATAAAAATCCAAACAAATTGAAATTAGGTACCTACCTATTTATTAAACAATTAATTGAATTCAATGTAATAGCAAAAATCCATTTCTACTTAAATCATGTTGCTAGGTATTGTCAAACTATTACTGCTTCTAAAAGCAATAACAATTATTGTACATTTAATGTAATCTTTAGCCAATAAATAAATGAGATTCTAAAAAAGTGAGGTTAGACGGCTTTGATGTTGAATTAAATTGACCTATATAAGGTGCTTTGAAGATAAAATGTTGTATGCCATTCGGCCAAGAAGTGCCTTTTTGTGCTTCGCTCAATTGAGCGCTTAGCAAAAAAAGCCTTACTTCTTAACCTAATGACATAAATAACTATTATTTAAATCGTACCATATTGTAGCTTGACATTTCTACTTCTTCTTATTTTAGGAAACATGAAACTTCTTCTTCTGCTGTGTTTCGTGGTTTTGTCCCAGAACAAAGAGACGCCCGACTGCGACAAGAACATGGATTTTCACGAGGAAACCGGATACGGATACGACACCATCTGCAAGTCACTCTCGAACGCCAACATAAACTTGCTGGAGGACATAGTCATATCGAACGAGTACTCTTTGGTCATACAGGACAGCGTTTTGGAGGGATTCAACTCGAGTCTGTTCGGGAACATCGCGAACATCAAAAAGTTGGAAATCGTGAACTCGAAGTTTACCATGGAGGGTAAAGACATGGTTTTCGAGAAGTTGAAGCTGCTTAAACAGCTGAGTGTGCGGCAGACTAAGTTTCAAGCGTCTGCGAAGACGTTTTTTGGGCTGGCGAGCTTACGAGAACTGGAGTTGGACGGTAACGACTTGGATTATGTGGAGGTTGGGGCGTTTGGGAGTATAGAGGATTTGAGGGTGCTCAAAATCACCAACAACCATCTGAAACATATCAGAGATTTGCCTCTATGCGAGATCAAGAACTTAAACATACTGAACTTGAAGAAAAATCTGATACCGACGTTGAAGTATTACTCTTTTAGTTGCAACAAACACCGGGAAACCATAGGGTTGAGTTTGAATGATGATAAGCTTGATGTAGGAATCAGAGGTGAAACTTACATGAACACATCCGAAACGTTCACTAATATAGTAAGTGTCAACTTTAATTACAACAAAATAACAGAAATAGGTTTCGCTTTGGCGGACCTCAAAGGTTTAAGGGATTTAGAGTTTGAGGGGAACCTTCTGGAGATAATCAGGGCTGATTCGTTTGAACCGCTTAACAAAATAGAAAAGCTTAACTTCAAGAATAACAGGATTCGTATTATAGAAGACCAGGTTTTATTCAATAAGCCCTACTTGACCAAATTAAACCTCGCCGGCAACCAGATCAGCCGAATCAACCTGAACAGCACCACATCGTTGGAGTACCTCAATTTAGCCAACAACAAACTAGTTCTGGCCAGTTTAAGCATCCTGAGTAACTTAAAATCGCTAAAGGAGCTAATCATAAGTGACAATCATATAAGTGAAGTTCTTCCGAACGAATTCAGGAACTTCACCTCGTTGGTGAAGTTGGACGTGTCGGGGAACAAGTTGGTGCTTCGCGATGAGTCTTTCAGCGACTTGTACAGCTTGCTGGACTTGAACTTGAGTCGGAACAGCATCAAGACTTTGCCCTCGCACGTTTTTCAGCAGAGCCTTCAGCTGAAGTCGATCGATTTATCGCACAACGTTATTTATAAATTCCCGGAGTTGGTGTTTTCGAACCTCACCGATTTGGAGACGCTCAATTTGTCCTACAATAAGATAGTGAGTTTGCCGTATGTTTTGTTTAAAAACCTGGTGAACTTGAATGTGCTGGACGTGGCCGGTAACCGCCTGAAAAGTTTGCAGTACGACTTGATGATAGATAATTTGCCTTCGTTGTCCTTGATCAATTTCAAGCATAACTCGTTGTCGTGCCAGTTTCTGTCGAAGATTATATCTTTCATAAAGAAGAAAAATATAAGTTACACGATAACGGAGAAGTTTCAGTACGATAAGGAGAATGTGGAGGGGATATCATGCGAGGAGGAGGACGATGATCCTCCCAAAGGGGACATCAAACCTCATCCGCTGAAAAGTGAGAGTTCAGGTACCTCAACATGGGCGGTACTGCTGATAGTTGGAGCCGTAATGGGTGTGCTTGGTTTTGGAACCTTCAAGTTAGCTATGTTTGTTAGAAGAAGGCGGTATACAAACGACCAGTTTGAGCTAATTCACAGTTGAGGTTTGTGAAATGATAAACAATCAGGACTTTTGTATAGTGACACGATGCCTATAAATATTATTATGTTGATAATATAATTTTAATGATACATTTGCTACATCATAGTATTAACTTGGAACAGAATTTTTTGGAAATAGTACTTTGTCCTGTGATATTAATATAAAAAAATTAAAAGTTATAATAATAAAAGCTGAACATGTTTTAGTTGGTTTAATTTCTAACCCCCCTTTTAAATACAGGGTGTAACCTAATAAATTGTCATCCTTTGGTGGGACGATAGTACACACCAAAACAAGAAAGTTTTTTGCCACTGGATGTCACTGACCTCTAAAAATAATAATATTATTCATCCAAGCAAAAAAGAGTTCAGTCAGGAAGAAAATTTGCAAAATGCAAAAATTATAATTATTTTGGCGTGTACCCTGTATAGATAAAAATTATATTTATACATACAAAACAATGTTTTATCCACATAATATACATAATAAACTTCATATAAATATTTACAGGCAAGTAGTTACAGAATGCAATTTTGCTTTAGCTTTCTCTGGTTGAACGTGATTCAGAAAAAAAAATAGACTAAATAACGAGTTTATTGAAAGTAAATAGCCTTTTATCTACTACGTAAGTACACTTATTAAAAGTAACGGTAACTGTTTTTTGTAAATCCACAAAAAATACGGAAATCTACTGCATTTAATTGATTAAAATAATTTTCATCAAGACCGATGATTCGATGGGACTATTTTTTTCTAGTCTATTTTGTCATGCTAAATCAAAAATCACAATAATATTTTTTTATTCCAAGGTTTTTAGTATTTGAAATTTTAATTTTTTTAAATTTGTTTTTCAAATGATTTACGTAAAAATTGTAAACATTTCAATTCAGTAAAAATTATAAAACAAATAAGTCGTCTAAATGCAAACAGCATTGAGAAGGGATTCATTCAACGGTAAAATCCAAAAACGGGTATTATATTATGTATTCCAGGAATTCTGTAATATATTTTTTCTACTCCCACCTTTAAAACGCCCTTTATCGTACATGTTTCCATGACACTAAGTGAACTTTAAAATACACATTGACAAGTTGTGGCTTTATGGCGCTTTAGTCACGGGCTGAAGTTAGCAACAGGTTTTTAGTCAAGGGTTAGTCAAGTTAGTTTTAAGTTAGTTGACAGTTGTCAAATGTCCTACAATCGTTAAAATAAATTGCCTTTCTTGTAAAATAATACTAAATGTGAAAATTATTTTATTTTCTCAACACAAAAATACAAAAGTATTAAATAGTTTCTCAACGCCAATATTCGAAAAGTTTATATGAACATTGTACTGACCTTTTAATTTCGCCGGCAGTAAACTATAACTTAAAATCGTGCACGGACTCCACTGTAAAGTGCTCATAAAACATTTTCTTTAGTTTTACTGTGAAAAACTGTAAATTTTTAAGAAATACATTTCGATTTATAACCTTTGTGTTTATAAAATATAAAAATGACATTTGACGGTGACACACAGATTCCCCTATTGTTTCATAGATGGCGCTCTATACAAATTTTTGATTTAAATCATTTTAAGATAATAATAAGTATTTGTCGTAGAAAAAGTATAGCATGCACCTCGTTTATAAACTTTTCTATACATTCATTAATTTAAACCTAAATTAAATTCTTTTCTAAAATGGCGGTTATCAAACTTGATACATAATATACTATTTTAAATTGCAGTTTTTGGCGTTTTTTAAGGGGACTCAACTATTATTTTTTGTTAGATTTCTTAAAAATGTCCAAACTTAACTATACAGTATAGGTATTAGGTAAAGTAATCATTAGTTATTTCTGCACCAACAAATATATGTACCGAATCTTATCCTTTGGCAAAACATGAAAATTTTTGAATTTTAAAAACACAATAATTCACCATGATCACTAATAAAATATTCACATTAACGTAACTATATAAGCATTGCGTTTCTTAATCAATGACCGAATGTAAATTTCTTTTTTATTAATTTGTAAATTATTGTAATTAAAAAATAATTATTACTCACCAATTTTAATTTTTCTGGAGTCTTCTTCTTGAGAAGAAACGTGAAATATTACTAAAAAATTGATTAATAAAATTTTCATTCTGTAATAGTTTACGTCGCAGGATGACAAGGGTAAATACAAAAAGAACCTAAAATCTACGTTGAGCCGATTTTCTGTCAATTATGTAGTTTGAATATGGAATATTTTATTAGATTTTTTCAGAACCGTACCTAGTTAAAATATATCATTTTTGTTGTCTGCAGAGGTCAAAATATCTTTCTACTGAATATTTTATTCCCAATTTTTTTGGTGGGGATATTTGCAAAATATGAAAAAAACGCAACTAGTATTACATCCACGTGTAATCTGGGTTGCCTAAAACAGTAGCTCTAATGAAAAAATTACTTTCTTGTTTTGGCGAGTACTATTATTCCCCCAAAGGATAACAATTTATTATGTGACACCCTGTATAATATATCTTAAACACAAAAAATATTCAAAAAAATGTATTCCCTCTCTGATAATGTCGTCAGTCACGAACAATCTTTAATAAATAAATGATTTTCATACTGGGTATAATTTAAACCATAATGAAGGGTTTTGATTCATTCGTGTGTCCAGGCAAGTAGTACATATTTTATTGCGCGGGGTTGGAATGTTTACCGATCGTTGATTTGATTAAATTATTCGTTACACGGGTCTGAAATTGTTTATTCAAAATTATAGCCTGACAATCGCATGTAATTATTTTTTTACAAACAAGTTTGTGTGTGTTTCATTTTGAATGGCCCAATTTCTGGCCATTCAATGTATTTTTGAAAAATTATATTGCGCAATATTTTTTTTTTATTTTTAAGTTGTTCTAAATTTAATCTTGTTGCGAAAAACAAAGTTATTTATTGCCATTAAATAATCTTGTAATCCTAAAATAAAACTCAAATCAAAAAAATATACTTTATATATTTTAGTATAAATAACCACGAGTATCTAGTAGTTAGGATAAAAAGTACGACACCATCATTCTTTGTACCCGCGAATAAATTACATTTTACAAAAAATATTATCATAACTTATTTATAAATATTTACTTTGGCCCCACTCCAATGTATTTGTACTGCTTTCCTCCTTTTTTGCCCCCTTTTTTGGCATATTTACTCGCACGCTCATGGTGAGATTTGGTCGTTTTTTCATTTTGATGTCCTGATTTCAAGTCTATATTGTGTCCTGATAGTTTTTTTAAGGATCTTCCGTGAGTTTCATCAGACTTTGATTTCTAAAAAATACCATCAGTAAAAGTTCTCATCGTTATTTATACAAGATGACACTTTATTAGCTGACACCCTGTATATTTACCTTGTGGTTGTTTCCCTTCTTCTTAGCAACTGAATTGGATTGATGTTTCTGATTTTTCTTTCCAAATATCTTATACTGCCCACTTTTATGAGAGTTACTGAAAAAGCTGTCATGTTTTTTCAATTCATCCTTGTGATATTTTTCCCTGAAACCCTAAAACAAATAAATCAATAACAAAAAAACATTAAATTCAAAACAATTTTTTTTATCGCTAATGGTAAGAGACACACCTTTTTGAAGTTTCCCTTCTTGTGGTGTTTTCCTTCCTGGAACTTGGCACCGTGCTGCGAGTCCTCTTGAAGCTGCTTGAAGCTTTTGTGTCCAGCTTCGGCGAAATGTTCGATTTTCTTGCCGCCATGTTCGGCCTCGGTCTTCACTTGTTTTTCAACCAGTTTTTCGCCTTTTTTCGCCATGTCCACGTCGTGTTGCGACATTTTCCCGGATTTTTTCGTTTGTTTGTGCGTACTATGCTTTTGAGCTTGAATACATTTATTTAGATCGTGTTATTTAAATATTTTTTTTATTTTTACCATTTTTGTGGTCTCCATGAGCTTGTTCGACGGATTTTGTGTGATGCACAGTAGCTGCAAGTGATTGAGGTACACTGTCGGCCAAAGATATTACGGTCAGCCAAGTGACTAAAAACTAAAAAAAGTTCATTAAAAAAATGAAAAAGTAAAAATTACAACAAAATCAAAATTTGCTCCTATTGCGATCTCCAAGATAGCTTTAAACCTACAATAAAACTTCTAGCCAGTTTCTAGCCAAAAAGGGCCCCAAATTGACTAAAATAAAGCCTTTAAGTATTTTAAAGCTGTAATGTACCCTTTAAAACTTGATTTTTTTGATTTAAAGTGGAATTTTATTGAGCTTATAGCTTAGGTAAAATAGTTTTTTAATGGGTTTTAATAAGTACATCATAAAACTACTATTTGTTCCAAAATAGATTGGTTTAAAAGCAACTTGCTATTTAATCCTTTAAAAAAGCAAATTAGTTTTAAAGTAGCCAATGTCGAGAGTATTATAAAACCAGTATAAGATTAATAGGGCATTAAGAGCATTTAATTTATAGAGTAGGTACATTAAATTATTTGCTTGAAAATAAGTGGCCTTTAAGAACTTTTAGTTTATCTTATAAGGTAACTTTAAAACCAATATTGTTTTATAGAACATTAAAGCACTCAATCAAAAGTATCTTACAATTGTTACTTGGGATATATTTTGGCTCAAACGATTTTAATAATTTAAAATCAATCAAACATACCTATATAAGAATATAAAAATGTCTATAGACTATAGTTTATTTTAAATTAAAACTCTCGATGGGTAAATAAATAAGACGAAATGTAAACTAGTAAATTTCTATAAATAAGCGAAGAAAATGTGCAATAAATCGAACTGGCCTTGATGTAATAAACCAAAGATAAAGTTTAAGTTTACCAATTTTAAAAATTACATTGTGTAATTAGTTGGTGAAATATTCCGCCTGATTTTTTTCTTATTGATTGTTCTAGAAATAAAATCGTTTTAAGACAAAATTCTGCAATTTTCAAATTCAAAGTGCTGTTCCACGAACAATTTTTGTCCGATTTCAATCAAATTCACAAATTTTAGCTTCAACTATCTACTTTAACGTGTTAAAATTTTAACTCGATCTAATGAGAATTGGCAAAATGGCACCTAAAGAACTTACCTTATGAGGCGCCGTTTGTTTCAAAATTAAAAATGCAAAATAAACTTATAAAAAACTTATAAATATTTAATTATACAATATTTACTAAATTATTTTTTTATTAAATTATTTCTTTATCAAAATATTTTTTATGAAATTATTATTTTATCAAATTATTTTTTATCAACTTATTTTTTTATCAAATTATTTTTTTATTAAATTATTTTTTTGTCAAATTATTTTTTATCAACTTATTTTTTATCAAATTTTTTTTATGAAATTATTTTTTTATCAACTTGTTTTTTATCAAATTATTTTTTTATGTAATTATTTTTTATCAACTTATTTTTTTATGGAATTATTTTTTTATCAAATATTTTTTTACAAAATTATTTCTTTATGAAATTATTTTGTATGGATGACCTTGTTTCCTTTTTTGAGGGGAAATTTGTCGATAAAATAAGTTGATAAAAAATTATTTCATTAAAAAATAATTTGATAAAAAAATAAGTTGATAAAAAAATAATTTGATAAAAAAATAATTTAATAAAAAAATAATTTGATAAAAAATAATTTGATAAAAAAATAAGTTGATAAAAAAATAATTCCATAAAAAAAATTTGATAAAAAAATAAGTTGATAAAAAATAATTTGACAAAAAAATAATTTAATAAAAAAATAATTTGATAAAAAAATAAGTTGATAAAAAATACTTTGATAAAATAATAATTTCATAAAAAATATTTTGATAAAGAAATAATTTAATAAAAAAATAATTTAGTAAATATTGTATATAATTAAATATTTATAATATTAAATAAGTTTATTTTGCATTTTTAATAATAATTCCATAAAAAAAATAATTTGATAAAAAAAATTTGGTAAATAATGCATATAATTAATTATTTATAAAGCAAAATAAGTTTATTTTGACTTTTAATTTTGACACAAACGGCGCCTCATATTACTTCCACAAAAAAATAGATCATATAGCAAAAGTTTAAAATTATAGTTGCAAACAAACATTTTCATTTAAATTACATATGAATTTTTTTTGTATACCTGTATTAGGTAAATACACAACTAGAAACATGTTTTGCATTAAAAATGAGCTCTTGTTTATATTTCAACTCACATAAAGTAAAATTACACTATAAATATGCACATAAAACTGTTATTTAAGTAAAACACATCAGCATGACATAAACTCGAGATATTTATAATTTAAATTTGTAAATATGTAAAAATAAACATTTAATAAAAAATCAAACTCACCAAAATAAAAGCAATCTTCATGTTGTTGTGGGTACGCGGTCTTGATTCTCACTGAATAATTCGGAATTCCTTTGTAGAAGTGGGAGACATTGGTCAACAGGTAGAGGTGCACCAAGACTTACTTTAGGCGCTGTTCCAAAGAGCACAAAAGGCACACGAACAAATTTACTTAATTTCTACCCCTCACTGCATACAAATGCTTTCCTAACACAGCTTAACATGTACTTCCTCAATTAAACTGTAGATTTCCAATATGCACTCTTCAGATTCACCTGTTGCATTTTGGATTGTTGATGGGGGTTCCAGGAACAACTCTTGCCGTGGAAACTGTTAAGGTTAACGATACCAGTCGGTGTTGGTGTTTGAGAATAAGAAGAAAAAAAGGTAAAAAGGTAGACACGCTATGTTGTTTACTGGTCCATAATGGTCGAATCTTCATTCAGCTATATAAGTCTGTAGTTTCTTGTTAATATGATACGGGGGAATGTTGGGCTGGGTTAAGGATTAAAATAACTTGTCCTATTACTAAAGGAGGTTGTGTTTTTGTTTCTTAATTTTAATTTCAATTTAATTTAATTATTAAATTTCCACCCAGTTTTTTTTAAAGTTGGAAATTTTAATGTAAAACGGGTTCAGTGACCTAGACTATTAAACAAATGGTCGCTCGGGTATCCGAAAACCAAAATCTGCCCAAGGCCCTTTAGTTAAAAATAAATGTCAAAATCGTATCCAGAGACCTCAAATTACTATAAAAAGAGTGGTCACTCGGGTATCTGGAAACCAAAATTTGCCCAAGGCCTTTAGGTCAAAAATATTGTCAAAATCGAGTTCAGTAACCTTTATTTGCAATTCAAACAAAATTTTAAAAAAATTCAATTTTCAATATGAGTCAATCCAAATGAAAACACCAAAAATGAATTTAAAAGTGCGCTGCATGATTTTTTATTTTAATGAAAAAATTTGAGGATGATCTTTTAGGTATCATATATGAAAAACCGTTGCCGTTTTAATTTTTAGTTGCTTTATTTTTAATCGGCACCCTTTAGAAACCTGAAATCGTGTCATTTTCTTACTCTTTTAGGCTAAAACTTTTTTCTGTGGCAATTATTGAAATTATTGTAATTTTATTTTACTGCCTAGTAAGTATGTTTTCAATATTAATTATTATTATCTAATTAGTTCATCTCATAAAAGAATGGTAAACCACTAAAAATTTGTAATAATTTGCCAATTTTTGTGATTTTTGCATGGCTTCTGTGCCTAATCTGCTAAATATAGATTTTTGATTCCTGAAGGCAAAATTGGCTAATTTTAAGAATTATCAAGTTTCAATAATTTTTTTAATAAAGAAAATGATAGTCTAGAAACTTAAAATAATAGTTACGTTTTCTATTGTATAAGTATACGGTTCACCGAACAACGTTTTTAACGAAAAAAAATAGAACAACTTTGAAACATTTTTTAAAAAAATACTTACCAACTAAGTATTCAAAAAAAAGTAAAATGAAAATCTTCCATGTAGATCTTGGGAAATAGCGATCAATTCTTCGTAATTTATGTGTAGTATCGTATATTGCTAATATTTTAACTGTCTCAAAGTTAATATTTGTAGAATATTTTTAATTTAAAAGACTCATACGATAGTAGGAAACTTAAACTTTATTCTTCTGAATGCATTATTCAAAATTATAAACGTAAAAATTGATAAACCTTTAAAAAAATGTAAAAAACAACAAAATAAATATAAGCCTACAGATGTTGACTATTGTATGCACAAAGACATTGAATCAAAATTATATTATATTTTTCTAAGTTATTTCTGTATAAATTAAAATTCCTGGAAAATATATTGAATGAATGATGAACTTGCTCCGATGCTTGCTCTGAGAAGAAACCAAGGGCTCTTTGCGTTTTTTCAATAAATTGAGGAACATGATAAATGAGAGCATGGATCTTTGGTGTACATGTAATTCCAGCTTTTGATGATTTTAGTTTAAATTTTTTTATGTAGTCTTTATATTCATCTGCTAAGTTTTGGCCAAAGCAGCCAGAAACTACTTGATTGAACGCCTCAAATACGGGTATATATTCATTGTCTAAAATAGAAATTATAAATCAGTAGGTAGAAAACATCCAAACAAAGCAAAGCTTATTACCTAATGACAAAGTTTTCAATACAGCAATCGACTTTAGTAGTTTTTGTGCATTATTGCCATTAAATTTGCCATAATAGTCAAAGCATCCTCATCTCCGGTAATCAATGGAACATTTATACATTTTTCTAAAAATGCAATGAACAAATTAAGATCTTACTTTGTTCATTGCATTTTTAGAAAAGGATGAGGATGTCCCAGTTTTGTTCTTTATTCCACCACCAGAACTTCACCTTATGCTGGGCATAGTACAAAAACTTTTTGATTCCCTAAACAGCAAATATCCAGAAGTTGCAGAGGCATGGGTGAAAAGTGCTGGAATCTGCTTTGACCATTATGGCAAATTTAATGGCAATAATGCACGAAAACTACTAAATTCGATTGCTGTATTGAAAACTTTGTCATTAGGTAATAAGCTTTGCTTTGTTTGGATGTTTTCTACCTACTGATTTATAATTCCTATTTTAGACAATGGCTGCTTTGGCCAAAACTTAGCAGATGAATATAAAGACTACATAAAAAAATTTAAACTAAAATCATCAAAAGCTGGAATTACATGTACACCAAAGATCCATGCTCTCATTTATCATGTTCCTCAATTTATTGAAAAAACGCAAAGAGCCCTTGGTTTCTTCTCAGAGCAAGCATCGGAGCAAGTTCATCATTCATTCAATATATTTTCCAGGAATTTTAATTTATCCAGAAATAACTTAGAAAAATATAATATGAACTTGCTTTGATGTCTTTGTGCATACAATAGTCAACATCTGTAGGCTTAGATTTATTTTGTTGTTTTTTACATTTTTGTTAAAGTTTATCAATTTTTACGTTTATAATTTTGAATAATGCATTCATAAGAATAAAGTTTGAGTTTCCTACTATCGTATGAGTCTTTCAAATTAAAAATATTCCACAAATATTAACTTTGAGACAGATAAAATATTAGCAATATACGATACTGCACATAAATTACGAAGAATTAATCGCTATTTCCCAAGATCTACATGGAAGATTTTCATTTTACTTTTTATTGAATACTTAGTTGGTAAGTATTTAAAAAAAAAATGTTTCAAAGTTGTTCTATTTTTTTCGTTAAAAACGGCGTTCGGTGAACCGTGAGTACTTGATACCTGAAAAAAGCAACTTTCTAGATTTAGCAGAATATATTCTGCCTATAGGCACAGGAGCCAGACAAAAATCACAAAAATTGGCAAATTATCATGAATATTTAGTGGTTTACCATTTTTTTTTATGAGATTAACTAATTGGATAATAATAATTTATATCGAAAACACACTTACTGAACAGTAAAACAAAATTAAAATCATTTCAATATTTATCACAGAAAAAAGTTCTGGCCCACTATAACAGAGTAAGACATTGAAATGATTTCAGATTTCTAAAGGGTTCCGATTGAAAGTAAAGAATCCAAAAATTAAAACGGCAACGGATTTTCATATTTGATACCTAAAAGATCATCCTCAATTTTTTTTATTAAAATAAAAAATCAAGCAGGGTGTCCATTTGGTGTTTTTATTTGGAATGACTCATATTTAAGAATTTTTTTTAAATAATTTTGTAATTCATTGAAAACTATTTTTTGTCAAATAAGTGTAACATATTTTTGTAGGAAGTTTAACGCTCTACAAAAAAGGTCTGATGTATTTAATTGATTACTCTAACCGTTGAGAAGATATTCGTTCAGTGCGCATTGGGATACTACGAAAGCGTAGAGCTGCCATGTCAATATTAAAAAATATATTTAGAAAAATTTACACTTTTTCTGTAAATTTACACTTTTTCTGTAAATTTACACTTTTTCTGTAAATTTACACTTTTTCTGTAAATGTACACTCTGTCAATTTCTGCCTTTGTGGCAACACTGGTTCGTTATCCTACGAGTAGTTACGGCCGAACTCCGTTCTACGCCAGTTCAATTGCAGACGACAGTATTGTATTGTGTATGTTTCTCGGCATGGAAGAATTTGTGGAGTTTGCGGTCTGAGTATGGCGAATAGTGGAATAGTGGAATTATTAGCCATATATGAGGGAAAAAATCGGGTTATTTTTTTTGTAATTAAGAAATATAGGTAATCGTTAGCTTTCCGTATACCTGATTGTTATTTATGTCTAATTATGGTATCGTTTTTATGTCGAATATTAATGGCGAATAATGGCAAATAATTCGACATAAAAACCGATACTACAATTGATAATAAATAACAATAACATGTATACAGTTGTCTTTAAGCTACGGAAATCTAACAATTATCTATATTTCTTGATTACCAACGACTATTCGCCATAGGGTACCGCAACTATTCGCGGCAACTCTAATTTTAATGAAGGGCAACTGGAAAAAAATATTCTTAGGATAATAAAAGATTTTTATAACGTTTTTGTATTATTACATATATTCGTAACTTTTATTTAGATATTTAATGTTAAAAAATACAACCATGCTTATATAGGTTACCTATAATAGGTAACATTTTATAGAATTGGAAGAATATTCAAAAACTTCTGTCTCAAATTCTTGTATAATTCTATGGCTGCTTCTACGTGTTTGGTCTTGACCCATCCCTCTTCCTCCATAATTATTGCAGCCAACTGGTACACGTCATAATCTGAAGTGAGTCTTGGCTTGGGTATTGTTTCCAATCAAAGTTCTGTCATCTCAATGCTTACAGGATGTAAGTAGTCGGTGGACATGAAATCTTGAGGTCTGTTAAACATCATGAATGGTCGTCCATAAGGTGCAATGCTATTTCTAGAACGCGATATTCTATGCGTATTCCATTCCAGGACAACCGTATCAAGTTCCTCCTAGACAAAAAAGGTTTAAGTTTAATGCTAATTATTGTGGTGTAGTTGGTTCGCTTTATGGTTTATTTGATTTGATCTGCTGATTAGCATTACTGATATCAAAAAATGACTTTTTATCACTGCGCAAAAGATCTACGCCTATCGAGTGT